GGGAAAACGGGATGTTTTTGATAAGAGTCAGTTATCTTTGTTTGATTTACGCTCAGACTGTAGTTTTCATATAATCGATTTGGCTTTACTTGGTAACCAGCAACACCCTATATGTACGGTGATGCTTCAAGAAATGGTAGATTTATTTACTCAAGGTAAATTAAAAGCAATCGAGCCAACAGTCATTTTTGAACCATCTCAAGTAATCGAAGCTATGAGTTGGAATAGTGCTCAAGCCATGGGTAAAGCTGTTGTTCGTTTAACTTCGTCTCAACTACCACTACATTTGAATATCAAGCAATTGAAGAACTTATCAAAAGGTAATTTTTGTTTCTCTTTTACTTCGCTTCTAATGAATATTTCTAGATAATGATATTATGTTTCCTTCGGATGTCTGTAACGATGGAACAATTCTGATATCTGGTGGTTTTGGCGGTCTTGGATTGACAATGTCTCGTTGGATGATAGAAAAACGTGGTGTTAAACGTATAGCACTGATGAGTCGTCGAACCTTAATTGAACTTGAACAACCTTCTAATCCACAATATGATGATTGGTTACGATTGAAACGAACAGTAAATGAATATAATGCTCATGTTGATGTTGTACAAGCAGATGTGACAAATTTTCAACAAGTTCATGATCTTATTGTAAGACTGAATCAAAGTTCTTACCCTGTTCGAGGTATTATTCATAGTGCTGTTATTGCAGACGATCGTACGCTCAGTAATTTAACACAAGAACATATAACACGTGTTCTTGCACCAAAGGCTCGTGGTGCTTGGATTCTTCATCACGTAACACAACTTACTCATACTCCACTTCACTTTTTCATTATGTTTTCATCAATTCGAAATCATCTCCTTGAATTAGCATCTGCTGGTTACAATGCTGGTAATCAATTTCTTGATGCTCTTGCACATTATCGTATGCAAAAACTCAATTTACCAGCTCTTTCTATTAGTTTACCAGCCGTGAGCGGTGCTGGCATGTTTCATAGACAACGAGAGTGGTTAACAAGTTTTCAAACGATGCAAGGCTTTGAATTAGTACCAACAGTGGTCGTATTTGAATTGATAGAACGTTTTCATAAACATCAGAATACTTGTCCATGCCCCATTATTTTTGCTGTTAACTGGAAAACATTATCTGAAAGACGTCAAGAATTAGCAACATTTCAGTTAGCTCAAATAGCACAGCAACGCTATGTCGAAATGAAGCTCAGTGACACATCTGTATCATCAAGAATCGACGGTACGACCAATACCGGCTTGAATCAAAAGGAAACTATTATTGAGCGAACTCAGGAAGCTGTAGCACGCCTCTTAGGTGCAGGTAGTGTCGATCGTATATTGATTGATCGTTCACTTGTGAGTCAAGGCATGGATTCATTAGCTGCTATCTCACTGTACAATTGGTTGGGACAAGAAATTGGTGTCTATATACCATTAGCTGATCTTCTTCAAGGGTATTCTATTGAAACAATTGCAGCAGTTATATATAATAAGCTACACGATCAACAACAAGTTACTACAGCAATTGCTAAAGAACATAATGTAGACTCTGATTCGATCGATGAAAATAATATCAAATTATCTAACACGTCCGTATATACTAGTACTGAAAATATCATTTGTCTTCAACGTCCACTTCATAACAATAATTCCATTCTCTTCTATATCTCGGAGCAGGAAATTACTAATACTGACGAGTCGTTTGCACTATTTATGCACAAATTATCTAAACAACAAGGTCAAATAGTAACAGCTACCATCTATGTTATACAAATACCGTTAACGATATCAGATACAAGTACATCTGCTTATGCTCAAAATATGATCTCGCAAATGCGTCGTATTCAACCACGCGGACCTTATCATTTAGTGGCTGATCGCAACAAACAAGAAGAAATCATTGCACGTGAAATGATACGACAGCTTAACAATCATTCAATGATAATCGATATTCGATTATTTCTTTTGGATGATTAGAATTAAATTTGTTATCAACTACTACTCTCCGAACATTGATGGTCGGGTCAGTTCGAACTCTTTTTTTATTTACTAATTCTAATACTTACAAGATATCACACTATATAAGTACTTATAGAAACTTAAATTCTGAAAAGTAGAAAAACGACAAGTGAAAATCTACAAAAACTTTGTATTCTTCAATATTATTTATAAAAAAAATAGAACATTGCGCGAAAATATTTTTTCTAAGCTTAACTAACATATTTTTGGCAGAAAAATTTGAACTCTATCAAAGCGAACAGCAAAAGAAGCTTATCGACTATTGAGAACCTTTATATAAACTAGCGGACAGAAGTTTAACAAGAACTATGATTTTAATATATGTTTTGTAGGGTATAGGAGTAAAGAAGTTAACATCTATCTTCAATAGATAAGAACTATACCTTCTTTATTGAGCCTGATAACACTGAAAACTATTCCTATATTGTACAAATAAGATATTTTTTCAGATAGAGCAAGAAAATTGACTATCAATGATCCAAAGATTAGATGAGTATTCAAATCGAAAATCTGTATCCTCTATATTAGAGTTATAGGATTTGGTGCATTCCTATTCACCATTATTTTAATGAGTATAATGAATCGAGAACAGCGACAGACACATTAACTTATTAAAAGAAAAATGAATTGTGATCATCACATTAATTAATATGTGAATTAATTATGATACAAGAAAGCTTTGCCAATTATTTTCTGAAATATATTTTCCCGAATATTGCATGGCATGACTGTTATCTAGTTTGGATCTGAATCTAGTAGAATAAATTCCATATCATGCAAGTAAAATAGTTGTTTTCCTTACTAATTATCTTTGAATGGGTATTTTATAATGTTTCTCAAATATAAACACATCAATATTGACATATTTTAAGTTGAAATTTTACCAAAGTGTGTATTTCCTCGATGGATTTGTTATTCATTTTATGAGTTTATCTCGATCGATTGACATTGAATTAGTGAGTTTTATTCCTTTAGATATTTTATTTTATCTTAATTCATCGATTTGTTCATTAATATAATGACAAAAATAATTGTTTAGTTATAAAAACATGTTAACTTGTCTAGTATTCTATGTTTACTTATTATAGTGTGATATTTATTCTAGAAACAATTTTATGAATTTCTATTCTTTAGTTAGTCATTTCATATACTAACAATCTTAAAATAACATATTTTTTTCTTATTATCTAATACAATACCACAACGGCTTGATCTGTTTTTCTCGTGTGATTGTGAAACGTCATGATATGATGATGCGTATGAACTATCTATTTAATCGATAAGTAACTCATATCACCCTTATACAATGAGATCATCTACTCCTTTCTTTCCTATTATTATCATGAAGACTGTTTATTTTTTCTATACGTTAGATATACACTAGTATCAGTTCACTGGCTATAAGTACATGTTAGGTAATCTATATTTTATCATATCATCGACAATTTCCTGTATTAGAATAGATTATAACCATAAAGTTCTGATGCCTTTGGCATGAGCATAAGTCGAATATTGAGAAAATTCACTGTAATAGAAAATCACCACATCTGTAAAAAATTCTACGTATGCATACGTTAAGGACATCATAACTATATGTTTGTAATCTACTCGAGCAAAGGAAACTGTCGGTGACATAATACACCATAGATCAGGTAATATATACATAACTAGTGGTACTAGTATATACCTAAGTCACTATATGTTATGTATACCTGTTATATGATAATGTCTCATGTAGTGTAGTGAAAATGAATAGTAAGAATGGTAGTAATAGTACTTCTTCAGTTTGGTATTATTATATTGAAATGAAGCGTATTAGATAGCAGTCATAGTCAATGAACAAAAACAATATTTATAATAGAATATGATCACTATTCTTGAGGACGAGAATTCTGAATCTATGATTACTTCTTGGAATTTCGAAGTTTGATTTTTTGAGTCAGAAGCAGATTTTTTTCCTTCACTGAGAAGGTTCATATAAAAGAAAATAATTTATATGTGTCTTTATTTATCAAGGGGTTAAAACTGAAACGTCAAGCTTCAGTTACACCCTACTTCGGAATAAAACAGTCTTATTTTTCTGTCGTGTAAATCTTATTTACTCGAATTGTTTGGTGTTGGTCGAACGCAGGTTTGGATCAAAATGACCAGTCTTACTTCTGAGATTAGATCCAATGAGCATTTTCACTGCTTTGAGACTTAGTGAATCGTATGTGACAATAATATCAAGCCTGTATACATTGACTGAAAAAGATATTATTTTAAATTGTGATAAGTGTCGATTCCTAAAATGATTTTTTCTTACTCTTAAAAGTCCATTGTTTCGTAACAAGAGATAGTTAGATTTTTTCGGTTTCTATTTAAATGAGAAAACTGAGTGTAGATCTGAGAATATGGGATGTGAGTGAGAGTTAGGGTGCCTCTCTCTCACTCTTGCCCTTGCCCACACCCAGACTTAATTATGAAAACAACAATTAAAAAGTATAAAAATACAAATGTTTAATTCTCTCCTGTTTTCAAATGTAAATGAAAGCCGTTAGGAAATTGATAGTAGAAATATTCATCAAGGGTCCTACGAAAGAGAGTAGTTTTAAATGTATTTTAAAAAGAGAAGGCACTCAAATATGTTCTTTCGTTAGTCAATCTCGGAATATTTCTCAGTAGTCCGATAGTCCCGTCAAATTATATGGTAAACAGCAAGACCTATCGTACGTCATCAGAAAGAATACTAACAATAAGTTCATAAGAATATTATAAATAAAATGTTGGCAAATCAAATCATAGAAACTGGTTTTGTTTTTCTAGTTAATAAACTAATAAAGAATTTAGTTAATTGGAAGTTTTTATTTCAAATTTTAAAGTACAGATTTTGTTTTCTTTATCTTCTTTATAGTTTTTTTAAGATTTTCATATACTACCTATTTCACACAACTAATCAATCGATATTATTCGATCTATTCGTTAAAAATGTTTTCACGTACAAAAGTAGCAGCAACAGCAACAAAAGGATCGACTGTGCAGAAAGAACAGCGGCTTACGATTTCGGGTCGAACAGAAGCTATAGCATCGTTTGGTCAACAAAGAATTTGGTTTCATGAACAGTTATACTTTCATGGTTCCGATCTATCTGTCTACAATATTGTAGTTCCATTAATCATCAAACAAGGTTCACTCTCAATCGAACGTATACGCTCGGCCTTACGTTCAGTAATTGAAGAGCATACGGTTCTCCGTACTGCTGTTCGTTTTAATCCAGGAACTAATCAGATTGAACAATACATTCAACCTGTTGCTGATGATATTTACTTATTCCAACATTCACGAAGAATATCAACAGCGGAACAACTGGATGGTCTACTAACGGATGAATCCATTAGGAAACACTTTGATGTAGAGAACGGAAGAGTGGTAAAATGCCATCTAGTGGAGCGAGGTGATGAAAATCATGATCATTTATTGCATGAAAATGACCTCATTGTTTATACTATCCATCACATAGCATTTGATCTCACCTCAAGCAAATCATTCGTTAAAGCATTTGAGCGCGCATGCTGGATTGACGCGCCTCATCAGTCAACATTATTGATTCAACAATATATAGACTTTGCTCTGTACGAACAGGCAATGCTAGCTGATACAAATCCCAATTCAAGAATGAACAAGGCACGTCGATTTTGGTCCGATCTTATGCATGGTTATGATTGGAATCGAATACGAAACTTGGCGTCTAACGAAATTAAACATGATCAGACTCGTTCTGGTCGTGGTTATTCGACTGTATTTGTCTTGGATCAACGAGTTGTCGATGCCATGATGATGTTTGCTTCATCTAATAACATTACGATGTTTTCGCTGGCATTTGCCTCCTTTTATGCGTTCTTATTCAAGTTACTCAATAATGAAGAGGACTTATGCGTAGCAAGTGTTGTAGCTAATCGTTTTAATCAAGAAACAAAAGAAATGATCGGCATGTTTGTTAATATTCTACCATATCGAATACAAGTTGAGCCAAATAAATCATTTAATCATGTCGTGCAAAAAGTGCAGCAACTAAGTACTGATATTCTGGAACATGCGTCTCTACCATACCAAGAGATCAGTGGTCTTCACGACAAACAAAAACATCAGCGATTACCATCGACATTCTTTCAATATGACTCTTTAATGTCATCTGTGACACAAAAATCTACAATGGAATTAACTGTAGATAAAGATTCAGTTATTGGTGCATATTATGATCGAGATCGAAGTCGCGGTAATGGATTAGCTATATTCGATATGGCTGTTACAATAGCGCATGAGCATCATGCACGAACTACAGAATGTGTTATTGATTGTGCAGTTGAAATATTTCAAAGTCAAGCTATTGTTAATGAACTTGCAATCCGCTTTCAACATATGCTTGCACAACTCTTTTGTTCTTCCATGGTCGATGAACCTATGTATAAGCTATCCATTGTTCTTTCAAATGATGAAAATCTTATTCATCAACTCGACAATAAACATATTGCTTCGTCCAACTCATGCACATCTACCACTCAGGAATGCTCAACTATCGAAAATCAAATGTCAATGATTGATGCAAGTTTATTTTGGTTTGATATTCTTCGTGACTGTAAACTTGATCAATCATTATCATTACCATTCGATCGACATCGTCTTATGAATGAACATCGAAATGGTCATACCATATCTGTCTCTTTTGATTTTGGTCAAGATCTCTCTCATCATTTTCTTACCTATGCATCATCAAACAATATCAAACATGAACATCTAGCTCTTGCGATTTACTATGTTTATTTGTTCAAATTAACAAATAGTGAGAAAGATTTATGTATTTCAATGAATATCGACAATAGTTATCGAGATGAACTAAAATCTATAACTGGACTGCTTGAGAATACTATTCCATTACGATGTCAATTAGATCCTCACTGGTGTTTCCATCAATTACTCGAATATGTTCAAGAGATAACAACGAATAGTATGAAATATTCTTATTTTCCTCTTCAACGTATTCTCGATCAACACCCAAATGTTTCAAAACCAGCATTTCTTGATATATCATTTCAATTTCTATCATCTATGATAGGAAGTGACAATAAACAAATAACGATTGGTGATAGCCAACTTTCTTCCATATCTTCCACAATGAACATTAATGATAATGAAGTTAGAAATAAGTATGATTTCTCACTTTTAATTCAACATGATCTCGACATCAATCAACTGTCATGCACAATCAATGCATCACTTGATTTATTCAATGTAGAAACAATTGATAAGATATCTCAACGATTTCATTCAATCTCAAATCAATTACTTTCATCTATTGATGATCAAAGAAACAAACCTATCCATGAACTCTCAATAATATTATCAAATGAACAATATCTAATGCAATCAATGAATAATACACAAGTACCATTTCCATCTTCTGCCGCTTGTATTCATCATGAATTTGTAAGACAAGTAATGAAACATCCACAAAAACTAGCTGTTGAACTAGATGAACAATCATTAACATATTGTGAACTCTTGTATTATGTTCAAGTATTATCTTTAACTCTTCTTAGTGAATATCTTATCACTCCCGGTAAAATCATTTGTCAATGTGTAGAGCGGAGTTTGTCAATGGTAAGTTGATTAGAGGAAATAACTATTGATGAGGTTGAGATTACTTCTGACTAGGTAATTGGTGTTATGGCAATTGAGATGGCTGGTGGTATTTATTGTCCATTATCACCTCGAGATCCAAAACATCGTTTGCAAGCTCTTATACAACAAACACAAAGTCCTTTTGTTCTTGTTGATGAGTTAACTAAGGCCAAACTCGATGGTAATATTGTTTCACTTAGTATTGATTCAGTATTAATGAGCCATGTCACTGAATGTGCTATTGATGTGACTCGGCTATCGAAAGTTACAACAGTTTCAGACGATGTCGCGTACATTATTTTTACAAGTGGTTCTACTGGAACACCAAAAGCAGTATGTTTTCTGAATTTTATAAAGTATCTTTGTCAGTATTCCTCTTTGTTATAGGCTCAGACAAGGCATCGAAACTTTACAAATTTCGTGCATTCTATACAAAATGCTGGCGTATTAAACGAGCAAGATATAGTGTTACAAATATGTGCTCCGACATACGATGTACATGCCATGGAAATCATGGGTAGTTTACTTTTGTGTGCGACTGTTGTGATGTTACATCCATACGGCAATATGGATTTTGAATATTTTGCTCACACACTGCAACGTAAACAGATCACATGTCTTGCACCTGTTCCAACTTTCTTAAATCATTTATGTGATTTTCTTGCACACTCCAATCACTATCATTTATCATCTGTGCGATCACTTTGTATTGGTGGTTAGTAAAGCATAATAAAAATGATAATGACACTTTCTCTTATCCTTCTAGGTGAGCCATTTTCACTAAAACTCGTTCATCGCCTCAGAAGCCATATTAAAAGTAAGTATTTCATGCACAATATATACGCACCGGCTGAATGTACCATTGTATCGATATATCATCGTGTTGACACCATATCTGTTGAAAATAACATTCCTCTTGGTAGAGTTTTGGCTAACGAACAATACAAGATTCTAGATAGTTTTTTGCAGTTTACAGTTATCCGAGAAGAAGGCGAATTGTTTATAGGTGGAGTGGGTGTATTTGCTGGTTATCTTGACCGGGATGATTTAACAGCAAGAGCTCTCATTGAAATAGATGGTGAAATATGTTATCGAACAGGTGATCTTGTTAAAATGGATAACAATGGGTTAATTCATTATCAAGGACGAAAAGATCATCAGATCAAACTTCACGGACAACGAATTGAACTTGGTGAAATCGAGCGATGTTTACTTAATATCACATCCATATCTGCTTGTGCTGTCGTAAAATGGAATGATGATTATTTAGTTGCTTGTGTTCAATCATCTAATATCAATAAAGAACAACTACATCAACATTGTCAATCTCATCTTCCACCACATATGATACCATCCATGTTTATTATTCTTGATAAGCTACCTTTAAATGCTAATGGAAAAGTAGATCGAAAGGCTTTACCAATACAAACAACTTTGTTTCATTCGCCTGACACGATCCATCATCAACATATAGAACCAAGCAATGAACTTGAAATCTATATTCATTCATTGTGGTGTCAGATTCTTTGTCACACCAGAATTTCTATCAATACAAATTTTTTTAGTATCGGTGGTCATTCTCTCTTACTTACTCAATTATATCATAATTACAAGATGGCACTCAACATTGATACAACTAGGATCAGTATTTCTGCACTCTTTCAACATACCACTATTGCTGATCATGCTCGTCTTATTCATCAGTCAATAGAGAATCCAGAAATATATCAAAAACTTTTGTCTACTGTACATAATATGCAAGGTACATCGTATTGCCTAATCAGTTTTGTATACTTATTACTCTTTACTTTTTCTTTGTGTTGACAGAAACATCTATTCGAAAACATGCACGTTCGATCTCTCAAGAGAATATCATACTTGTCGCAGATGAATTGACAAGATACGAACCATTTCCTGTTACAGATATTCAACAAGCATATCTAGTTGGACGTGAAGGCGTCTTTGAACTTGGTCATGTTTCTGCTTTTGCCTATAGGGAATATGATTTTTCGTCAACGTTTGACATCGAATGCTTCGAACAAGCATTGAATTATGTAATCCAAAGGCATGAAGTATTGCGTCTTATCTTTCCGTCTCATACTGAACAGAAAATTCTTAAAACAGTTCCTTATTATACTATATCTATACTTAACTTAGATGATGTTCAATTTTCCCAAAAACATCTGATAGAACGACGAGAACAATTATCACATCAGACTCGACCAGCTGATCAATGGCCGTTATTTGATTTTCAAATAACTCGTTTTATTAGTGATGACGGTTGTAACATACGTTTGCATTTTGGTTTCGATGCACTCATCTTGGATTTTTGGAGCACAAATTTAGTTTTACATGAATTAAATCAGTTGTATTGTAACTTGCATGATATCTTGGTAGAACTAAAACTATCTTATCGAGATTACATTCTGGCAGAACAACAATGGAAGCACACCACCATTTATAGTAATGATCGACAATATCGGATAAATCGCCTAAAATCATTTCCATTAGGCCCAAATTTGCCATTACAGTGTTTGCCAAACGAGATACATGTACAACGTCATTGTAATATACAAACAGTATTAGATCAATCATTATGGCAAAAATTAAGAGAACGTATTATCGATCACAGGTTGACACCAGCCGGTTTCTTAGCATCAATCTATGCCTTAGTATTGGGTAAATGGAGTGAAAATAAACATTTCGCTTTGAATCTACCAGTTTTCAATCGATTACCTATTCATCCACAAGTTAATCAAATAGTAGGAGATTTTACGTCCGTTATACCATTAGAAATTAATTTGGAAAAGGTAATCACTTATTACGAATTTCTTTCTACTGTGCAGAAACAATTATGGAACGATCTTGAACATATATCTTATGATGGTGTGTCATTTATACGTGACTTAATGCAGGTACATCAGACAAGAGAAATTCTTTTACCATATGTTTTCACCTGTGGTGTAGATGTTGAAGATATTCGTGAGAAAAATGTTGAACACAGTATATTTTTTGATCAAGTACCGGTTTATTGGATTAGTCAAACACCACAAGTGTTTATTGATCATGTAGTAGTGGAAATTGATGGTTGTTTATCAATAAATTGGACATATGTAGACAATTTATTTCGAAAGGAAATGCTCTCTCATATTCAAGATACATTTGTTGATTTACTTGTCAAACTGGCTTCATTTGATGACATGTGGCAAAAGCCCATATTCGTCTCTTTACCCTCAGAACAACAAGAACGACGATTAGATTTCAATCAAGCACAATGGGAATCAAACGTTAAAGATAAATTACTTCATTCACTTGTCATTAAACAAGCTGAATTAACACCTAGTGAATTAGCTATTGTCTCTTCTCAAGTAAATTTAACATATGGACAACTAATGAGTCGTGTCTATTCATTAGCATATCATCTACAACAACAACATGAAAGAAATTCCAATCAACTCATTGCTATTCTAATGACAAAAGGATGGGAACAAGTAGTCGCTTGCTTAGCTATTTTAGTTTTAGGTGGTGCTTATTTACCTTTGGATGTTGATTCACCATATGATCGTATTTGTTCAATAATCGAAGAAACTAATGTCGCAATTCTTCTTACACAATCTCATTGCAAACATGCATTTCCACATCTAACAACTATTTCAGTTGATACATTCACAAATGATGATAATTATCCAAGACCATTTCCTATCAAACAACAATCAACAACTGATTTAGCTTATATTATTTATACATCTGGTTCAACTGGAAAACCAAAAGGTGTTATGATTAGTCATCAAGCTGTTGTAAATACTATTTTAGATATGAATTCAAGATTAGAAATCTCAACTAATGATAGAATATTTGCATTATCACATTTAAATTTTGATTTATCTGTTTATGATATATTTGGAATGTTGATTGGTGGCGGAACTATAATAATTCCAAATCATGAAGATTATAAGAATCCTCAACATTGGTATGATATGATAATTAAACATCATGTCACTATTTGGAATAGTGTTCCAATGTTAATGCAAATATTTGTTGAACATCTCAAACATACGAATAATAATCAGAATCAATTACGACATATCTTATTAAGTGGTGATTGGATACCATTATCTTTACCTGAATCAATACAAACAACATTTGGTCAACAAGTAACAATAACTAGTTTAGGTGGTGCAACAGAAGCATCTATTTGGTCAATTGCCTATACTCTACCAAAAGAAATACCACAAGAATGGAAATCAATTCCGTATGGAATACCATTAAGAAATCAACAATATTATGTTTATGATATACATCTCGATGATTGTCCTGAATGGGTTATTGGTGAATTATATATTGGTGGTGGAGCTTTAGCTAATGGTTATTGGAATGATCAAGAAAAAACACAATCAAGTTTTATTATTCATCCACTAACTAATAAACGTCTTTATAGAACAGGTGATTATGGTCGATTTCTACCAGATGGATATATTGAATTTATGGGACGAAAAGATTTTCAAGTAAAAGTACATGGTCATCGTATTGAACTTGGTGAAATTGAACATCATTTACAGCAACATCCAGATATTCATCAAGCAATTGTTAATATTGATGACAAATCCCAACAGTTAATTGGATATGTTATGCCAGAAAAACATTCTATTCAGAATGAAGAATATGATTCAACAGAGATGTTAATCGCTGATCCAATTGAACGTATCAATTTTAAACTTGCAAGACATAGTATAAGACATCAAAAGAAGGTAGAAAAGAGCTTTACTCTAACAAAACCAAAGCTTACGGAAACATTAATCAATACATATTATATGAGAAAATGCTATCGACAATTTACAAATGAAACTATTGAAAGATCTACTATCGAAAAATTGTTAAAAAATGGTCACAATAGCAATAATAATGAGAAAATATCTTTATCTCATCTCGATTCTGATATTCTTAGTCAACTATTAGTAGTATTAACACCGATCAGTATTTCTGGACAACCTTTACCAAAATATCGTTATGCATCAGCTGGTAGTCTTTATCCAGTACAGGTATATGTTGAATTACCAACATCTATAGATAATATTTCGCCTGGTGTTTACTACCATAATCCAGATGAACATACTCTAGAGCTAATTAGTACTCATATTAATAATGACATGATGGATATGACATTACATCTTGTTGGACGATCATCAGCAATTGCACCGCTATATGGTAAAAGATTGGGTTCCCAATTTTGTATACTAGAAACAGGATATATTATGGGATTATTGGAAAAAGAAGGGTCACGATTGGGATTGACATTTTCAACAAATATTCATAATGAATCTATAACTCGTGATATTTTGAATATAGATGAGAATGACACTCATTGTTGTTTCAAAATTTCATCATTTGAGCAACATAATTCTAGTAATGTGCAAAATGACAATCATCAATGTATTATTTATCTAAAATCGGTTAACAATAACAAAGACCAATGGTTTATTTATAATAAAGAAAATAATATTGTTACACCTTTTGATGTCGAAACTGAAACTACACAAAAGGAAATATCACTGTTCTTTGATGATGACAATGATGCAAAGATTATATTTCATGATTGTCAATGTGCAATCTTCTTCATCGGACAATCAGAATCCACAATGAATATAGGAAAGATGTCACATTTATTAATGGATGATTGTTTAGAAATGAATATTGGTATGTGCCCGATTGGCACTCGTACGAGTTTTTCAAAACAAATTAATGATGTGTTAGATACTATTCTTACTCATGAGAAACTAAATGGAAGTAACATATTACATACATTACTTATTGGAAAGATTAGTAATAAGCAAAAAAGTGAACGTACTATTTCAAACATAAAATCAATGGAAAACTGGAATGAAAAATTACGAATATATCTAAAGAAAAAGCTTCCAGTGTTTATGGTACCATCACATTTTATAAATGTTTCATCGTTTCCATTAAATCCAAATGGTAAAATTGATCGAAAAGGTTTGCCACAAATATCACTATCAGTACTTCAACAAGAAGATACTTATAAGGCACCAAATACTGAATTAGAAAAGACGATCGCGAATATTTGGCAAGAGATATTATACACAAATCGCCTTATTATACAACATGATGATCGGAAATCGAATAAACTGCCGTCCATTGCAAACGTCTCTGGTATAGACAGTCAAAAATCTTTTCTTATATCTAATACGGCTAGTTTCTTCAGCGTTGGCGGCAATTCTCTTTTACTTCTTAAGATCTATCAATATTATCAGTCAAAATATAATTTTGAAACAGAAGCATTAAGTATTCGGCCATTCTTTGAATATAACACCATAGTAGAACACGCAAAACTACTTGAAACAATCATCATCGATGGTGCACAACTGAAACAATGGCATACGCTGAATATTAATGAAGGTAAGATATTTTTAATTTACTTTTTCAATAGCTAAAAATATTATTTTCACAAATTTTTAGGCATCGCGTCGTATGTTCAAGAACGCATATTTCTTGATGAACAAGTTCGTTTCTGTGAACAAACTGCCATTTACAATCAGCTGATTATTCTAAGAGTTACAAATGGCTTATTATCAGTGAATCGTTTATTGCACGCTGTTCGCTATGTTCTAAGCAAACATAAGACATTAAGAACTTCTCTAGTTTTCAATGCTGAGGATAGTATTTTAAAACAATCTATCACTGATAAACATTTAACATTTACATTGGCTGCCGAGCAAACATTCAAAAGTGAAACTGAATTTCACAACATTATTTCACAAATAAATACTAATCCTAATTTGTTCGATTTATCAAGCGGTCGTGTTTTTTATTGTCAAATTCTCAGACAACAGATGACACCAGACGAAAATTATGATAAAGAAATGATTACAAATTCTGACGTTCTCGTTATCGCCTTTCATCATGTTGCAACTGATCAATCAAGTGACTCAATTTTTTTAAATGATTTATGTAATACTTACAATAGTCATATGACGTGGTTAGATGATGAAGAATCATTACAATATATTGATTATAGCGTGCATGAGCGTTTGATTGATATGACATCATCACGTGAGTTTTGGCATTCTCAATTAAATGGATACAATCAAGAATGTCGATTGTCACTACCAGTTGATCAACATTGCTTATATAGTAATCAACGATCTGGATATGCTTCCATTGCTCATATCTCATTTGATAATAAGACTGCGGCATCATTTCTCGATTATGCATCTTCACATCAAGTCACACCATTTCAGCTAGGTCTGGCTACACTCTTTGCATTTCTTTTCAAATTAACATATAGACAGAATGATTTGTGTATTTCCTGTTTCAATGCCAATCGATACAAACCTGAATCACAGAATATGATTGGAATGTTTGTTTCAACATTACCATATCGTATGCAACTTGGCCCTCAATGGCCATTTGATGAAGTAGTTAAATATGTACAAGAAAAATGTTTATCAATTCTTCAACATTCTCATTATCCACTTCAACATGTTCTTCGTGATTTTCATCTTAATCAATCGACTGTTCCTTTTCTTCAAACAGTTTTTGATTTCAATACTGAATCTTCAGTTAACGATCAGTTTACTTTCGATGATGTTATTTTACAGCCAGTATCATTACAACAGTCTTCAGAAGTGGCTAAATTTGATTTTACGTCGAGATTTGTTTACAATCCAATCTCAGATGACAACATATTATCATGTAGTTTTATTTGCTCACTTGATCTGTTTGAAGATACGACAGTTACAAAAATGCTACAAAGATTTCAATATCTTTTTGAACAACTTTTTTCATTGGATATCAACGTTAATCAGACTGGTTTAATTGTTTTACCTATTGCCAAACTTACTCTTATCTTACCAGATGAAGTGAATGAAATGCAACAAATAGCTTTTTACCGTCAATCAAATGTGGTGAATGAAGGTATGTCTTTTTCATATTTATCACATATACGATACTTTTATTGACATACATCAGTTAGATGAGAGACATGTATAATATGAAAAGGTCTTCGTTATCTTCAATGTCAAATCCTTTTAATATTTTTTGCAGATAGAATATTATATAGTATAGATAAATGAAATTCAGTAGTAATGATAAGCTTAAGAATTGTGATTAAAAACGTGATAAGTTTTTGGCATGAGTATTTTTGACTAGAATGCTAAGAATAATATAACAACTAAGTGAAACATAGTTTAGTTTATAAAGCTTTAGTTAGTTTCTTTTGAAATATTTATTTGACATCATAAAAATCAAATTTAATTCAGAAGATAATGAGTTATATTAATATTGATGGCAATTCTATTATCTTACAATAATCTAATTATAGCATCATCAACTCTGTTTCTGTAAACATCAATTAAAACAACGACATATTTCAGTGACGCTAACTTACCTTTTTAATTAAGATTAGACATTGCTCAAGTACAAATCGCTTCTTTACACTATACTTTGACGCTTTATAGGCGAATCTATATTTATAATTTTAAATAAAACTAACCATTTGTTAGTAAATTTTTTTATATGTACAATGATGAATACAAGAATGTGATCAATCGAAAACTATTCAACGTTTGGATAACTTAAGTGTCATACATGAGAAAGTAAAAGCCAATATCTGTAACACAACACTAACATTTAATTGATTGTTTTTCTTTCACTTTATTAAGTAATGCAAAAATGAATTACAGGTAGATTTTACTTAAAATTATTATCAATCTTAAAATTAATTTTATGTTTATACTTTGGAAAATTAGCTATCTTAAAATACAGTACATTTTTTAGACAATTTTTATTCGAAAAGATGTATATATGGAGAAAGTATAGGGGACGTAATTAATTATAAAGAGCTATTAAGACATTATAAAAACTACATACTACTTTTTAATCCCATCGTATTCTAAATATTACTTTTTTTAATATTCAACGTTACTACGTGAAAATCTCTGTAAAATTAGTAGTAAATATTTCATTCTAGAATACAAAAGTGAAATATTATCTAAAAATTCGTGAAAATCTCAATTTACAAAAACAAATCTTTTCTTTTGTTCTTTGACTTTCTGAGACAAGAAATTACATATATCATCTTAGGGTGCTTGAAAAAATCTAGTTTTCAGTCTTATTTACGATTCTTCTGAAGTCGAGCATACGTTTCTAGTTAATATTTTTACAATAGAGCATCGTTAAAACATGAAAAGTAAAAGACGTAGGGCGAAGTTTCAAATGTAACGTTTTACTTATCTAATTTGTAAATAAAACGCTCATCGCATACCGTGTAGAAAATTTCATGGTTAGCCTTTTAAAGAAAATCTGTATTAATGTTGAATATAAAGAAGCTACATAAGAAATGAATAGGATCAAGACTTACCATTTATCATAGATTCATATGTGAAGTTTTCATGCTTTTGGCTACTAGAGATAATGAATATTTGAAACAGTAATATCAATTGAATCGTTTAATTAAACAAAGAGAGAAACTGAATAATGAGCCAGATGAATTCTAAGAACACATTTGTTGATACGTGAACCTAGTTCGATTTGAATGAGTTTCTTTGTTATAGCACCAGCATCATTTGCACAAGCTCGTATATGGCTTGACGAAAGAATTCGATTCGATCTAGACAAACCACAAATAGCAATCTATAATAAGCCTTTTGTTTATCGTCTGCAACCAGGTCATACTTTATCGATGAAACAACTTCGTCTTGCTCTTCATCTCGCTGTTAATAAACATCCCTCACTTCACACATTACTTCATTTTGACATCCAAAAGAATTTACTTGTGCAACGAGTTATTACTCATGAAGATAGAAATAGTAATAATAATATGTTGTCAATCAACGAAACTATTTATGAAACAGAGGAACAACTTAATAAGATCTTACACGATGAGAAATCTAATCCTCATCTTTTTGATCTTGATCAAGGTCTTGTGTTTCGATGTCATATTATTTATTACAAACAAATCTCTTCACATGATCTACTTTCTCACAAAGATCTACTTATCTTTAACTTTCATCATGCTTTATTTGATTTTCCATCAATGAAAATATTTCATCATGATCTCAATCAAGCATATACAACAGGTCAATTATTATATGATGATAACACTAATCTTCGTTATCTCGATTGTAAATATTAATACTACTTCTACTTTTCTCTTCTCTAATACATTATTTTCTTTCACTATGTAGATGCTGTTCTTGAACAACAAATGTCAATGACTGGTGCAAGTATGTTTTGGCTTGATGCTCTTCACGATTGTAAACTTGATCAACCTTTATCATTGCCATTTGACCGATATCGTCTCTCAGATGAACATCGAACTGGTCGTGGAATATCTATTTCTTTTGATTTTGGTCAAGATCTCTCACATGCCTTTCTTACTCACGCATCATCAACTAATATATCACTTGAACATCTCACATTTGCTATTTATTTCATCTTTCTATTTCAACTAACTAATGGACAAACAGATCTATGTCTGGCTATGAACATCAATAATAATCGATACAGAGATGAACTAAAATCAATCATTGGTCTGTTTGAGAATGTCATTCCATTACGATGTCAATCAGACTCTCATTGGTGTTTTCATCAATTAATCAGACATGTTGGAGAGTTAACAACAAATAGTATGAAATATTCATATTTTCCACTTCAACGTATTCTTGATCAACACCCACATATTTCAAAAAATGCATTTTTGGATACATCTCTGGAATTTATATCATACAAGAATAATAATGCAATGATGATTGGTGATTCTCAACTTGTTTCAGACTCTTTCTCATTCAATATTACTGAAGGTGAGATACTGAGTGCATGCGACTTTTCTCTTTCTATTTATCATAATATGAATACCAATCAACTATCATGTACAATCAATGCATCACTTGACTTGTTCAATAGAGACACCGTGGAGAAGATTTCACAACGATTTCATTCCATGTTACATCAATTCTCTGCATGTATGATTGATAATCAAATAAACAAACCTATCTATGAATTATCATTAATATTATCAAATGAACGATATCTGATGCAATCATTGAATAATACTCAAATATCATTTCCATCTCCTCATACTTGTATTCATCATGAATTTGTAAGTCAAGTAATGCAACATCCACAAAAACTAGCTGTTGAACTAGATGAACAATCTTTGACATATGCTGAACTTCTATATTATGTTCAAGTATTGTCTCTAACTCTTCTTAATGAATATTATGTGTTTCCAGGTGAGATTGTGTGTCAATGTGTTGAGCGAAGTTTGTCAATGGTAAGTTAATTAAGATGAGTAACAATTAATGAGAGTTTGAGGTTGACTTTTAATTAGGTGATTGGTATAATGTCAATTGAGATGGCTGGTGGTGTTTATTGTCCATTATCACCTCGAGATCCACATCATCGTTTACATGCACTCACACAACAAACTGAAAGTCGTCTTGTTCTTGTTCACCATTTAACTACGAGCAAATTCAATCATGATATCGTTTCACTTAATATTGATTCAGTATTGACCATTAATTATATGGAAAAGAATATTGATATTGATCAATTATCAAGTATTAAAGTTACAGTCGATTATCTAGCTTATATCATTTTCACAAGCGGTTCGACCGGAATACCTAAAGCGGTTCGTTCAGGTGTAGCGTTTTGATATTTGACTGATTTTTGTGCTTTCTTATAGGTTCAAGTACGGCACAAGAATTTTATTGAATTCATGTGTTCGTTAGCTTATGGTGATGTGGTGAATGAAAGGGATACAATTCTTCAAATCGCACGTTGTTCTTTTGATGTTCATGTCCAAGATATAATGGGCACTTTTATGATTGGAAGTAGTCTAATTATGTTGCATCCAAGAGGAATCATGGACTTTGACTATCTTGCTCGTGTTTTCAAAGAAAAGACTATTACTTGTATTACTACTGTTCCAACTATAATTCATAATTTTTTCACTTTTCTGCTACAACGAAATCATCATAATGTTGCACAGTACCTGCGATCAGTTTGTAGTGGTGGTACGTGATATTTATATGAAATGTATTCTTTTTGATATGATATGATTTCATCTATAGGTGAGCCTTGTTCAATACAACTAATCAATTTAATGTCAAATACTGTAACGCACACTTGTCGTTTATGGAATTTGTATGGTCCAGCTGAAACAACAGTTGATTGCACGTTTCATGTAATCGATAACGCAACGGATACTGAAAGCTTTCCAATAGGCAGACCACTTTTAAAATACCAAAATCTAGTTTTAGATCAATTCTTACAAAGTGTGTTTACTAACCAAGAAGGTGAACTATTTGTAGGAGGTGTTGGTGTGTTTGCTGGTTATGTTGGTCGTCATGATTTAACTGCAAAAGCTCTTCTTGAAATAGATGATGAACTATTTTATCGAACAGGTGATCTTGTTAGAATGGATAAGAATGGTCTTCTTCATTATCAAGGAAGAAGAGATCATCAGGTGAAATTACATGGACAAAGAATTGAACTTGGTGAAATCGAACGATGTTTACTTAGTATTACATCTATTTTTGCTTGTGTTGTTATGAAATGGAATGATGATTACTTAGTTGCTTATGTTCAGTCTTCTCATACCAACGAAGAAGAACTAAGTCAACGTTGTCAATCTCATCTTCCACCACACATGGTTCCATCCATATTCATCATACTTGATAAACTACCTTTGAATTCAAATGGAAAAATAGATCGAAAACTTCTACCGCCACCTGATTTTTCATTGTCAGCCGATAATATTGATGGTAATGTGCCGCGTACCACTCTTGAACAACAATTACAAGATATATTCAGTGAAGCTTTCCATATTGAATCTCCTTGTATTGAAGTTTCTTTTGGTCAACTTGGTGTAACATCACTCGGTGCTGTCCTAGCACTTACATTGATTCGTCAAAAGGTCTCGAATAAAGTTGACATTGGTCTTTTATTTACTAATCCATCTATTCGACAATTGGCTATAGCAATAGAACCTTTATTAGTTTTCGAAGAACTACAAGAGACAGTGTTCACAACCAATCAATCTCATGAAACACATGTTCGTTTTTCACCTTCGTTTGTCATCGAATCTGTTGGTATTGTATTTCTCGTCTGTCAATGGTTATGTCCAATTATAATGATTCATCGATGGTGTCCATTATTTTTTCCAATTTTACCAGCATTTCATCTTTTATTCTACGTCATCTGCTCACGTCTATTCTCACCATGCTACATCAAAACTGATAATCTTTTCTCTTGGAATTATTATCGATTGTGGTTTTTAGATCGCCTATGGAATAATAATACATTTTGGTTGAAGCATATACTTGGCACACCACTCTACAATTATTATCTTCGTCTTTGTGGTGCACGAATTAGTCTTAATACACATATTTATACCACAGCTATTGATGCTCCATGGTTGTTAGAAACTAATGATGAAAGCTGGATTGCTAATGAAACGTATTTGAATTGTCTATATTTTAATGATGATAACACTTTCAAACTGAGTCCGATTAGAATTGGATCTAATTGCTCAATCGGTACCCGATCGATTCTATTTGATGGAGTTGATATGCAAAATAATATTATTGTTCAACCAATGTCATCGGTCACTGGCTTCATCGCATCTCAAACGATTATCGATGGTGATCAACACAAATCTGTTCCGTCAGACACGTCCAATATGCATAGTAACAGATCATTATCCATATGGCATAAGATATATCAAATGATTGCACTTTTCTCAATCATCGGTTTCCATTGTACACTTTTGATGATAGTCTATAAAGTTTATTCAATGAGACAAATACCACTACTAATCAGTATTGCTTTTTGCTGGACTTTATGGTCAATTATTGGTTGTTTTATTTCGCTTCTCTTGTTGAAATTTATAGTGGGACCCTGTGCTGCTGGTGAAATATATCCGATAGCATCTAGATTATATCTACAAAAAATATGGCTTCGTCAATTAGTTGTATCTAGTTTTCATCATGCTTGGCTATTAACAACTAGCTACGATTATCTCTATCCTTATGTTCTTCGTTGGCTAGGTGCTCATATCAAAGAAAATGTCAAAATCGCTGAGATAGATACTTTTCTGTCCTGTCCAACAAATCTGTTAAAAGTCGAAATAGGTGTTACTACTTTTGGTGGAGTTTCAATAGTTCCTACTGAATTGACACTCTCAGGTGATCATCGTGTGGATCAAACTATGCTTGGATCTCATACAAATCTTGCCAATGGATGTTCAATCTTGCCTGGTACTTGCCTTGCATCTGAGACAATGATTGGCAATTTAACACGCATCGCACGAGAGACAAAAAGCAATTACGGGGAAGTTCTCATGGGTGTTCCAGCTCGTACAATGCCATTTCAAATGCCTGTAACGCCAAAAAACCAAGATCAGATCAAAATCATACCATTTTGGCATTCATGCTTGTCTCATTATGTCAGCAAATGTCTTTTATTAAGCATTTATTCGTTTGGTGGTCTCGTTGGTGGATCAATCATTCATACAATGCTTGTGTGTGGCCTCTATCGATGTCGTTCATATATACGTTATCAAATTATAGAACAAATAATAGCAAGAGTGAGTCAAGATTATGCACAATTTATTTGTCCATTTCTTGGTAATACACAATGGCTCATTCGACTATTTCGAGCATACGGTGCTCACATTGGTGAGAATACTATAATGCCAGATATATCCAGTATTACTGATTATCATTTGATGGCTATTGGAGATAACGTTCGACTTAATGTGGGTACACAGATACAGGTAATACATAAGCTTTTTGTTATTGACTTTCACATAAAATTGTTTTTCCGAATCTTTTCAGGGTCACAGTTTCGAACAACGTATTTTAAAACTAGCTCCTGTATCAATCGGTAATTCATGTGTACTCATGAGTGGCTCAATTGTAATGGCAGGCTGCAAATTGATGGGTAACAATCGTCTTTATCCCGGGACACTGATAATGAAAAATGATCAGTTACCACTGAATACTCATTGGAAAGGGATTCCTGCACGTAAGTCACTCAGATAGATGATCTGCTCTTATGTAACACTTCCAAGACATTGTCTAATCGTTATTAATATTCATTTTTTATATCCTACCATTTCTTTTTAGTGAGATATACTGTTTTTAAAAATGAGCATACTATAGTTCCGATATAAGAAGCTAAATTGAGTATAACATTTTCTAGGTCATCTGAGGAAAACCATGATAGAAATCATTTGATTAGTGTTCTTTGTCACTGATACTAGATTATTTCTAAACTATTCTGCTGATCATAACACATGATATACTTTACATCGAGTTTATTTTTTATCGTATTCTTTTGTTAATATCAAATTCAATTAAATCTCTTTGTCAGTTTCAACTTATAATTATTTATCAACGTCTCATACTAGTATTAGATCAGTTTAAAATTATCATTCCGTATTAATAAATAATAAATATATGATACGACGAAGATACGATAGAGTATTGAATTTGTAACGTTTTAAACTCTTGTTAGATTAACTAGTTTTATACTTAGACTGTAAAATTAAAAAACTACACATCAAACATCTTGATAAGATTGTATATTTACACTATTTTCAAAATGGACACAAAAATCTTACATTTTGCTATGTTTATCATACGTTTTCTAATATTTGTACTCTGTTATCTTATTCTTTAAAATGGTTTCATTTAAAGTTAGACTGCTTACTTTGAATTGTTGCATATGAATTCATTCATTGCTTTATTATATTATACCCCTTTCTTCTAGAATCTTACACAGTAAAAGCAAAATTATCTCGGCCGACAATAGTTCATGACGGCCTAGTAAAATATCAACAAGGATACGACACCATTAATAAATTGTTTCTCTGGTACGAACGAATTGCAAGCGTCTATACGAGTATAAATGAATTACAATTTATGAACTATGGCTATGCAGATGTGGATGAATATATTGATGATCATACTGGCTATTATTCAAGAAAGCTTTATGAACAGGTATGTAGAAAAGAAAAGAATACAAGACTCTATTTTAGTGTTTCTTTTTTGTCCTATCTTGCATCCACTGTCAACAGAAGTTGTCATTGTTCTTAATCTATAAGGAATTTGTATGGATATGAATATAAGATTGGTTTATTAAATGCTATACACTCTAAATATGAAAAGAAAATCATTCAAATCAACCCATTTACATATAGTCGATTTGATATACAAAGAACAATCGAAAATTCTGTGACTTTTCCAATGTACAAGTCATGATTGAAATATTTTGTCTTATTTTCTAGGTTCTTGCAAATGTGACATTAACAGATCAGAATGTCCTTGAAATCAACTGTGGTAGAGGTGCTGGTGCTGCATGGTGTGTTCATACTCATGCATTTCACTCTTACATTGGAATAGATCCTTCTCAAGATGTCATTAATCTATGTCAACGACTTTATTCGACAACTCCTCGACTTTCTTTCGTAGTAGCCAATGCAACAAAACATTTACCATTTGAAAATGAGTCAATTGATATTATTCTTTGTATTGAAGCAACAAATGCTTTTGGGGAACCAGTAGCAATCGCACAGTTTGTCAATGAAGTTGTTCGTGTACTTCATCCAAATGGATATCTTCTATGGTGTGATATTTGTTACATGAATGGATCAGGTATATCAGTTTATGATTTGATAGCAAATGGCGAATTAATTATTGAAGAAAAGATTAATATTACAAGGAATGTTCTTCATGCACTTGATATTCAAAATAAGTCTCGTACTGATTTCATTCAACGTTATATTCAATCTGAAGAACAAGAATATTTTCGTCTGTTTGCTGGATTACCCGGTACTCAAATTTATGAGGACATGAGACAAGGACGTTCACAATATTGGCGAGTTGTATTTCGAAAGAAGACAATAACAGATATGCCTATCATCTGAAAACAAACTTTAACTGAACAATACAAACACTTTTTCTTTTCTCAACTAACTGTAGTTTTATTTTTAACCTCAACTAATAATGTCATATTATTCTACTTCATACTAATATCTTATTCTTATTTCTTAACCAATAAATTATCTTTATAATCATGAATCTCTATTTATTTCATCACATTGAATAAGATGAAATTTTAAGAAAAAGTACATATTAAATTATCCTTTTATTTCTGACACACATGTTGTAGTGGATTTTCAATCATTCGGTTAGGTTTAGTTAATATGTTCAGAATAAAAATTTAATATAATTTGAACTAAATAATATCTATTTAAACTGACAACAAAATGTCTTCAAATTCGTTCTAATTATTATTTAATTCAACGATAATCTCATTCAATATACTGATGTATTACTTTTACAATTCATCCGTACATTAATTCACTCGAGTTAGTATTGAGTCAACTATGGGAATAGCTTATAAAAGTGAACAATAGGATATTGATATGATTAGATTTGAATGTCAGTTTGGATATGAGTCAACTTGAAATCCATTTCGAAGTTTCTCAATTTAACTTTGTTCAAAGATTAAATAGTTTTATAAAACATTGAAAATTATCCAAGATACCACAGAGCTAGTCATATATTTTACGAGAGAACAGCGTCCACCTTAATCTTGTCTCCTTAAAGTCCTTCAGTCTCATCAAGTATCATACCATTTTCATTTTAACAGAAAGATTTTCAATCAGTTTTTATTCATAATATAGCTAAAATAATAATTTCATCACAGGCTATACATTATATAAAAGAATGTACTAAATCACTTCATTCAATTAATTTACCCTCTTCTATATATATCAAACGAAATGTCTTATGACGACTTGTACGAATACCCATTATCACTGCACCAAGTTTTTCTATTACACTTTTATTTATAATATCAATATATTTATTTTATTTCTTATCCCTCGCAATCACCTATACAAAAGTGCCCAAAAAATATGAATATCCTGTAACTGCATTAGTAATATCAAAAATAGAAATGAAACTATTCAGCCAATTAGAAAATATTATTAATATGAATTAAACGAAACAATATATAAGACAATTGAATAATTAATGTAGAACGAAACAAAAAAACGATATTCCCATTTGTTTTTTGAGGTAAAAATAAGCGAGATTCTATTGAAAGCCATTTGGGTTATTTGATTGCCATCGCCATAAGTCTTGACCTAATTATATATCACATAATTCATTCATAATAAAACTACTTTACTTACACATATCATCTAAACCTCGTTGAGCTGTCCATCCAAGTTGTTTAGCAGCTAAACTACAATCAGCATAAACAGAAGCAAGATCACCTGAACGTCGAGGGCAATTCTTATAAGCAATAGTTTTTCCTGATGCTTTTTCTAATGCTTTAATCATCTCTAACACTGAATAACCTTTACCCGTACCAAGGTTATATATCTAAATATTACGAAAAGAAAAACATAACTAGAAACATTTTACAAACAAATTCTTTATAAATACTTGAAGACCACAACTATCTTTAAACTTTTTCATTGCTGCTATATGACCTTTAGCCAAATCAACAACATGAATATAATCTCGTACACCTACATACATACATTTAAATCAATTTTTACTTATTGAAAACAAAATTTGAATATATTAACCTGTTCCATCCGGTGTATCATAATCAGTACCCGTAACATTTACATGTGGTAATCTACCAACAGCTACTTGGGCAACATACGGCATAAGATTATTTGGTGTACCAACAGGATTTTCACCAATTAAACCTGATTCATGAGCACCAACAGGATTAAAATAACGTAAAAGAATAATATTCCAATCCTAAAATAATTATATTTTCAATGAAAATTATTCTTATTAAAATAATGTATTTGAATACAAACAGAATGAGCAACAGTTGTATCTTTAAGAACATGTTCACAAATATATTTACTCTTTCCATATGGATTTGTAATAGCATCTCCAACACATGGATGTTTCTCATCTAATGGTAAATATTTTGGTGTACCATAAACAGTAGCTGATGATGAAAAAATAAAATTTTTTACATTAAATTCTTCCATACACTATGAAAATTAAAATAGAACTACATAAAAATTTACTTGTATATAAAAATATTACCTTAAGTAAATTAAATAAGCAACCAACATTATTTTGATAATATAAAACTGGGTTTTTAACAGATTCACCAACAGATTTTAAAGCAGCAAAATTAATAATAGCATAAATAGAATGTTTCTTAAAAACATCTCTTAAACTTTCTAAATCAAGACAATCAATTGTATAATTTGTTATTTTAGATCCACTGATTTTTTCAACTCGTTTTAAACATTCTAAAACATAATAGAATTATTCTTTTTTTTCGCCAAATATATATTCAATTATACCTATAGAAGAATTTGACAAATTATCAACTACGATAGGCTCATATCCAGCATTGATAAGTTCAATAACACAATGACTACCAATAAAACCAACACCACCTGGTACCAAAACTTCAAGTTTATTTTGATCATCTTAATTTAAGAAAATTTTTGCATCTAATCGTTTTTTCTATCAAATATTAATAATCATATATCTTACTTGATGTAGCTGCCATTCTATTCTAATTAGATGATCTGAAAACATCAATTTAGTGTATATGTATTCTTGTTTTCTATATATAAATGTCATTTTATTTAATTTTAAGAAAAAACGTAAAGCAATAAAAGTACGAAAAACATGAGGAATGCATGCGGTGAACTGTGTTGATAAGCAAAAAAAAGAAAGAACCAATAATTTTGTATTGAGAATGAATAACTCACAAAAAGAAAAATGAAATCCACAGATAAGCGAAATATTAATGAAAATCAAACTTTGCATTTTTTCACGTTACAAATTAACCTATAGAAATACAACAAAAGAAAATTGAATATCACGGGGGGAGTTTGGTTTTCCATTCAATAACAACATATTTGAAATTTCGATTTTCTAATTCTCATTTTCTCTCTTACAGAGAAATTAACATCACATATACACAGATAAAATTTTGGAATGTGTTAAGAAATGTAAATAAAGAAGCTACAAATACAAACGTATAGAACAGTAAATATTGATCAATACGATTGGGAATTTCACAAGAAAAGAAAATTACACTACAACATAAAGAAACATGAGAACTAAACTTTTAAAAAAAGAAAAATTATGAAATTCATTAAGTGGAATTAGCAACAATAGTTGCTGGATCACGTCGAGATTGATTAATAGCATTAAAATTAACATTAAAAACAATTAAACAACCTGTAGAAAGACCAGCTATGATATATCTAAATAGAAAAATAGAAATATGTAATTGTAGGAATTTCAAGAAAGCTAAAACATAGAATATATAACAATTAACGCTTATCCGAGGACTCGCTTAGCTCTTTCTCGTAGAAATGCATTTTCTGCACATTTACTGAAAAAAACAGTGAAAAATTGATCTTCGATATTTTTTTGACCTTTGACCTCTATTCGTTCACCCCTTCCACGCGGTTACTCAATACTCATCAGATTCGAAGTCTCTGCATCGAAAAACCTCTAGAAATCTGTTTTTCAAAAAATTGATTTTCAATGTTTTTTTGACCCTGCGGACATACAAGCAAACAAACAGTTTATGTTTACTGGACTTCTCTCTACGAGAAAGAGAATAGAATCTGAAAACAAATGAACTACAATGCTAATTACTTTCAAACTCGGTATTATTAATAGTTTGAGAAATATGAAATTCTTACTTTTGATCATGAGTAATAGCTAATGAACGAATACTAGCATCACATTGTGGATAAGCATAAATCGGTTGTAAATCATGTGTACGAAGAATTTGTACAAAACCACGATCACCTCCAATAACCGTATATTGACTATCGGAATTTAGTACCATATTCTAGAATAATTAGTAATTTTTCTTATAGTTCAAAGATAGATAAAAAAGAAAGAAGATTTTATACTTGAATAGTTTCATCTTCAAAAATTGCTTGTCTCATTAATTTTCCATTTAATGTATATAAACATAAATTGGATCGATTATAACAAACAATAATATCACCATCATTTGACGGTGCTAATAAACGTGGTGTAGACATATTACATGGATTTTCAAAAGCTCGTAATATATCTCCACTGAGTGTATGTTGAAGTATAAGACTATGTTCACTACCACTTACAACAATTCCAAGTTCAGCTGATATCCATAAACATGTTATTTCACTATCATGACCTGTTAAAATTGCTGATGGTGATGGATTGATATCTAAGAAAAATCAATAAAGATAAATTTGATTTATTAGAATGAATCTTACCTTGATTTGGATATTCTTTATCAACAATTGCTCCTTTTGTTCCATTCCAAATCCAAATCGAAACAGTAGAATCTCTTGAACCCGTTGCAATAAAACAATTTCCTGCAACAGTTATTTCTGATCGACATACACATGTAACTACATCAAAATGTCCATAGAGTACTTGAGTTGTTTTTGCCATATCGGTATTTTGTACACGAAAACTTTTATCCCAATAACCTGTCGAAATAATAAAACGATTGTCAGCAGTAACAACAAAACTTTGATGACGTTGTTGAGTACGTTCATCAAAAGTATCACCAAGATGACGACGATGTAAACCTGTATTTAATACTAGAAATAAAAAAACAAATCATTTTGTTTTAGATCTTCAAGTTTTGAATGTGTATATAATTATTACCTAAAAGTGAATCCATGCTTAATGGTAGTTGTGCTTGTTGATTAATTGGTGTTACTGGTGTTTCTGAATAAGTTTGTGTCGATGATCCAACATTGGTATTATATTTATTTATTGAAAAATCATGTCTATTACTAATAGTTAATACAGCTGGAATTGGAACTGTTGGATTAGTATTAGCCGCAACATGAATTATTGGTGCATTTGATGAAAATTTCATAATCATTGATACATCTTCCAATGTACTAAAAGCAAATCTTATAGAAAAAATCGATTCTCTATTTCAAAACAAAATCACTTACGTATTATGTGGTGTTGGAGTCTAAAATAGAATAAAATAAATGTGAACAAAAACATCAAAACAAAAGTCTATCACTTACTGTTGGTACTGCTGAATTTCTTGGTGGATGTGGTTCAGTTAAAAGTTGTGATGGAACTTGACCAAAACGTTTTATTTGTTTTTCAATAGCAGCACGATCTACTGGATTCATTATTGAATCAAGATTAACAGCACCTTCATATGTTAAATAATAAAAAACATTTATAGCTCGTATTGCTTCGGGTCCTAAAATATTCAATTAAAATTTATAGACAAATACATCAGTATCTTAAATAGACCTCTTTGTTTATAACCAAAAATTAAATCAATCCATTGATGTAAATGAGATGAAACAAATTCAGATTCTAAAGCCTAATAAAATTAAATTTCGATAAAAATGAATAAAACTAATAGAATTTTTTGTTATTACTGCTCGATTCATTCGAATAAAATCTTCTGGTGTTTGAGCCCATTTCGGTAAAATAACATCATCAACTAGAGTTTCATTTTCTGTTTGTCCAAATTTATAATTATTATAATTAGTTAAAATTTCTGGTAATGAAAATAATTCAGGAATTAATTCTTTAACATCAGATGAATCACGTTGACAATTTTGCCATGATTGAGGAATAGAATGAAATGTTCGATTAGGTGAATCAAATTTATTTTCATGTAAATTTAAATAATATGAAGTAAATGGTTCCTTGAAAAATAAGGAATTGATTAAACTTTTTATAGACAGAAAATCTATGACTTACAAGTCGAATAAGCCAACTTAATGTAGATGTTGCTGTTGAATAATGTGTAGTATAATGAAATGCAGGAATAGTATCCGAATCCCAATTATTATAATGTTCGACAAAAAATGATTTTCGTGTAGGATTTAATGCTCCAATAGGCTAACGTAAAAATGAATATGTCAAAAAGAAAAATTTTGAAAAAACAAATTTACCTTTGATAAATCTCGATAAGTTGATGGAATATTTAAATCAAGTTTTTCACTATCATAATCAGCTATAATCCATGGGAATATCGGATATTGATTTAAATCTTGATAACTTCGACCTACGAAAAAGAATATGTTTGTTGTTTTTGTCATTCATCATGAAAAATATATAGTAAATTACCTGAAATCGTATTGAGATACATCAGATATTCAAAATTGGAAATTTCACGTCGTTGCCATCGTTGTGTCATATTTGCCGAACGAAATAATTGTTTTGGTGATGCTAACGATGTTCGTCTAATAAACAAAAAAACAGATTTTATCATTAATAATCAAAGAAATCATGATCTTACCTTTGTTGTGGTAATCCATAACGACCACCAACACCAACTCGAGGTAAAAAATTGACAACTTTTTTTACAATAGTACGATCGGTAAAGGCAAACATAACACTTGCTAAAAAAGAAAAAGAGAATCATATATATTAATTTCAAATTATTATTTCATGTTTATTTTTTTCGCAATCCAAACAAGTTATCTGACGGTATATATTAGTCGATTCTCGTTCGGATATTTAGTAGAAAAATAAGAAATTAATATTTACTTCTATTTGAAACAAATATTTCCAATGCTTTATCTTGTAGAAGATATTTTCTTGAAAATATTGCTCGTATTTCATTAAAATGCCATTTTCCATGAAGATTATCAATATAAGGAAATATCTAAATCATAGAGAAGTAAAAATAAAAACAATCAATATAATATAATTACTTTTAAATCAAGATTTTTGAAATTTTCATCATCTTCATTTGCATCAAAGAGTAATGCATGATGTGTAATAGCTAAAACTCCTGATATACAAGTAATTCCAAATATAAGAGAACATTCTGTTGAATAACGTATTGGTCCGGAAAAATCATATTCAAGATCTCTTTCATCAATTTGTGATAAATCTTCATCATCATTATTATTTGACATAAAATTTTGTGTTTTTTGTTGTTTTAATTGTTTTAATAAATATTCATCTTTAATAACTGTTGTTGTTATTATATCATCATTAATATCATCGGATGAATTATTTTCTATTGATTCATTATATAAAATACCATTTGGATTTTGTATCATACGTCTTCGTCGTCTTAAATCATCTTCCCATGGATCTAATTTCCAAAATAAACATGAACTATTTAAATAAGTTATTTTATCATTCATCATTTGAGATAAATATTTTTCTTTTAAACGTAATGCATTTGTTTGATAACGTTGACGAGATGATGTTATAAAATGATCACATAAATCTTCTTCATGAATACGTTCTGAACTTGTTTGAGCACATAATTGTTCAAATTCACTAGCTTTTCGTACATCATCTGCACGCATACGATTAAGTATAAAATCGGCTTCTTTTGCAACTTTAACAACATGATCTTTACTTGCATGAGCAAGTAAACGACCTTCATTAACAAGTTCAATAAAAGCTAAACCAGCATGTTTCTGAAGAAAAAAATAAAATAATTATTTGATACTTTTTCAAATATTACCTGTAGTGAATTTTGCCATTCTTGAGAACATAAAAGCATGACAAGTTCAACAACTGATGCTGTTTGTTTAAGAGCATGTAAACCATTTGGTATTAGTTCTTGTCCATGTGATCCAACTAATATTTTTGAAAGTATATGTGAAAATTCTGTAAAAAGATCTCGTAAAAATGGTGCTATATTTGATAATGTTCGTTCTAATTTTTCAGTTATATTCATTGGTGATGGTTCATTTGAATTGAAACTTGTTTTTGGATAATCTGGAAGTTTTGATTCCGATATTTGACTTTGTTCAAGTGTAGGTGGATCATTTATTGGAATACTAGCAATACTTGCTAAAAAATCACAATAAACGTTATTTCACTTGTATAAATTATTAAGTACATACCATAATGAGCAGGTGTCGTATTTGAACTATTCAAATCTACAGATGTTCGATCGATTGATTGTGAATCTGTATTATCTGTTTCATTACCTGTATCAAATCGTTCATTAGATACTGTTGATTGATTTGAAGTTTTCTACAAAACAAAACAATCATTTTTTACTATAAAAATATTCAATTACTTTATTTTTAGTAATAGGAGCTACAATTGAACTTAAACCATTCACACTAGCTGTATCAGCATTTCCTTCCATCATTAAACCTAAAAAGAGAAAAAAATTATTAAAATGAACAAAGTTAACAGGAGTAAATTTTATATCCGAGAATACTATTTAAAAAGTACTGAGCATTTCAATTTTAGGATCTAAAATGTTCGAACAGATCAGTCGATATCAGAGAATGTTTTTAACAGCTCTTTAAATTCGAAATAATCTTACTGAATCTTAATTTGGAAAAGTTTAAAAATTCCTACCATTTCGAACACTACTTGTTGCACTCATAAAAGATGTTGTTCTTGATAATGGTACTTGATTTGTTTCAATGATATCTCGATATCTCGATACCATTAATACAGATGCAAAATAAACAATAGCTAATGCTAAAAATTGTGATTGTTTTGCATCATCCTATTGAATATAAAACAAATATATTTCGTTCTATACATCACAATACAAAAGAATAAACAATGAATGCAACATAAAACACATAAAGCAAAGAAAAAGAAAAATATTGCTTAAAATTACCACAACAATGACAACGTTTTTGCCAGTTTTACTTCGATCTTGTCTTACCACATCACGATAGAGAATAGCACGTAAACGATGAATATCAATATCCTGTAAAACTGATTCAGGATTTTTTACGAATGAAGTAAGGAGACTTTCAATATTTTCATCATTATCATTGTCTTGTGATGAATTCAATAGATAAGTTAATTCAAGTATAGATTCAATTGGATCTTTCATTGGAGTTTTAGTTTGTGGTTGTGAAGAAGATTTTGATGTGTTAGATGGATCAAATTGTTGAAAACGACATTCAACACAACTACGAACAGCAGTTGTCATTGCTTAAAAATAAATATTTGAAAGATAAGCATAGATTTAAAAACAAAACAAGAATAGTTTTATACCTAAGCGAAGACATTGTCGTAAAATTCCACCATTTGGCATATTTTTATCTTGTTCAAGTTCAGCAAAACTTGTTGTATTTGAAAGAATAAATAAATCTGCTAAGCTCATAACACGTTTTAATATTTTAAGTGCATTATATGGTGATAAACCTTCAGAATTTTCTAATACTTCAGCTTCATGCTAAAATAAAATCAAACAAAAATTTTTTTGTACAATTTCCTCTAAACAAAAATTCATTTACTGAAGCTGATGTAGCACTAGCAAGTAATGGTAGAAGTCCTCCACATGCGTTACATAAAATATCAGACATTTGAGAAATAATATGTATAACATTAACACAAAAGATTTGATTATCGGCATGATTAATTGCATCAGTAATTGGTTTTGTTGGATCGCTAAATAAAAATATTAAATGAATAATAGTTCGTTTTTTGTTTATTATTTTAAATAATACATACGATTTCCATGCACGAACATCAGTTTCAATTGAATCAAACACACTATGCAATAAACGAATATGTAATGGAGAATATTTATATTCAGAAATTGAAAATGGTGGTAACTGATTGCTTTTATTGAATACTTGACGATTAGAAGTTGATCCTTAATAGAAGAATAAAATTTTTACATTCATTCATTTATATGAAAAACAACAATAATAAATACAAAATATTTTCGATAGAGTTAGATCATACACAAGTTTACTTATATTGAAGATAACAGATAATGTATGATTTGAGTTCTGTGAAGTGATATTTCTGCTCAATCTACTTTATATTTATATTACAGTTAGGGATGTACCGAGACCGAAGTTCTGGGTCTCGGGATTCACAGTTAGTACCTGTGTGTCTGTCCTGTTTTTGCTTTGCATTCTATAATCACTTTTGTACACTTTCTGACTTATTCGATAAAAGAACGTTCAGGGTGTGGGTGGATTGAATAACATATACGCTCACAACCGCACCCTCAAGAATTTCCTCGCGTCTCAATGTATTATGAAATTGCTAAGGGTCAATCATTTTGTGTTGAGTTGTTTTTTCTTCGTATTATAGAATACAAATTCTCAATTGAAAAATCGGATATATTATTAGGAAATCTATTAACTTACTAGTAGGTGTTACAACTGTATGTCCATCAATTGGTGTTTCCGCGCCACTTTCTGTTGGTGTTTTTTGCTAAATATTTAATAAATTTTATGAAAAAACTAATTTTTATTCAAAATAAATCACATACATCATTTTCATCACTATCTTTCATATTTTCAACCATTTTATTAATCTTACGATAATAATCTTCTTTTGTTACCTAAGAATAAAATTAAGAATTGATAAAAAATATTATTTTATAATTTTACTCGTCCATGTAGAATTGAAAGTGTATCAATCCAAACTCTCCATCCACCAAATTCAAATTTAATTGCATGATGTAATAAAATTTTTAATAATTCAAAAACTCGATCAGTTACTTCTACTTGTCGATCATTCGATGGATATATATATGCAATACCAAGTAAATATTCTTGCCAAACAGACATTTGTAAAATAATTCTTAAAATATTTATTTAGTAGTTTTAAACAAAAAAATTTTAATTGTTTTACCTTCGATTTTCGCGACTTGCACATGAAAGTAAAATCATATCATCAAGAAAACGAGATTTTATATCATATAAATAAATATTATCCGGTGAATTTCGAAGTAATGTAGCAATTACTTTAATCATTGCTAAAAAAACATAATCTTCATTAGAGATTTACCATATAATATTTATTTACCTGAATTTTCAATTTTCCAATCGCCCGTAATTTCTGCACTACGTTTTTCAACAATTGGCCCATTTACTTTTTCCACCAGTATCTAGCAAAAGATAACATATATAGTAAGTAAGAATAAGAGTGAATATGATAAAGTATTCATGCATCTTAAATGGCTATATGGAATACTAAACTACCACAACTCAGTTGTAATAGTCATTTTTGTCGATTAAGTACATCCAATTATCAATCGTATGCAAGTCAATATTCGTGAAGCTGCGATAAGATCTCATCCTTATGAGTTCTATAGTGAGTAGTTACAAAAAGCATTAAAATGAATTTTTATAGGCGCCTACTTTTAAGCAAACAGTATGTAGTGTTTTACAGCATTCACATATAGATTCATGCAATTTTTGTCTTAGTTCACTGATGTTTAGTAATTATGTTTAAATGCAAATTGTCTCATATGACAAAAACCTCATTCATCTTGACTATATACATTTGATCCCTACATTCATGTATTGTCTATCTTTCAATTCCCTTTCTCTAGTTTAATCTAATATTTATCTACGATTATAATGAGTCATTATGTAGCACACCCTTTACGACTATTAATCATAGAGATCTTAATACACTAAAAAAGTAACAAAAAATATCTTTCGATAATAGCTTAATGAATATTACTTCAAATAAAATATTATATGTAGACATAGTAAAACCATTTGGATTAAGTAATAGACGATCGGTTAATATTGAAAATAGATTATGTGGTTGCATAGAATCTGTTTTTCGTCTATAAATTCGAACTAATATATATATCTATTATCAATAAAACTAGTTCATACTTGATTGTACTTCGTTGAAGAAAAAATCCGAATAATTTTAATGCTTGTAAACGTGTTGATTCACTATTATTTGCTAATAATTTAAAAACCGTTCTAAAACAGTTTACAAATAATATTAATCAAATAAAATAAAATGAAAATATTTACCTTAAACCTTGTCGACGATCAAATGCAGGTACCATTGTTTTTGGATATTCTGACATAAGATTTACAGCCATATCCAATACATCAATTAAATTTTCATCCTAATATAAATAAAAAAAAGTTAATTTGTTTATTTTAATAAATATATTTTCCTTCCGCTTACTTCATGTACTGTATGTAGATAATTAAGAATAGCTTGAAGTTCTTCTTCTTGTGTACCTGAACTACTAATAACAAGTTGTTTCATATATAATAACATATAACGTCTCATTTCAGTAATTTGTTCACGTGTTGGTCGATTATCATCTAAAGCTTTCGCTTGATGACTTGGTTTAACAATCCAATAAAAATATTTTAATGTATGTAATGTTTGAATAATACCACTTATAGGTTGAATTGAATGATATATTTCATTATATGTTATAAATTCTGTTGCTAAATATGTATATAAACGCATTTGAACCTTAAAAATAAAATAAGTATTGTATTTTATATAATGGTGTGTGTATAGATACATACATCAACAGAACAATATATCCAAATCGATGGATTGAAAAATATATGAACAAATAATTGTTTTAATAATAATGGACTATTTTTACTTTGAATTTTGACAAAAAAATTTGTTAAAGTTATCAAAGCATTTAAGACTTCCATATTGATATGTTCTTTTGATGACTAAAAATAGAAATATATTTATATGCATGAACTACAGCCAACGGCGCGTTCGAAGACCCCAGGTATTCTAATCTGTCCTATTGTTCACAAATTATAACAGGGGTCTTCACATTAAATATGATTAATTGAGATTTAAATATGGGAGTATTTTTTATAGGATAAAATAAGTCGTTTATACAATTCAAATGAAAAAACAATTACTTTTTCCATATGTCCTTGAAGCTAAATGGTGTATATCGAACCTATAATTTCTTATTGTTCATATACCGCATATATATGCCTATTAATTAAATTCTGTGTTATTCAATGACAGACAAAAGCGAAGTTAAGAAGCACATACAAGGAAACAGCGAGTACCGACAGAATAAAAGGAAGTCCTCTAATATGTTTTTTTTGCGTCATTTATTCAAGGGAGGTCTTCGAGCGTGTTATTGGCTTTGCTAAAATCTATGAGTCGACAATTTACTTTTCCTTCTTACATTCAAAATGAAGGATGAGCATAGAAAACAATTATAATCATCTATATGTCTTATGAATATCTTTTAGTAAGATTGGTATTTCTATACAAATCACTAGATAATCAAATCTAACATCTTCTTTAGTGTATTAAGTATATGATGATATCAAATTGTTAACTGTCAAGCTGTCATATTAACGCTGGAAAACAAAATAATTATTAATATCATTGAAAGTGCATAATCTATTTTTAACTTTCAAATATTTATAAATAAATTATTAAGTTGAAAATTATATACTGTTATTGCTATACTTCAAAAATGAGTTTATTTCATGTAGATTTCTATTTAATTAATATATATTCTATACCTTTTCAAGATAATAACCAATTGTTAGAAAACCTTTTGAACTAAGCATTTGATGTTGAATTGTATATGAACGTTCAATTAATTCACATAATGTTAGAAGAAGTACTGAACAAACATTATAAGTAATTGTCCCATTCATTTGTTGATGATCTAATTGATCAAATAAAGGAAAAATAACTTGAATACCACCAATAGAATGTAATGTTGAATAAATTGAATGTGTTACAACCGATCGAACATTACTTAACATTTGTGCATGAGCATTATGAACAAAATGTGATACATTCGATTTTGGACCGGCTTGTAAAACAAGTTTTTCTTCACATGCAATTGGATTATAATTAAATACAATTGAATTCATTAATTTTCCATCATACATAGCTTTACGTTGTCCTTCACTAAGTATATGTGCACTTTCATGTTCAAATTTAAATTGATTTTTATAAGCAGGTCCTAATTTATATAAACCTTGAACAATCATTGGTTCTAAATATATACTAAAAAGATAAAATGTTGATAATTGACCAGAAAAACTTGTTAAATCATTATGTTCAGGTGTACAACCAATATAACATTTATCAAATAGTTCACCACTTTCAATACTCCAAGGAAAATAAGCAGTTGATACAAGTTGACCATTGATATGACATTGAACACTACTTTTACTCCAACGTTGATATTGATGAGCAAATGTAATCATGTACCACTAAGAACAAAAAAATCAAATAAATATCTCATAAACTATTTCTTTATATTCATGAGAGATATAATCGAAGAAAGAAATTATCGTACTTATAATCTTTGAAATTGGAAAGGGTCTATTATTCTTATTCATTAAATAAAACAACGTATAGATTTACATAATACAAAATCTTATTTTTTACAAACTACAACAATATAATTGATTGTGTTCATTCTACCGATCATGCAAAACGATTACTCATACCTTTATTCATTGTATAAATTTCATTCGTCTAATAAAAATCTTTTTTTATTTAATAACATAAATAATAATAAAAAAACAACAAGTGCATTGTTTTTTTCGAGAATTCTATCAAGTCAATGATTTATGAAACTATTTTCTCAATAAATCATTTTTTATATTCATAATAAATTATTGATATCAGACGTAAATAAAATAAAAATTTATTTTCATTACCTCTCGTGATTTAAATTCATATTGTATACAATGTTGAAAACTTTTTTCTTTTAATTTTGAATAGGATATAACAAGACAATTACCAACAAAATGGGCGGTATAACCATGTCCTTTCGATGTACAAAACCAATATAAATAAGGTTTTTCTTTTTCAATAACACTATTTGCAACAGGATCAATACGAAACCATGTTGTTATGGTAAAACCATTTTGATATGGCCATGTTTTAATTGGAGGTAAAACAAGACCGGAATTATTTCGACCAGGAAAATTAAAAAATTCATCGGGTCCATGTCGATATGGAAGATGATGGAATATATTTAATAATTTAACTGAATGTTTTTTCTAAATAAATCAAAAAACATTAAAATGAAATTAGTTGTTTTTTTTATCATACCCAAATTTTATTTTCTGTTTTTAAATAACGTAAAAGTAATTTAAGTTCATTCACATTAATTGTTAATGATGTTAAAACAGTTAAAATATCGACTAATAAATTTGCAACAACATCATTTTCAATATCATTTAATAGCTCGAAAACTTTATTATATATGTTTGCATCAACACATACTAATAAATTTCGTTCACTTTTACGCATTATACCAATTAAAACACTAAGAATTTCTGCTTGTAATGATGGTGATATTTCATTAAACATTGAAAATAATTCCGATAGATTTTTTGGATTTTGAATAATATAATTTTTATCTAAATCAAAATCTCCATCGACAAGCTAAAATAAATAATAAAAGTTTGAACTTCAAGACAATTCGGAGACGTTTTTTTTATACCGTATTTAGAATAGCTGAACTTGCTTCTTTATTTGATTTCTCGGATATTACTTGAAGAAGTTGTTGAGTATTATTTTCAGTAGAAATAGGTAATGAGTCATTTTGTTTGTCAATAAAAACATCAGACATTGATAATGTTGGTGATGGTGTTTCACGACCATTCGGTGTTGCGAGTGTTGGTTCATTCTCTTCTTCACCATTTATAGAAACTTGTGGAATGATTTCTTGTGCTGGTTCATGCTCTTCTTCACCATTTAAAGAGACTTGTGGAATGATTTCTTCTGTTTGTTCATGCTCTTGATTACCATCATCAGATTGAACATCGTTATCATCTTTAATTTCTTCGCTCATGTCAAAATCTAAAGAGAAAAAAACACAAATGACATTTAATTTTCATCTTTTTTTCCTGCTGAGCATAAGTTGCAAAAAAAAGACAAAAATAGTCGAATTTATCAGTGTTTCTTTTTGTATTTCTTTATTCGTGGCTTCTATTAAATCATTTCTATTGTTACCTGACTATTGATATTTATTTCTTTTTTTTTCTATTGACAGAAAGGTACACAATCTCTTGATTACTCACTACCCCCGAAGGTATACGACACGTCGGGTTGAGATAAGCTAGACATACGTTTTCGCCATCACATAAATAAAACGCTCAGCCTCTGTAATAAAAAAAAAGAGGGCGTTGAACATCAGCGTATTTTTTCAATTTCAGGTAAAAAATCTCAAAAAAATAGTTCTAATTTCTACCATGACTATCAACCTATTTGAGATAAAATAAGTACAATGTCTAATGTGAAGAATTTTTATTTAAATACATTAGATAAGCTTTTTTGTTGAACATATCAGTCAATAGGGAAAGTATTTCTTCATTCTTATTAAAATAATTTTCATATAAAATCAATTTTATTGAGTTTCTTCCAGTTTACATAAAATATTTATAATTTACGAAGACTAAATTTATAGAAAAAAAACTTGAAGGAATAAAATATAATCATCTTCTATAGTAAAATGATTAACGAGCGTTGTTAATCATGCTTCAAATACTGCTTGAGTCTAATTTATGGTCTGTAACAAGAAGAAATATTATTCTACTTGATCTAACACATAAAAGTATATAATTGAAACTGAGATATGAGATGACGGTAGAAAGTACTTTATGTGGTTTCATATAAAAATATTGTTTTTAATAAATATACCTTTTTTCCTCATAGATTAAGCAAAAAAACAGTACTATTGCAATCATTTATACATGACAGCTTCGAAAATTTATAAGACTTCGAAAAAACAATTTCCACTTCAACGACCATAAGTGCTGATAGTTTTCATTTTGACTTAAAACGTAATTATATTCATGATCATATTTTAAGTATGCTTTATATAGAATTTCTATCAATTTTGTCTGTGAAATGTAGATGAAAAAAAGACATCCATATTCAATGAATATGTGTAGTTTTAATTTCTACAATAATATTATTATAAAATAACGTGCATATTTTGATGAAAAACTAATTAGTTTATAAGTAGTATTAATTTCCGGAATGATAATAAAAATGAAAAAATGTTATTATAACGCTTTGTGCTTCAAAAGAATGGTATCAAATCTTTTTCTCAACAGTTTATTGTCGATCATTTTCAAAGAAAATCTAGCACTTGATTAACCATTGAGAAATTGTTCAATATAAAACAATAAATAAGTAGGAAGTATTGTCTAGTACATATTTTATTGTATTCGAATAATAGTTTATTAATGTGGTACAAAGCACAACGTTTGATCTTTATCTTTAAAGCGAGCTAATTTTGTGTTTCAAGATAATTAGATGATTATACAGCAGAAAAAAATAACATTCCAGTTTTAAGCAACTGTAAATTACAGCGCAAGGTTTCCAATTTTGATACACTGATAACTCAAAAAAATGAATGAGCATCTCTGAAAAACATTGATAGTGGTCCTGATATTGTCAATAGATTGATTATTTAATTGCCTTGGTTAAAAGATGAAGATCAAATTATCAAAAATATTTCTTTAGAAGTAACTAATGATTATTATCAATATCGTATTATTGATTTCAATTATATTTTACACATTGCAAGTATTACCAAATAAAAATCAAAAAACGAGTATGTAAGAAACTGTATGAAGTTGATAATTTACATCAAATTATTATTTCATTGTATAATTCATATCTTTTCAATATGTTGAATCTTACTACTCACATAATGTATTTTCAATAAGAGCACAGTTTCAACAGACACATCATCTTTTTTTTTATAAATTTTATTTTTTTTTAAAAAAATACAGTTACAAATTATAGTTTCGCTTTTATTTCTTTTAGGTTTTTTATAAATAATTCCAAATGAGGATGATCTTTTGCTAAAGCTTGTCGACCAATGTGCACAGCACGTTTATAATGTGGAAGTGCTTTTGAATAGCTGCCCATATTCTCATACACATTACCAATGTTGTTAAAGGACGCAGCCAAATCGGCATGATGTGCAGGAAGTGATTTTTGTTGAATTGCAAGAGCTTTTTTATAATGAGTAAGTGCTTTTGGATAATCACCCATGTTGTGATACACCATACCGATATTGTTAAAAGAAGCACCTATATCAGGATGATTGGCAGAAAGTAATCGTTGTTGAATTGCAAGAGCTTTTTCATGTGATGCAAGTGCTTTTGGATAATCTTCCATACTGTAATATGCATTACCAATGCCCATGTAAAAAGAAGCTAAATCAGGATGATTGAAAGGAAGTGATTGTTGTTGGTTTGCAAGAGGTTTCTCATAATAAGTCAGTGCTTTTGGATAATCACCCATCTTGGAATACACATTACCAATACCCATGTAAGACAAAGCTAAGTCAGGATGATTAGGAGACAGTGCTTGTTGTTTAATTTCAAGATCTTTCTCATAATAATACAACGCTTTTTGATAATCACCCATGCTGTAATACACATTACCAATGTTCTTAAAGGAAGAAGCCAAGTCAATATGATTGAGAGGCAATGATTGTAATTTAATTTCAAGGTCTTTTTCATAATAAGAAAGCGCTTTTGGATAATCATCCAAATTATAATGCACATTACCAATGCCCATGTAGGATGAAGCTAAATCAGGATGATTGGGTGGTAGTGCTTGTTGTTTAATTGCAAGTTCTTTCTCAAAATAAGAAAGTGCTTTTGGATAATCAGCCATACTGTAGTACACCATACCAATTTTATTATAGGAAGTATCCAAATCAGGATGATTGGGAGGCAGTGCTCGTTGTTGAATTTCAAGAGCTTTTTCATGCGCTGCAAGAGCTTTTGTATAATCATTCATGCTGTAATGTGCATTACCGATTCCCATGTAGGATGTAACCAAATTAATATGATGAGGTGGCAATGTTTTCTGATAAATACCAAGTGATTTTTCATAAGAAGCAAGTGATTTTGGATAATCACCCATGCTGTGATATACATTACCAATGTTCTTACAAGAAGCAGCCAAATCAAGATGATTGGAAGGAAGTGAATGTTGTCGAATTGAAAGAGCTTTTTCATGCGCTGCAAGAGCTTTTGGATAATCGCCCATACTTTCATATGCACTACCAATGCCTGTGTAAGATGTAGCTAAATTAATATGATTAGGAGGTAATGTTTTTTGATAAATAGCAAGCGATTTTTCATAATAAGAAAGTGCTTCTTTATACTCTGCTTCATTATATTTAATTAAACCTAGTTGAAGATAAACATTTGCCTTTTCACTCTCGTTCGTAGTTTCATTAAGTAAACCTTCACAAACTCCATGAGCTTGTTTAAAGTGACCCATTTTAATTAACAACAATCCTAATCTAGACCATCCTTTCGAATTGGGAAAAGTCTCCTGCCGAATACGATTTGTCAGATTACGAATGTCTTCATCATTATTATTGACCAGTATTAAATTTACTTGATAAAGTTGTTTATTTCCATCGATTGGTTTAATATCTCCAATTCGAAAAATTGTATGCATAGAGAAAAGAACTTCACCTTTGGTATGAAAACAACTAACATTAGAAACTGAAGCGTATGGAGTGGTTTGATGGCTTGTATTAATTTGCATAACAAATAAAACTCCGATAAGATCCGGATTCGTTGATGCTTTTTGTGCAAAATTAAGGGAAACATTACGAATCTTACTAGTCGATAAAAAATTATTAAACGAAAGAAGTCCACCTTTTGTCTGTGTCATTTCGATGAAATCTTCTTTTGACAGACCTTGTCCACGATAAACTGTAAATATTTTACTTGATGCTTGATTGTTGTATTGTTCCGAATGCAGCCTTTGAATATCACGATGTAGATCACTGATAAAGAAACCCATTCGAATAATAATATCAACATCAATCACTTTTAATGCACGATTGAGCATAGGATATAGAAAACATTCATACGTATACCACCATACAGGTTTTCGATCTTGATAATGACGTTCCATTCTTTTCATATTATGTAATTCATATCCATTTCCAGCAAACGCATCACGACAGTAATTAATATATTCTTTGATGTGTTTGCTCTCGAAATTAATAGTTAATAAGATCTCTTTCAAGATCTGAGTATACATGAATGATGGATCTAATTGATCCAATTTCTTGTTTGGTGCCACAAAACTAATCGAAGTGGTATTTCGCTCAGATTGATGAGCAGCTTGTGTAAGAGCTTCACAGACTGGTGTTATATCTGTGAAGACACCTTTAACTTTAGGCCAGTCTTTGGCCCAATGTTCATGCCATTTCTGATTATTACAAAAAATAAAAATGATATCTACTTGAGACATATCATGCACACGAGGCACAATTTGTTTCCCAAGTGATCCGGAAATAATCATACATATCCTATTATTGGTAATAGTTTGAATAAATTCAGCGCATTTGTCACTATCTGTAAATATGTTTAGATTATTAATAACACGTTTTAATTGCTTGATCATGATATTACAATCCACATTATCCTCATCAATGATGTTATCTAACCAAACCAAAAGGACATTTTGCATTCTTTGCATGTTAATAAATCGATTTGCAATCGCACTTTTAGATAAATCAGGTGATGGATCAACGTGTTTTCCATTAGTAAATACAGTAGCAGCTGTTGATTTTTGATTTTCCATTATTGTTAATGCAAAGGTGTTGTATTTGACTTACTTGAAGAAAATTTATAATGAAAGAATGATGAAAGTAGCTCATTTTATAGTGCTTCTACTTTCTATCTAGATTTGTTTTTCTAATTTTTTTTAATTGCCGAACAAGACTATTTACATTACTAATTATCTGTATCATCATGAAAAACAACCTATGTAAGCACGAAATATAAAATTGATGCGTTGAGATGCATTCAGAAATGTTTTCACAACGTATGAAAACATAGTTTGTTATGAAACGCATGGACACGCGATTATAAAATTTTTGAAATGTGTGGAAACGTAATTAGAAAAAATAAATTGCCTCTCAACATGTATTTTTAAAATATTTAACGCGTTAGAATAAATTTTATCTGTTAACTGTGTTTAAATGTTTTTCCGATATTTTTTCATTTACAAGTGAGGTGCGTCTGTAAGTGTTCATTTCTCACGTTTCAGATTTGATTTTACTCTAGAAATTGTTTCTGCAAAACGATTGACTGCGTGATCGAAATCATCAGTTTAAACTTTGTTATACTCTTTAATAAAGAATGTTTTGAGTGTTAAAATAGATAAAAATTTTATTAAATAAAAGGCATATAATCCATATTTCTCTAAAGTTTGTATGAATAATAGTGAGGCAATATTGCGTTTAGCAGACGATAAAAAAAGTCATCAAATTATTTCAAAAAATTAATGAAAAAGCACATTGTACGTTCAGTATTTTACTTTGAAAAAAGTCTATATTATCGAAATAAAGTGTTTAGGTGATGAACTTTTCATTTCGAATGAGAAAAGATTTCAGGCTAGTATAACTCAGTAATGTATGTGAACCACTTCTGATTACTAACTCATCTGTTCAAATTAGTTGTTATTTTTTTGTTTTTACTTAAAAATAACATCAGATATACTCTGTAATTTAATATATAAAAATATCGAAGAGAGATCAATACAAAAAAATATATTTAAAACAAATCAATAAAAAAACATAGTATAAATATTGTTATGCTAATTAGACAAATGAAATTGGTGAAAATGAACTGTTTTCTATATCATTTTCTACTATATTTGTCATGGAATGACTAAGAATCAAATATTATAATTATTTCAATGTCAATATGTTGACTGTACAAAGATAGATCATCAGATAGGCTTCAATTTAATATTTCTGTTTACCTCTAATTCAAAATTTTGACTTGATATAATTACAATAAGAAAAGCATTCGTTTTTTGTACAAATTCTTGTCTCGTATAGATTTAAACATTATTTTTAATTAAGTTAATATCGTTAATAAATGCTTTTAAACAAAATGCAATTCTGGTACAATAACAATTTGAATTGGTTTAGTTGGAACAATATATCATAAGAAAAGATTTGTTATTTATTTAGATATTGAAATAAATCATGGGTCTCTTTTTAGAACATACAATTGCATTTATGTTACAACGCATTAGATCATAGTTTTGTTCAATTAATGAACGTTTTGATTTGTCACATACAGTCATTTTCGAAATAGAGAAAAAACATTTTTATTTTATGATGTCCTTGTAGATAAAAAAAAGGAGAAAACGTGAAAATTATATATCAGTATCATCAAGAACATCTGTAGTTGTTGTAGTTTTCTTATGGTATCTGTAAGAGAACTTTAACATACTGTTTTATCTTTTTCAGTTCGCTTTATAGATATTACTTTCATTCAATAGCTATGAAGTCAGTTGATAAAAGATGATCAACCGATACTAATAAGTCTCTATTAGTACTAAATTTTATTATTTCTGTTTTTCAATGTCCTTTTGATTTGAATTGGCTGGTCGAGGTGTAATTTTTTATACACACTGATTACGACAGAAGACAAAATTCAGTAGACGACTGTGAATATTTTGCAGAGATGATTTTTTGAAACTCATGGTTTTGCACCACATTTCGTAGTCAATTGAAGCTTAGATATCTAGCTAGTTTTGATTTGCATGAGATTAACATTGGCAATAATAAATGAAAAATTAATACAAAAAAATAGGTTTCTTGTTTTTTTTAGAATTTTAATCAATATAAATATTTAAAAATATGTTATATTAAAGCCAACTCATTTTTGGTATAATAGCTTTTTGTTTATAAAGTATAGCAAGTTCATTTTTAATACCTTTAACATTTTGTACTATGTGTTTTACTGAATAAAATACATTGCCCAATGCTAAACGATTACGCATCGATCGAGTTATATTAACTTGTCGTACGATTTCGATTACTGGCCAATTATGTTCAGTAGGAGAAATTCGATAAACTGCATTACCAGGATAAACATGACGACCTTTTTTCGATTGTTGTACCCACCAATCAAGAAGAACAGGATAAGATTGTGCTGGTGGATCAATCTGCCAATAAAGTTGTGGTGTCATATAATCAACTAATCCTTCTTCTAACCACATTCGAGTATCACAATATAAACTATCATAAGATGAAAGACCAGTTATACCTGCTGGTACACCATTTTTCCAAATACCAAATGGTGATATACCAAATTTTACTTTTGGTCGAATAATATGCATTTTTGTATACATTGTCCGAACTAGCGTATTCACATTTGAACGACGCCAATCATTTTTATTAAATGTACCGCCTGATTGTTGATATGCAGTATAAGTTGATGCATCAGGAAAATCAGTTCCATCACCATATGGATAAAAATAATCATCCATATGAATACCATCAACAGCATATCGACGAACAATATCTTCAGTAACATTAACAATAAAATTTTGAACTTCAGTTGATCCTGGATCCATCCATATATAATTATTATATGTATAAGCATATTTTGGAAATCGTTTAGCCATATGATTTGATGCTAATTCATAAGTTGAACCAGCCATTCGACCACGATATGGATTAATCCAAGCATGTACTTCGATATTACGTTTATGTGCTTCATTAACAATGAATGTTAATGGATCCCATAAGGGTGATGGTGCTTTACCATGTGTACCAGTCAAATACAAACTCCATGGCTCTAATGTCGAAGCATAAAAGGCATCACCTGTAGGACGAATCTTTTTTAGACAAAAAAAAACAACTATGTTTCAAAAATTAAAGAGTCAGAATTTTTATACAATACCTGAAAAACAACAGCGTTCATGTTAAGTGTTTGAACTGTATTAAGAATATTGATTAATTCAGCTTGTTGTTGCGTTGGTGTTGCTGTTCTTGATGATGGCCAATCAATATTAGCAACAGTAGCAATCCAAGCAGCACGAAATTCTTCTTTCATTGGTTCTACTGAAAAACAACATTTTATATTTATTGGATGTGATTCACATAAACCACTTTGATATAAAGCATTTGGACAATCATTAGTATCAATACATTGACCAATACCATATTGTGGATGGTTATAAGTATCACAGGTATTTGCGTGCACTTCGAATATTACAAGATTTAGTGCACAAAATAGCAGAGTAGTTATTAGGGTTACCATTATTCTGTATATCGGATAAAAAGTAAAACACATACGTAAAAGACACTTTTTATAGTTCTATATCATCTGTATATTTTCTCATGATCAATACGCCCAATTTTCATCTCTTACCCTCAAAAAAAAATATAAGTCAGTATTCTTAAAGATAAGAATCATTTTTGTTAACTGCATGTTGATACACTCTTCTATATTCTCAGTCAAATAATCTCATTGAATTGAAATATAATATAATTTAAAATATTCCAATTTATTCTACAACTTTCTTGTAAACTTTTCAATAGTTATTTGAATTTAAAGAATTAAGACTAGAGGCTTAAGGAAGTCATCGAGTAGATAAATCATAGAAACACGACCGTTTTATAAACGAATCTTAAAAGCATGGGTGGGGAGCGTTACACTCCTCACTCTCCTCTCCTAGTCGGTACGCCTCTGATGTAGACAATTGTCGAATTTCTACTTATATTAATTAATATGAGTTTATTAAAACTGAAGTATATAATTATTATTACTTATTCAATTTAGTTTATACGCAAATACCTTCTATACTAAGTATCAGTTACTGTTATGTTTTTCATTTTCACTTTGTTTTATATCTTTTTCTTGTTGATTTTTCTATTGTAATATGTGCAGCACTTTACTTTATGTCGTGCTTTTTATTTTATTTGATCAATGCTGACACACTGCAGCAAGCTACATGTGTTTCTTTATAATGTATGCTTGTTTCAACATAAATGAAGTTTTTTCGTTTCTTTCTTTTAAGAAGTGCATTCTTTTTCTGTTTTTCGAGTTGTTATGTCAATATTGCTATGGTAGAATTGATAAGAATATAAAAATAAAGGTAACCATATGTTACTATTATTTTTTTCACATAGAAAGCATATTGATGGCTAGTACAGCAAGTAGATTATTGAATCCTCGATTTCTTGATGCTAACGAAGAGCCCAATCAAGTATTGTTACCTATCAGAGGCTATGCCAAAGAGCCATTATTATCGCTCGAAGAAGCTGTTAAACCAGTTTATGAGTTACTCGACGATCTTGACACTATGGTAGATACTGCAATGCGAAATTCGAAAAAGTCTACAAATAATCTTACTACAAATGAATCGGCTGCTATACATCTGTATACGATGCAATGGGAAGATCCTAGTGTAAGTCTTTACACTTTACTTAATAGAACACTTCGATCAGAACGACGTGAACCTCTTCGACCATGGTTTCGCTATCTTAAACTTATTCTCACAGCATTATATAAATTACCATCATTGAAGAGTACAGTATGGCGAGGTGTTCATGGTAATCTAAGTGATGAATACGATGACGATCATATATGGTGGGGATTTAGTTCATGTACAGAGAGTTTAGAGATTATGGAACAATTTGTTGGCAAGTCAGGAGTACGAACATTATTTAATATCGAATGTATTAATGGTAAAGATATTCGAGCTCACTCATTTTATAAAAAAGAACATGAAATTCTGCTTCTACCTGGTACATACTTTCGTGTAATTAGTAAATGGAGTCCTGCAAAAGATTTGTATATTATTCATTTACGAGAAACACCTGCACCACGTCCTTATCTTGAACCACCTTTCGGATCAACAACACTAAATACACCCGTTAGTACGCCATCACCACCAACTACTGATACGTCGAACATAGAAGATTTACAAAAATCTTCGACCATTTCGATGAAACCAAGTAAGTATTTTTTTATAAACTTCGACATTTTCTAATAAGAAATCAATATTTTATCTGTCGCAATGTACTAAACACATAATCTTATCGAAGTTTCTTTCAGTCAAAGATAAAATATTCAATTGTACATCATGATAGACTAACGTCCGAAAGCCACAAATTTGACCTTTGCTAGGCAAATAAATCATAGTAGAAGATATGTATGCTACATGCTGAGATTATTTGATAAACACATTTTTCTATATGGGACAATGATAATTTAACTGCGACTGTATATATTTAGCTGATAAAACCATAGTTTAAACCGATATAGTTTATAATCTACGTTGTATAATTATATCCTCATGAGAAAAAAGTCTTCTTTTTATTGATGTATGTATAAATTTAAATAATAGATTGACAAAAAATTCACTCATCTTACTATATATGTATCAATCGGAGTTATTTATCGCGCTTCAAAAAAAATGACCATAAAGATTATTTTTCATTTAGGAACTCAAGAATTCGCTGTATCAGGTACTTACAAGGAACCTATTTGAACATATTCATTTGTCATATTACCATTATTTATTATGATGTATATTGAAGTATTTATTTTGTATGGAAAAAAATAGATGAATAGAACTTTTGTTTTAAATATTCATATATCCTATCATTTCTTAAGAATTAATTAGTATAATATTTTTATTTATACGTAGAATAATAACTGAACAAAATAATGAAGGTCGTTTTAACCATTCAGTTCTTACACGAACGAGAATTTACATGAGTATTTCATAAACTATTCTAAAAATACCATAATTATTGAACGTCATCGTCCTAAGACTTATTCTATCATCATAAAATTCCAGTTGATATACAAACTTAGATCAGCTCTTATCTCGTGAATAAGATTTTTGAATAAAACACTTGTGCTTTATGCGGCAAATGTCGTTATATTTATTCAATTTTCATGTCACCTAACATCAATGAAAGAAGTGGAAAATCTTCTTCTAAAGAAATAATATAAATGCATAGACTACTGACTGGTACATGAAAATTCATAAGTCAGATAATTGATAATGATTATACTGTAATACAGTTACTACTTTTAAGATATGTATTAAATCCGAATAGAAACACTTTCGAAATTATTCAGTTGTTATATGAACATCAATACTCTATCGAATTAAAATAGGAACGATAAATATAAGAAAGATAGATTTACAGAATCTACTGGTAGTAATAATTGTTTATTAAATCGATGTTTTTCAACAAATCTACCTTTCTTCTATTTTATTTACTAGGAATATCCAATAGATGAATAAGATCTTCCAATCACTTGGAACTGGATTCGTGGTAAGAATAGTTTTTTTCTTATGCAATCTTTGATCAATTTATTTTCTACAAACACACATGAGAAAGAAATGAAAAAAATGAACAAAAACATTGCAAGAATTAATATTAATTATTTACTGTATCATCTTTCGTAATGATATCTTTACTAAGATTTTATTTTGATAAAGACTATATTAATGAATAGAAACATTGGAAAGACGATGATTGGCAACGTTATATCAATTCATGAACTTTGTCATATTTATGCAACAGATTGATCTATAACATTCATTTACATAGTATCAAAAATTACTGAACAAAATTTTTGGGGTATAAATGTTTTGTATACCATGAAATCTGTCCGGCACAAGTATGATTTGAATGCTTTAGTTTGACGTGAATAAAATACGTGGACAAGATTATCATAATATTAATTCATTAACCATACAATCTGTTGATTGATATTAATAAAAGATAATCTTCATTTACAGATCAAGACATAGAAGAACATAATAATGATCGTGTTGAGTTTTAGTTTTTTACTACAAGATGATCGATTAAGTGATTGGTTTAAGATACAAAATAAGATGAAAAAAAATATATGAATCGAATCATGCTGATCGTTTCAAGCGTCGTTTGATTTATTCATGTGATATGTGATCATCGATGAATAAGAGATCTTTCAGCTATCATTTCAGATTGATGTTAATAAATAAACATAATGTTGATAATATTTATACGGTCATAATGTACTCTCCAGTCATATGATTATGTTAAAAGTATCACTTTGAAGTCAATCTTATAAATGAATAGATGATTGGTGCAACATGTTATTCAGATTCATAAGTAATGTGATATTTCATAGGAAAAGAAAATGTAAAAGTTTATTTTGAACTATGAAAAATAAATGAATGAAATTGTCTTGAATAATATTCGTTAAAATTGTGATAATGTATGAAATAAATAAGTTAGAACATATAGTTCAATATGAAGAGAAATGGTAAATAGATTTTTGATAAATATTATTCTTTATTGATTTTATATTGTAAAAGATAAATACATGCAAAAGTTTGGTATGAAATGAAAAAAATAATTGAATAGCAATATTCTTACGAATATTTGTATGCAATGTGATATAGTATGAAAAACATATATGTAAAAATTTGATTCAAAGTATGATTAAAAAGTGAATAATAGTATCGTTGAGAATATTCTTTAGTAACGTAATATTATCTGAGATAGGTATATAGCAAAGATTTGATCTCGAGTAAGACAGAGGGATGAATAGAATTATTTTGATAATAGTTCGTTAGTGACATGATATTATATAGTATCACTTACTTTAAATATTTAAGTAAACAAAAAAGAAAGATAGGTGAACAAAGTTATGATAAATGGTATTCATTACTCATGTGATATTATAAAAGTTGACTGAATGCAAAGGTATGATTAGATGTGATGATTAAATATGAACAGTAGTATCGTTATGAGTGTTCGTTATTGATCTGATATTGTATGACTTATTATTTTTTAAAGTTGAGTTTAGAAAGAGAAAAAGAAATGAATAGAATTGTCTTTATTACTATTCATTAGTAACGTAGCATAATAAGAAATAATAGTAATATGAAACTTTTATTTCAAGTAATGAAAAGAAATGAACAATATTATTATAAAAGATGTTCATTAGTAAATATGATATTGTGTAAGATCAGTAAATATGATAGTTTGATTCAGAAAGTCACAAATAGATGAACGACAGTATTTTAAAAAATACTCATAAGCAAAGTAATATTGGTTGAGACGAGTTGTATGTAAAGTTTGAGTTTGAAGTAAGAGAAATTGGTGAATAAGTTTCTGATGAGTAGTATTCATAACCATTGTGATATTGTATAAGCTAGTAAGTATGCAAGTTTAATTTATAAAGAAAAGGATAAATGAATAGATGATTTGTATGTGTGAGGATAATATTATTAATTGAATGTATGGCTTGAATTTTAAAAAAAGTGAGGAATTATACATTGTAGTGGCAACAACTATGACAGTCTTTAATATAATCACTAGGTATCCTCGAAGTTGTGTGCATGAATTAAAGACAAGGAGATGGCGTTGAGTAAAACTGATTGCATAAAAATGTTGTATTTATTCTTGACTTTCAATGATACTCTATCGTTTTCACGAATCAGATGTTAGAAATGTTAGATCTTCGAGACTGATGCGAATCTAGAACTACCATTATCACAAAAAAATTTCTATAGTAATGAAATATAAATTATAACGACAGTTCTCAAGAGTTCGGATGAGTCCTCAATCAAAAATAGTCTGATAGAAGTCTCTAATGTTCAAATACAAAAATGACAGAATTTTTGAATACAAACAATAATAACATCAGTATTCTTAATAAATATTCATAAAAGAGATATAAGCTAGTTTTCTTGTTCAAAACTGGCTAAAAATGACTTTTTATTGTCTAATTAAATCCAACATCATCATCATACATCTTCAAGAATAACACCAGAAAGAAAAAAGGCACTAAATAGGAAAAATGAAAGTAAAAAGAATGAATAATAAATATAACTAAACAAAAATTTATTTTCCAATCTGTTCACGAATATATCGTAAAAATTCCACATAAGACATTGTTGATTCGGATCTATCATCCACAAGATAACGTGTAAATAAATATCGATTAGGTGAATCCTCTCTAAAAAATAAACAAATAAATAAAATCTAAAATCTAATTAAACAAACCTCATAATATGTACTGCAACACCATGTGATCGACTTTGTATAAGATAAGTTAAAAAATTATGAATTTTTATTGATAATGAATTATCCATTGCTGGTAATGTATACTACAAATGAAATATATAATTATCATAAGTAGAAATATAATTGAGTATAGTTACTGAATCAAATGGTAATGCAGAAAATGTTTGAAGATTAAAAACATTTTGTACAAAATGATCACTTATTGCTTTACCAATAAAAACATAAATATATTCACTTGCATCAAGTATATAAGCACCATGCGAATCAATATGTTGAAAAGATAATTGGACACGTGCAGGAATATATAATTCATCGTCACCATCTCGAATAACTTGACTCTAAAACGAAAAAAATTATATAAAAAGTACAAACAAAATATCGAAAGTATCTGTTAATCATATAAAGATGAGCACGCATATATACCGATGAATTTTTCTTTTTTATATTTGTCTAAATTACAAATAGAATGATAAATAATAAATATCCTATCAAACATCAATATGATTTCTCAAATGATTATTTTTTCCCTTGATGAAAAAAGAAGAAAAAGCTTTCTTTATACCGTATCTTCAATTGTATGAATTGGATAAAGATCTGGATAAAATATTTGCATTAAATATTGTGTTGGTAATGTTTTACATAAATCTATATAATATGCTCGATCATCCATTTTTGCTCCACTAGCAGCACGAAATGCTGTCTAAATAAAAACAAAATGTAATGTACATTATCATTTCTTAAACTTACTGATTTAATCATGCTTAACATATATAAAGGTAAACTTCGTATTGCATAAGGTACATAAAGTGAAACTGTTCGATTCGATGAAGTATTCGACATAGTTGCTTTAATAATATCACAAGCAACATTACACATAGCTTCTCGTGCTTCTTGTATAGATGATGTTGTTGAACGATCAGCAGCTAAATTAATCATATCGATAGTATTGCGAAATAATCAAAAATTTAATTTACCCATTTTTGCAATTAATGCAAACATTGCTTCTTGATCTGCATATGCATATATATCTTTTATAGCTGCACTAACTGGTAATGAAAGTGAATGTACTCGAATTCGTCTTTCACCTTTGCTTGATGTATAAAGAAGTGCAATTTGTAATGTAACTGATTTATATTGAGCTAATGAATCTTCAATAGCTACTTGCATACCAAATGCCGCATCAGGATTTATATTTGGTAAAACAAGTAAATCAACAGAACGAACAAAACCATTTCCATAAAATGCTTGAATTGAAAGAGCTAAAATTCGATATTTAGATTATTTAAGTTATATTTCATAAGATTAACCTGGTGGTGTTCGTAAACGCATAACAGCTTCGAATCCAATTTTTCGTTGTAAATAACGTCTTAAATCATTTTCAAAACGTTCAACTTCATCTGGTGTATGAACAGAATGAAAACCTGGATAATATTTAACTTCACCACCAGAATATTTTGATACACAACCTAAAGAAAAATACTTAGTTTTATTAGAATTACACAAATAAAAGTTAATCAAACAAACTTAATGTTGTTAAATCAATATAATGACTATTAAGAAGAAATAAATCACAAGCAATCTGTTGTGATGCATAATCAAGTGAAAGTTTTTTATAAAAATCTGATGTTGGTGTAATAACTGTTGGTTCTTTTGCTATTTGACTATTTAAACTGCCAGGATTAATATTCGGTATACGTGTTTGCATAACAGTAACTCGTCCACCGGTTTGATGAAGTAATTTTCCAGCTATTAAAAGAGCTGTACCTAATGCTGAATCAGTTTCGGAATTATTTTGATAAACTTTTGGTAATTCATTAAGAAATATTTCAACTATTGCTCGGCAATCATTTAATGTAACCATTAAACCATCAGGTACAGGAAGAAATTCATCTAATTTATTTTCAATATTTTCTAAATCTGGTGCAACCATAATACGAAATGTACCATTTTGTCGATCAGATAAATCATAAAAATGTATTCGACTATCATATGTTATAAAACCTATTTGTGTACGTGCATCACCTGGTAAACTACTTAAATTCTCAAATAAAATATCACAAAATGATTGAAGATAGCCTAAAGATTACATAATTATATTCAATAAAAATAATAATAATGAATTTATTTACCTGTTTGAATAGCATTATGTGATACATCAAGTAAAAATAAATACATTGCTGGTGGAGGTGGTCGAGCCTAAAAATTAAAAATTAAAACTTAAGAAAAATAGTATATGTATTAATCTAACCATATAATCTGATGTTGCAGCATATTCTACAGTACCAAAACGAACTTCTGCGCGTCGACTTGGATCACCATAGGTTTTTGTTGTTGGATCAAATAGAAATTCTTGTGGTACTATATTAGATTTTTATAGAAGAAGAAAAAAATGAAATAATCAAGTAGTAGGAAATAATATCTTACATTCATTTGTACGAAAACAGATACTACAACGCCATTGTGTATTATTTACGAATGTAACAAATGGGTTAATATAACTTTTACATCCATCACATCGAACTATTTTGGTACCTTGAACTACATTTAAACTCTATAAGAAGAACAATAGATAATTTGAAATGATTATTATTATATGAAGAATATTTACATCAAGATCTTTAAATGGATGAATTAGAACACCAAGTGGAAGACGAGTTTTATTTAATAAATCTTTTGTTTGTGGTATTACATTAAGACTACATCGCATAACTCTAAAATAAACCGTTTTTGTAATTAAAAAAAAGCAAAATTTATATAATATACTCTGGACTACAATTCATTTGTTGAGTTTCTTCAGTTAATAATGGTGATATCGGTGGTTCTTCAGCGAATGGACTCACAACACTTTTTTCTTTGAGCAAATCAATTATATTATTTGTATTATTCTAAAATATAAATTTGTATGTATAATTTAGTTATAACTATAATTATATTTACGGCGAAAGAACCATTGATATTATTAAGTTTTTGATTAGTATTTTCTGATGTATTACTACTCGTTGTATAAGGCATAGGTGGTTGTCCTGGATAGGTTGGTAGAGGAGTAGTATTTGGAGGAATATTTGAATTGGCACCATATTGAGGAAAAGGATTAGTTGGTGGTGGTTGAGAATTTTGATTCGTCATTTGTGGAATATTTTGTGGTTGTTGCAGTTGAGCACGATATGCAGATGATGGCGAGGGATACATTGGACGAATATGTGGAGATGGACTCTGAGCTGTTGTTGTAGGTTGATAATTCTTAGTAAATATGGAACATATGAAAAACAACATAGCAATCAAAATAATATGTATTTTACCGGAGGTGGATTATAATGGTTTGTTGATGGTAATGGTGGTGGAGTAGGATTTACTCTTGTATTATATGTATTTGATGGTTGCACTGGTAGAGTTGGATTTGGATTATATTGATTCATCAATGTTGGTTGATATTGTTGTGGTGGTGGAGTAGGACTTATTGCTGCATTTGATGATTGTGATAGCGGAGTTGGACTGGGATTATACTGATTCATCAGTGTTGGTTGATATTGTTGTTGTGGTGGTAGAATAGGATTTACTGTTGTATTATACGTATTTGATGATTGTAATGGCGGAGTTGGACTTGGATTATGTTGATTCATCAATGTTGGTTGATATTGTTGTTGTGGTGGTGGAGTAGGATTTACTGCTGCATTTGATGATTGTATTGATGGTGCTGTACTTGGATTATATTGATTCATCAGTGTTGATTGATATTGTTGTGGTGGTGGAGTAGGATTTGTTGTTGTATTATACGTATTTGATGATTGTATTGGTGGTATTGGGCTTGGATTATATTGATTCATCAATGGTGGTTGATATTGTTGTGGTGGTGGAGTAGGACTTACTGCTGCATTTGATGATTGTATTGGTGGTGTTGGGCTTGGATTATATTGATTCATCAATGGTGGTTTGTACTGTTGTGATGGTGGGGTAGGATTTACTGCTGTATTTGATGATTGCAATGGTGGAGTTGGACTTGGATTATATTGATTCATCGATGTTGGTTGATATTGTTGCAGTGATGGTAGGATAGGATTTACTGCTGTATTTGATGGTTGTGATAGCGGAGTTGGACTGGGATTATACTGATTCATCAATGTCGGTTGATATTGTTGTTGTGGCGGTAGAATAGGATTTATTGTTGTATTATACGTATTTGATGATTGTGATAGCGGAGTTGGACTGGGATTATATTGATTCATCAATGTCGGTTGATATTGTTGTTGTGGCGGTAGAATAGGATTTATTGTTGTATTATACGTATTTGATGATTGTACTGGCGGAGTTGGACTTGGATTATATTGATTCATCGATGTTGGTGGAAAGGCTGGTTGATTAAATTGAGCGGATGATGTCCCGGAATTTGGTGGAAAAATTGGAGGAGGCAACCCATTTATTGTTGGATTAGAGCTTGGAGGAAATATCTGTAATATTAAAAAGTTTTATTATATCTCAAGGAAATTTAAAAAAAAACCATACTGGATTGATCATTTTATCAGGAAATGATGGACCGCTCGGCGGACGTATTGTTGTCATTGCTGTGAGCTCTGAAAAATCCATTGTTATCTACAAATTAAAATAAAATATAGTTTAATTTAATTAGTTTAAAAATGAAATATTAGGTTCATTTATCTTTCTGATCCATTGTTGACGTTATTCAGAGTCCACGTTGAAATGATAAGTTACCGTTATAACCAATTATAAATATTTAAAAATTACCGACCTCTAGTGGATCTTTAGGTATATCTTTTGAATCTTTTAGTTCGTATATGACATTTCGAGATAAGTAGAAAGGTGATTGTATGTTATAAAATTGTAATGGCAGCAAATAAGATCGAAGTACTTTTATTAGGTATAGCTCAAGATGGTGGTATGGCTCAAATACGTTGTCAATGTAAAAACTGTAGTTCAGTTCGTAATGGTACACTATCTCAACAATATACTGTTAGTTTAGCTATTATTGATAGAACAACAAATCAAATATGGCTTATTGATTGTTCACCAGATTTTCGAAATCAATATACGATGTTACAAAATCATTTTGAATCAAATCAATTATTTAAATTAGAAGGAATCTTTTTAACTCATTTACATATGGGGTAAAAATAGATAAAGAATGAAGTTAATTCATTTTCAATTATTTTTTTAGACATTATATTGGTCTATTTCAATTTGGACGTGAAACAATGGATTGGAAAGGTTTAAAAGTACGGTAAAATTTAATATTTAACAACTCATTTATTTATGATACAATAGATTTATGGTACTGAAAGTGTTTGTCAATTTTTTCGAACTAATCAACCATGGCGTACATATATTGAAATAGGAAACTTTATTTTAAATCCAATAATACCACAAACTGAAATTCAACTTTCATCAAATTTATTTATTAAACCTCAATTAGTTCCACATCGAGCAGAATTTAGTGATGCTGTTGGTTATTTTGTTCGTGGACCATTGCGAACTATTTTCTATTGTCCAGATGTTGATAGTTGGGATCGTGGTTGGTTAAATGAAAATGGTCTATTACCTATTGATATTGTTAAAAATGTTGATCAAGCATTTCTTGATGCAACTTTTTTTAGTGCTGATGAATTACCTAATCGAAAAATTAATGAAATTCCACATCCAACTGTATTACAAACATTAGAAAAATTTCAAGGATTAGAAAAGAAAATTACATTAATACATCTTAATCATTCAAATCCCTTATATGATGCACAAAGTAAGCAGACAGAACAGTGTAATAAAGCTGGCATTAATATCGGCATACAAGGACATGTTTATGAAATATAATATATACGCATAATTTCTTTTTTCCATAATAAATTAAAGTATTTATTCTTAGACTTGCATTTACTGTTCTTTTTCATTCCTTCCACAAGTATATATTACGATGACTATGTAAAAGTAGCGCATATATAGAGACTGATATTTTATCTTAAATATACATTCGTTTTTGTTACATTTACGATATATAATCTGATAAAAAATATTTTTTCTAAAAAGGAAATAACCGATTATTCTAAAACTACAATTTTTCAAGACTATTGTGAACAAGATTTGTCAATGATTAATTAATGAATACGAAAGATGGACTATTACCATTCAATAACTTTATATCTACAAGTGCACATTGTGAAGTAGCAATTAAATTTGCTGAAAATGTTCTAACAGATCCTGTTATGATTGGCATTATACTTAAAATGACGACTGATTTCATCAACATCTTTTCTGGTGTTGATTAAGTCAGTTATTTTAAGATTGAGAAAGAAGTACTTTTCTGTATGCATACTATTTTTTCAAATGATAAACAACAGCCATTGATTTTATCAAGTAGAATTAAAACTAACTACATATGAAGATCAAGCAAGTAATTTACGATAAATCACTGTATGTTACAGAAAAAAAATCTTCCGATAATCCCTTCTATATAAGCTAATTTCTATAATCATATCGATGAAGTGTATCGAAAAATGGCAGTTTCCAAACGCATTGCTATTTTATGAAAAAACGTTTCCTTCAAATCATCTTGATTTTGCTCAATCCTACAATAATATTGCGATTATCTACCTCAATACAGGTAATTATTTGTCAACCCAGACAGATAAAACTCAAAAAGAAACGGAGAAATACGGCGTGGAAATTTTGAAATTTTAACGAAAAAAAAATCGGGAAAAGCGCACATTTTTACGATTTTTATCCCCGTTAGCTTTGTCTACTGTAATAAACGCGTCGATAATATGTGCTTAAAGCGTTAAAACTCACAAAATAACGCGTAAAGTCACGTTGAATTCCGCGTTTCAACGAGTAAATACGGAGTAGATTTTAACGCAGTAAAACGCTTTCCAAAAAATTGCGTAGAAACGCGTTAAGAATTCGTAAAAACGGTGTATTTACGAATTTTAAACGTGTTTTTAGAGGTCTTGTCTGTCTGGGAACGGTTACTTCCCGAAAATCATCCTCAATTTCAATCTATACGAGCCGATATCGATACAATATAACAGGAATTGTAAAAAATATGATTATGTGTCTTGCTTCTAATACTAAACAAATATATTTTTATTTAGATATGAATATTTAAATTTTTAATTATAATTGGATATTTTTTTCGTAAACTGAGCTTTTGTTTAAACAATCAAAATAGATTAGAAAAGAAAATTATCATACGATGATAACATCGTATGATATCGTAATTAATCTACGTAAATCCATACTGACAATATATAATTAAAAGAAATTTTTATACTGTCATATAATTTAATTCGATATTACAAAATACTACTTCTGTTGTTTCATCATAATTAAAGATGATTCATATGGTTTCCACTTATTTCAATCTAATCATCAAAAGACTCTGTCTTATCACAACATGTTGCCACTTCTCTTCATATTTTATAAATTTAAGTGGATTTGTCAATAGTTTATCATAACTATATACTAAAAAGAAATGACAGCAATTGACCTGATGTTATATTCTTTTGCTAGAAGATGACCACATGTGGAGGAGAGTACCACCGATTAAACTCTTAAACATTTCATCTCAATAAACTGTTCATTGTCAATTTTCACACATAGATCAATATTTGTATGACCGTTACACTCACTTCATTTATTGAAGTGTTACATGTAGAGAATAATAAATCGTTATATCTGATAATCAACATTTATTGCATACCATCTTTTCTAATCGATCAATTCACTATATAAATATTCAAATTATGTTTTTTTGTTTATCAAGATAAATTTGTTGATAATAATACACACACACGCATATTTTTTTTTTCTATATAATCATCGTTAGAAAATTCATTATAAACATGCAATCACATTAAATTATATTTGATGAGATTTTTCACATCTTTATGTCGCTTTCGTTTCAAAGTGAATTAAACAAGTAGTTCTCTCTTTAATCATCAATCGACAACACATACATTGTTGATTATTCAAATTACTTGTCATTCTTTTTTTCCTCTCGTTTCTATTAGACATCGATACTCTCCAATGTCGACGCCGTGAAGTAGAAATAATTCAATTTTATATTACACAATCATATGTCTTTGAACTTATTCAACATTTGTCATATGACTAATGTCGACCAACTGTTGTATATATTACCTTGAAAAATAATAAGAATATCATGTAATCATTATAATATCAATAGAAATCTTTTATTGTCACCAATATTGAGTACAGGTGAATGTATATATACTTCTTATTATTTTTTTAAGAGACACACTAAAAATGCATAAGCATACATGTTCAATTAATCGGAAATAATATTGCTAAGATGATTATTATATATAATCTCCGATTCTCTCCTTCTAGAACAGATGCGCGTCGAGTCGACAACTGGTTAAACAAACAACATTTTCAGCTAATTACAACTAATTATATCTTGTTGGAAAATGTTCATAGTTGATGATGATGCTGTCCAATAGATATATAGACTTAAAAAAAAGATTATAGTTCCGGTTAAGTTCGACGAACCCGGAGGCTATCATCAAAGTTTAAATAAACGACAATTTAATCTTACTCATGCTTTTTTTTCTCGATGATCATATCTCAAGACAACATTTGTTGCCCTCGAACTATACAACACACTGTCCATCAAGAGGAAGCACATGAGCATTCTTTTCCCTTGCTTCCTATCTAATTGATCAACATATAAAATATTTTCTATGGTCTCACATTTTTTTCTCTCATGTGTATATCAATACGGAAGTTAGTTATACATTTATTTTCTTTTTTTTTATAAGGCGAGACATATAATCAAATTGTAGATCCATAATATACTATTAACAACATTTGATTATGCAGCTGTTGGTATGCTCATTTAATCAGATCTCAGTTGGAGTTTTCTCGAAATAATAGAAAAAGTGCGGACAGATGTCAATAAGATCAGCATTTACTTGATGTCTATTGAAAAGAAGAAGAAGAAGAAAAGCCATGCTATAGGGTGAACCTAATCGGAAGAAAGTGTCGAAGCACGTGAATGAATGGCCAGTCTGATGAGATAATGGTGCGTGCCAATTTGCCGCTAAGAAATAAAAAAACATGAAACATGTATATATATAGTTGTCAAAGAGTTTGAAAATGTACTATTAGGAACAGCATGAGGCATATCTTCCCATGATACGACTATATACACACTTTGTATTGAAGCATGATGCGGAAAATAAATAGTTTCGTATTCATAAAATTTATCATCCGAAACAATGATCGGTTAGTTCTTACAAGAAAACTCAGCATGGTCAGAAAATTATTTCCGTTGACCTAATAAAACAATCATAAGAGAATGAGCGGGAGAAGAAAAACGTCATGTTCATATGTATATCTTAAGTAATCGGTTAGTTTACCAAATGAGAATATATTCTTTACGCAATAACACTTTCTTTTTCTTCTTTGTATATCTATTATTGTTAGACAGACTATGTCAAGATAATCGATAGAGCAGAATTGATGTCTGTCGTTCAATGCTCATCCGTCAATTTCAGGGATATGCATATACACTCAAATGAACACAGACAGATAGATTCTCTCAAATTTCATCAAATAGAGGAAAGAGAGAGAAGAATAAGAACGAAAACATATTAAATGCCAAACAAATGCCTTGACCCTTTCTCTTAAAATAACTGATGTAATTCTTCTTATAAATATTTATATTATTATAAAGCAGTTCTTCTTGAAATTATCACCATATAAAGCTCAATTACATTACAAATCGAAAAGAGCACACACATACAGATCTTACAACATCAAATAAAAAAACAATATCAACTGAGTTTGTCTTTTTCTATTTACATAAGAAACAAAGAACAAAAAAATAAATAAATAACAATTAAACATAAGTTCCCTGATTTGTTATAACATCTTGTTTTGTATCGGTTAATAATGAAAGATCATTTTGTATTGAATGAAATAATTTATTTGTTAAATTATCTGTTTGATTTATTGATGATTTATTTAAAAATGTATATGGATATGTTGTATCTGTTACCAAAGCTGTACGTTTTGGTGAGAAAAGAAACATATCCTACGAATATAAAAATTAATTTTTTTATTCTCATTGAATTATATCAACTTACTAAATGACAACTCGCTGCTGTTTCAAGTGTAATATTATCTGATTTTTCTGATCCATAAAGTGAACCAGCAGAAGAACTTTGTTCCGATGATGATGTTTGAATAATTTTTTGTTTTGTACTATTATCATCCATAATTTCTTTCATTTTTTTCGAAGATTTTTTTCGATAACATATACATAAACATATCATGAATAAAACAAATAAAATTCCCAATAAACATGCTATACTAACAATTATATATTCATATTTAATAAACATTAATCTTGTTGAACTACGATATAAACGTATTTTCATTACTGATGATAATTCAGGTTTACCATAATCATATGCTTCAATATCAATAAATATATCTTTATTTAATAAATTTTTCCAACAATTATTATCTGTTTCATTTGTACAATTAATGATTAATTTATTCTCAATTAATTGAATCCATTCTGGCCACATATAACCTTTTCTTCTATAACCAATTTTACCATTATTACCATCATCATAATCCGTTGCATTTAATGTTAAGATCATTAATTGTGAATGAATATTTAGATTTAATAATGATGTATTCCATATAGGTCGACAATCATTTATATCAGTAACAATTATACGAAAATTTCGTTCATTATCACCACTACGAATAAAAACATCATATGACGATTGTTTTTCTCTATCATAACTTCGATCAGTTAATAATGTTAAAGAATTTTCAGATAATTTTTGTATAAAAAAACCTTGATGAATACCTTCAGGTAATATTTGAAGATTTTTATCGGATGTTATATAAGCAATAAATGTTGAATTAGGTAAATTTTCTTCGATAAATACTTCAGAAGCATTTTTTGATATTCGATTTGAACCAAATGTTATTGTTATAATTGATTGTTGAATTATATTTATATATACAGTTGCCAATGCTGGTATAGCATTATTTGTACCATCCGATGCTCCAATAATTAATTTAAATATATGTTTCGATTCAAGTTGTGTTAGATTTGATATAAGACGTAATTCACCTGTATGAGAATTGATTTGAAATAGATCATTTTTATTATTTGTACCATCAATACTTAATAATGAATAATAAATACGTGCATTATGTTCTAAATCGGGATCATATGCAGTTAATTTTAATAGATTAGTTCCCGGTAATGTTGAATATGATATATTTATTGAATAAATTGATTGAGAAAAATGTGCAATATGATCATTAACATCGAGAACAGTTAATGTTAATTTTGATGATATTGTATGAGAATAATCATTTGCTGTTATTGTAAATATATATTCATTTTGTAATTCACGATCAAGAGTTTGATTAATAATAAGATATAAATCAAAATTTGTATCATAAAATAAATAAAATGGTTGATTTATCGTTTGATTTTGTTGTTTATGAAGAAGATTTATTGATGATATCATAACATGACCATGAAGAACATATGTTAATTCATATAATTGTACACCATTTATATCACAATCAATATCGTCAGCTTTTGATAAACGTATTTTTATACCTGGAATATTATTTTCTGTTAAGGAAATTGAATATGTATTCGAACTAAATATTGGTGGATTATCATTAATATCATTAATATTAAATATTAATAATAATATATCATAATAAAACATATCATAAAATTTCATAGTTATTTGACATTTTGAACATGTATCATCATATGGACATAATGTATCACGATCAATACGTTTTGATATTGATATAAGATTTGTTGTTGAGTTAAATGAAATTAATGATGAACTTTCTAATAATTGATATGTTATTGCAGATGATGATAATGTATTTAAATCGAATATTATTGTACCTATTGGAGTTTCTTCATTTAAAGATATATCTTGTTGACGAGATTCAATAAATGTTGGAAGAACAAGAAATAAGAGAATATAGAATAGATGCATGATGATGATCATCTAGAAATAATATATGGTGAATGAACAGACAACGAAAAGAGAATGAGAAAGAATTGTATTCTCTTGCTTTTCTCTTTTCTCTTTCTCGTTAACGCCCAATAGTTGACAGCAGCATACAGAGAGAGAGAGAAAACGAGAGGCAGAGAGAGAGAGTGATGGATTACCTTCTTTCTTCCAGCACTAGCTCCATCATTGACAGTCAAATTGTCGAATTTCATCTGTCTTAAAGAAGCAAAAAGAATAATTATCTTGGCACAGTATGATGTCCTAATGAGAAAAATGTCTATACGATCAATTAGATCAATCTGAGCCGTTCATTTCAACGACACAATAGATATGTGTATGCATATGTATGTTCATAAAGTAGAACACGCGATTACACCTGCATATTAAATAGAAGAAGAAAAAAACCTATTCATGGGAAACGCTTTGCTAGTATTCATTAATAATTGTATGAATTCATGCAAAAAAGTGTGAATGGATAAATAGATGAACTATCATTCTATCGAACAAAATCTCTGCATGAATGTTGTCCATCAGGCAAATGACTCCCACGAGAAAAACACACACGCATACGTTTAACCCAGTAATCATCTTCTCTTAGGTCAGATAATCATCATTTCATAACTTTTTCTATTAGAATCAACTACCTGTCTTTCTTAAAATGTTAATCGTCATTAGCGTCATCATTATCCTCTATGAGTGTAATGAAATATGAATAGATCTCTTTCAACATACAGGGTCATGACCTGATAATTATCTTTGTCGTTTCTTTTTTTCTGATACCGTGTGTGAAGTAGATTTGATAAAATAAAGCCGTTTATATATATATATACATATATACTTTCAATAAACAAATAAACAAACAAATATTTCTTATCAGTTCTCTTGAGTATTCTTATATACTATTTCTTGTCATATATTTACATCATATTACAGTTCAATGTCTTATAGAGCATGCATATACACCACCACCAAAAAAAAAAAATCAATTATAAATCAATTGAGTTAAGCATTTCTTGTTCTATTACATCATATACATAACATTTATCAATAAGCAAAACGTGTGTATGTGATGTCCATATGAATTCTTTAAGATAATCGAAACAAAGAAAGAAAGAAAGAAACATAATTTTGATAGAATCTCTTTATCTAATGAGATCATAAATTGAAAATTTTAAATATATGTATCAAAAATAATAATTAGTGAATATTGACATTACTCATTTAGTTTTTCTTCACACTATCAACAAAAAGAAAATAATATTATTAAAAACACTACGTGTCAAATAATGCATGAAGGATGGGTCAACGAAATATATATATATATATGTATATGAAAATTTGCATATATGACATCTAAAGGAGCTAAGATAGATACGATTATTCGATGTGCTTGTGGTTCAATTTACCTTCACTAATACCATTTATATATGTACACAGACACTTGATGAGAAAAAAAACTACTTTGAATATGTTTCGTATTACTCTCAATCATTGCATGGCAAGTAATTTTTTTTCTCTCTCTCTCTAATCCAACCTTTTCAATGGATGTGTCGATTTTGAATGAATGTTTACAAATGTATATAGGTATCGACTTACATCAATATAGAGCTATTCTCATTTATCCGTATAAATGATCTAAACTATGAATTTAACTGAAAGACTACAAAAAGAAAAGGCCGCATATATTGATGATGCATATCTTTTTTCTTGTGAAGCGTTGAAAGTCAATTATTATTTCGTTCCCGTTCATAGACAAAGAAACGTACGTATCATCATTATCATCATAAATGATAATGAGAGGATTACACACCTGAAAAAAAGAAAGAGTTGTGGCTCTTTTTATCTTTTCATATTAATGATTATATATATACATATCGGCTGTCAAGAAAAAAAGACTTCGTTTTCGCACATAATCGAAAAGTGACTATCACATTTTTACAATTAATGTGTTGTCATTTAAAAATAGGTAGATCTTATATTAGAGAGAGAGAGATGATATCGAGTTAAATAAAGAGTAGAAAATGAAATCATTTATCATATTATATTGTATGTATATAACACATGCAATTATAATGTTAAAAAGAAAAATGAATATGATTGTTTGTGACAATTTCGTGTATTGAAAACGTTTGAAATCAAAATTAATTGACTTATTGTTAGATGATTTTTAAAAATGTCTATCATGCAAATAATATCGACAATTGAAAAAATTAATTGAATAGATAAAAATAATATTTGAAGCGATTACTTTTTTTTATAGCTTTTACTCACGATCAATTCAATATGTATATGATATTAAATATTTTCAAATGTTTATTAATAACTAGTGCTATTCTATGTTTTCTTAAAGCATTAGTGAGATGTTGCGTATGTTTATGAGCAATTCTATTTTACAGAAGATTACGTATGCTAATTAAAATGAAACCTCGTGAAATATAACATTCTATTTCGGTTGAATATATCCAGACGATAAAAAGCCTAATAATGTCAAAAATAGTTTTTTTTAAATAAACGATATATAGCATAATTATTATTCATAAATAAAGGTATAGTAAATTTGACATTATGACAAAAAATTTCAACTGTCATCTACATATGAAAATTCGGAGGATGTGTCAATAATTCACTAGAATAATCATATGTCGGTTGCCAAGGTCATGACGATGAACGTTTTTTTCTTCTCTGCATTACTACATTATCCCGATATATTCGCTTGAATGAAATTCAATGAGTCAAAAACAGAAGGTTACATCCCGAGGGATTCTCTCGTAAATATTTATATCAAATAAGATATTATTAATGTTCATCAAGCAATCTATCTTATCGAATTATTTTTGTTATAATATTTTACATCATCAAATCCATTTTTAGAAATAATGAAGAAAAAAAAACATTAATATATATAGATATCTATAGAATTCTGCATAGAATAATTTTTATTATATCACAAACAAGCCTAGTCTAAGAAGAAAAAAAGAAAATCTTAAATAAATATATTGCGTGACCTATTATATCAAGACAATGATCTTCTTCCAAATGAACATAAAGATGATGCATCTGAAAGAGTTCTTCCTCGTTGCTTTACCAATGGTGTTGATATTGAATTTGTAGCAGAATTTTTACTTCGACGTGATATTGTTGATGTTGATGATGGTGTTGGTGTTCCTAAATCACCTAATTCAATAAGTTCATCAATAGTAACACGTTCCTTTATTGGTTCACGACTTTGTCGTTCAATTCGACATCGTTCAACATTCGCTCGAAAACCTCGTAGACCAATTCGACTTAAATAAGTTTCTCGTTGACGTTGTAATGTCGTTGTTATTGGTCGATAATCTTTTGGACGATCTTTTTTTATATCAATTGGAGCATTAGATTCTGTACCTAATGCTGATACATCAAGTGAACCAAGAAAATATTTTGTTAAACCATCAAGAATATCAATACAATGCATACGATCATCTTCACATATAGGTAAATCCATAGCCACAAGTAATAATTGATTTGGTTTTGGTATACGTAAAGGAGGTTCTAAACTATCAACAAAGTCAGATAATTGATCATATCGCATAAATTGTGAACCTATTGGATCTAAATGTTGCCATTTTTCATAATACATATCATAATCATCATCAGTTAATCCCTAAAAAATCATTTATATAAATTTACTAATTGTTAATTCTTTTCAAATGAATTTTCTCAAGTTCTCGTGGAATTTTAAAAAAATAGGTCAAGTTAAGTAAGCTGCAAATCTGAAGTTTACGATAAATTGAAGCTTGTAACTGTATGAGGTTTTTTCTCGAGCATCTCCAGTCGACAAAGCCCAGAGTATCTATTAGAACAATCAAAAATAGATGATTATAGTTTTCAGGTGGAGTTTTTCACGAAAATTTGGAGCACACTTAACTTGACCAAAAAACTATTATATATTTACTTGTTGTACATCTTCTTGAGCTTGAGAAAAATTTTCTAAAATAACCGCAATATACATGTTAACCTAAATGATAATAAATGATTGGAAAAAGAAAGTTTTCTTTTTGTTTTTTAATTCTTACGACAACGAGTGAACTAATAATTAAATATGTAACAAGAAATGGAATTGCAATTGCCATATTACCGCAATCACCTCTATTTGATGGTGATTTAAGAGTTGGATCACAATCAGGTGGTCGATCATTTGTTAATGCTTGTAAAACACCTGACCAACCAGCAGTTGTACACATTTGAAAAAGTATAATTAATGAATTTGGAAATGTTTCAAAATTAAATATTTCTGTAACACCTGCAGACTTTCGTACATAAGCAAAAAATGACATACCAAATATAGAATAAATAAACATGACAAGAAAAAGAAGAAGACCAATATTAAATAAAGCTGGCATTGATACAGCTAATGCAAAAAGTAATGTTCGAATACCTTTTGCTCCTAAATACAAATATATAATTATTTTATTTTCTACACCGAAGAAAAAAAATTAAATAAACCTTTAACGAGACGTAATACTCGACCAACACGAGCAACACGTACAACGCGTAATAATGTTGGATGAACAAAATAATTTGCCATAAGTTCACCCAAGGCTTGACCTAAATAAAGTTTTGGTTGTTTTTATATTAAATTACACCGTCAAAAGAAATAATAGCAGCTTAATTTTTCTTATTATGAAATTAAAAAAAGAGAGGAAAAGCAAGAAGTGCACATCAAAATAGCGTGCAAAAAAAAAGAATGTATCACCAATGAGTCAAACCTTTTTCGAAAAATGAGACTAAATTTCGTTTTATCTTAAAATTTAATATAAAAAAAAAGATCATACCAAGAATGGATGCAATAACTATAACAAAATCAAATACATTCCATGGAATAGTAAAATATTTATAATGTAATGCAAGTAATTTCATTCCACATTCAATAGTAAATCTAAATAATTAATAATAAAAAGCAATAGATTTAAATTTAAAAATAAAATTTTGTTTTTACATAGCAACAAAAAAATTATTAATATATCCAAGAACATGATCATAAGTTGCACTTTGATTATGATGTTCAAGACACATACAAAGCATATTAAGAAAAATACATATCATTATAAATATATCAAATGTTTGATTTGTTGTTAAATCGAAAAAAAATCTTGCGATAGGAAACTAAAAAATATTAACAAATGAAATATTTTTTGTCTAGAATTTATTTGAAAAGTATTACTCGTGGTCTTGGTAATGCTTTTGTTGGCTTTTTATTTCCCATTTTTTTCATAGCATTATAATATTTTTTTTGATCATCTGTCATAAACATTTCTATCGAACCACCATCACCTAACTATAATAGATTTGAAAAGGTGTTTATTGAAGGGAAATGGGAAATTTTTATTAATACTTTTCGTTTTTGTTGATTGAAATTATCGATAACAACACCGATAAAAAGATTTAATGTAAAAAATGAACCAAATATAATGAATAAAATAAAATAAACAAGAATATAAACATTAGATTCATGTTCTGGTTGAATATCAGGCTAAAATGAATTGATTTTAGAAAAAAATAAAAGGGAATAAAAGATAATATACATCTTTTGCATCGGCTGCATCAGCCATTATTTCGATCCATCCTTTAAATGTTGCCTAGTTAGAAAAAGAAAGAAAGCAATACATTTTGACTTTAGAAGAATATTTATCAATAGTTCAATTAGTTATAAGTATTTAGAATTTTTCTAGGATACTTTTATTCATAAATATTTTTATCAAAGATAAGAATCATCTCAAATTCAAATATCTAACTCATATAAACAAGCAACGCTCGTCTGGAGACTCGCTTAGCTCTTTATCGTAAAAATGCATCCTCTTCACATTTACTAAAAAATAGGTTTTCGTTGTTTCTTTGACCTCTGCCCCCTCCTCGTCATGGTCACCCAATAGACCTCAGATTCGAAATACCTCTAGAAATGTCTTTTCTGAAAAATGGATCTTCGATGTTCTTTTGACCCTGCGGACACATAAACAAGCAAACAATTTATGTTTACTGGACTCTTCTCTATGAGAAAGAGAATATATTTGTTGATTTTTTTTCTCTAAATTAAGAAAGATAATTTGAACTTACAACTTGAAATAAAGCTAAATAACCATTAATAACATTATCAAAATTGACTCTTGAATTTTCCCATGTAAAATTTTTTCTTAAACAATCTGTTTTATTTGTTACATTTTCTGATACATTAACTCGATCATGTGTATCAACATAAACACATTTATAAAATTTTCCACCAAATAATTGTACACCCATTATTGAAAATATTAACCAGAAAACAAGACAAACTAGTAAGACATTAAAAATGGACGGAATGGCACCAATTAATGCATTGACAACAACCTAAATTTGAAGAAAAATAATAATAATAATTAAATCATATAGAAAAGAAATTATTTTTTTTTGTATACTCGAATTCCATCGAATCTTGATAGTGCTTTCAATGGTCTTAAAGCTCTTAAGGTTCTCATTGATTTAAATGCTGGAATATCAGCTACACCAAGTCCATCAAGTAAAGTTCCAAGAACACTAACAACAACAATAAGAAAATCAAGCCAATTCCAACCATTTGTAAAATAATTTTTTATTCCATATGCAAACCATTTTAAAATTAATTCGGCTGTAAATATAATTGTAAAAAGTTTATCAAAAGCATGTAATATCGATGAAAATCTTGGTTGTTGTCGAGTATTTATATCCTCTAATGCCTGTTTAAAAAAAACAAAAATAATATGATAAAATACATAAATTCTATGATATATTGAATTTACTAATGTTGTACTACTAGCTAAAATACTAGCAATAATGAGCCATTCAAAGAAACGATGTTCCACTAGACGATGTGCTCTACTGCGAAGAAAAGTCCAATGTCGTTGAATTTTTTGCGGTATAATAAATTGACAACAATCAAAATATTTTGAAATTTCTCGACCACAACAATCCGGGGGCATATGACGAAATTGATAAGTTAAAGGGGCTATTGAAGTAGAAGGAGTGACATTATTATTATTAATAGTAATAGGATCTATCGATGTCATTTCGATATCTTCAATAGGTCGTGTTAGTTCATTACTTATGGTTAAGATATTGTGTGAATTATCTTTGTTAGGATCGATATCAATAGATGTAGAATAAGGAAGGGTACTTATCGTATTACTGGTGCCAGCAAGAGACTAAATATACATAAAATATAAAAGAAAGATTAAAAAAAATATTTTTTTGACGAACTCGATTATAATAAATTGTTTCAGTAGTAACACTTTCAATAATTTTTGAATTTGGTTGTTTTTTTCGACAAAATAAACGAATAAAATGATGCAATATGAATCGAAAACATCGTTGAATACGTTCAATTGCTTCGCCAATTTTATTATCATCATCACCTTCTTTTTCTCGTTCAGCAAGAACATTCGAACCAAATGATGCAAGTAAAAGAGCCAAGAATAAATTTAATACCTATAATAATGAAAATATATAATATAAACATGCTCCTGTCGCCAACCAAATTTATTATTCATGATTAAGCAAGATACATTTTACATACCACAAGATTTCCAATGACAAATGTAAAAAGAAAAAATGGTATACATGGCCAACCAGCGCATTCAAGACATATCCACATTGATTCAATCCACTCACCACATAATACACGGAAAACAATCCTTTATATAAGAAAAAACATTATTCATATTCATATCAATCTAAACTTACATAAATGCATGAAAAAAATCAACAAAATTCCATCTTGGCATATCTTTTTTGAATTGTTGAGCATATTTTGGACCAAATAACTAAAATTTAATAGAATTTTATCTTATTATTCGCATGATTTTAATCTACCTGCATGCCCATAACAGCAAAAATAAAAATAATAATGACAAGAACTAATGTCAAATTTCCTAAAGCTCCAATTGTTTTACCAATAATTGACATTAGACGATTAAGTGTTGGCCATGATTTTGCCAATTTAAATACTCGTAACTTCAATTTTAAAATAAAAAAATAATCATATTTACCAAAAAAAAACTTACTAAACGAAATGATCGTAAAACACTTAATCCTTTTATATTTGCTAGACCTAATTCAACAAGACTAAGTGTAACAATAAATAAATCAAATACATTCCAATGATCCTTTAAATATTTTGCCGGAGATTTTGCAATTATTTTTAAAATTGCTTCAGCTGTAAATATACCAGTAAAAACATAATTTCCTGTCGCTAAAATTCGTGCCATTTTTTCACTTTGACCAGGTTGATCAAGTGCCATAAATAATGTATTTAAAATAATACATATAGTAATAAATAAATCAACAAATGCATCCAAAATAAAAAATGCTACGACTTCCTATAAAATGAAATCAATTAAGAAATTTTGCTTATTCATATAAATAATAAAATATACTTGAAATTTTCTGAATGATTCCGAAGGACAATTCCATTCGCAACAAGTATTCCAGAGAAATTTCATTAATGGTCGATCGCATGTATTGGTTGTATCCATATCTGAAATGACGATGTTCACACGTTTCTTAGGATGATCTTGTAACTGCCGTGCATGCTTATTTGCAGTTAGAAGTAGACGACATTCAACATGTGAACTACCTCGGTCATCTCTATGATGATCGACTTTGTGCAGTACAGTATGTTGTTCTAGATAATCGACCGAATAGAAACAAAACAAACGTATACAAAACTACAAACATGCATATCTATCTATATATAAAATCAAATTATACATGTGCCTTTTCGATGTTGTTTAAACAATTAAGGTTAGAAGGGAACGGCATTAATAAAAAATGTATCTGTGATTATATATAAATAAAAAAATAATAAATATTTTCTTTTTTTTTCTTTTTTTAATGTCCTATTTTGAAAATATAAATGGGTGTGTATGAAATTATAAAATTATAATTAAACTAGGTGAAAAAATTGTAATATTTATCTATATAATATTATCCTAGTTTAGATACAAAATTGATCCATCAAACATGAATATTACTTACTTTTTGATCGAATACTTGTTGTATCAGAAGCTGAATGTGATAGGATTTGATCAGCAGGTGCATATTTTATATGAGGTTTCGGTTGATACAACTAGAAAATATAAATAAAAATTAAAGTATAAACCGACACAACTCTATTTAAATAATATTGATTGCAGTTACAGAGTTTTAATTTCTCCTCTCTTCCCTGCACATCTCTAATTATGATAGATCTTCATTAATTACCAATGGTAGTATTATCACTATATCAACGATGAATGATTATGCCTAAGTGAATCATTTATTTGTTCGAATACATTTCTCAAAATATTCCTTAAGCTTTATAATCTAATATAAATTTCTAAGACTAGATTTTCGATTGTTTTATATAATTGTTACTTAAGAGACAATCCACGAGCCCATCGAGGAAATGAAGTACTCAATATGCTTATCTTGTTCAGCATCATTCAAAATCTCTAAATCGAAATTTTTCGCACATTTAGCTAAGCTGATGAAAACTTAGCCTTAGTTAACTTTCGAGCACTTATGGTACATGTTTGAAAAACTCTATCAAAAATCTTCTCTATGAAGTTGAGAGTTCTCGATTAATATACCATAATATAGAGCATCGAACGCTGAACAAAATCATCTATTTACATATGAAATACTATGTATGACTAGTTAGCTTTAGGTAAAAAATGGGTGGATTTTTGTCAAGGGGGAAATAGCTGATTATTTGATTAGCAGTGGTTAGTATTTCTAAGTAATGATGGGTGGGTGTGGGTGTGATTATTCTTTTTATTCACACACACACCCACCCCACCTATGACATTAAAACTCGATTTTGATTTCTCAATATGTATTAATTAACATCCCTTCAATCTCTTATTGATACTATCTTCTCTTAGAAAATTGTTTCTTTTTTTCCTAATTCAAACTCGTATTTCTAATATTATTAGATTAAAATCCTAAAATTTACTGTAACAGTTGATTCATTATTTGAATTTAATCGGTCAGCAATATAAGACCATTTTCTACTTCGTTGTCTTGATAATGTATCATAATTTTGTTGTGCTTCATCAAGAAATGGTATTGTATTATCATAGCTTTCATATTCATCAAAATTTGTTGTTGGATTTGAAAAAATATAACTTGGATTTTCAAATAATAACGGTAATGTTTGAATAGATTGTCGATGTTTAAATTCCGATTTCTAAAAAGAAAATAGACAAAAATATTTCAATTGAAATAAATTTATTTATTTATTTTACTAATCGATTTTGATTATATTCAATTGAAAGACTTGATACTGATGGTGGTCGATTTGAATTTTCATAAAACCAAGTATATTCAAGATTATTTTCAGGTTCTATTAATTCATCTGCTTGTGATAATTTTCTTGCTTCTTCATTTTGTTGTTCAAGTTCATCTTCAACTTTACGTCGTTCACGTTCTAATTTTTCTGCATTGACTTTTTTTTGTTGTTCTTGATAAGACATCGATACAATAGCTAAAATTAAATTTACCAAATAGAATGAACCAAAAAATATGACAGCAACAAAATAGAAAAAATGATAACGGCCAGCAGCTGACAGCACCTAAATTCAATCAATAAAAATTATGATTATATTCAAATAGAATAATATTTGTTCTTACCAATTGATAAAGATTTTCCCAATAATCTTGTGTCATTAATCGAAAACAAGAAAGCATAGCCCAACCATAACTATCAAAACTATGGAAAAAAAACCCAAAAATTCCTTTCATTCTATAATTAATTATTAAATCTATACCTTGTATAACCAAAATCCGGACTAAAACGAAACGATAGATTTTTTTTGTTTGATGAAGAATTAAAATTTCAACTTACTTTATTCCAAGATCTTTCCAACAAATATAACCATGTGGACATTTTCGACTTCCACTAGCATTTCCACAAACAACATGTATATCATCTTCTTGATACCAATAGACTATACAAATAAATCCAAATAATGAAATTCTTTCTATTTTTGTTAATAAAACATACTTTCATTATGAATTTCTTTTACATAAGAATCATAAGACATATTAAAACCAACTGAAAAATTTGAACCATTGATAAATGATTCATAAGTTGGTACACATTTTTGTCGTAAAACACCCATATAAAGCTGTAAACCTACCTAATAAAAATATTTCAAAATTCTTTAATTAGAATAATAAATAAATTTTGTAAATTATCAAACCAAAGCAAAAATTGATAGAATAAAACTTGATAAAACAGTAACATCTCGTAAACAAATAAGAGATTGAATTAATGCATCGACAATCGTTTTCAAACCTATAAATTTAAAAATTGATTATTGAAAAATATATAATTAACCCTTTCCGGCCGACAATTCCAGAAAAAATACCGTACTCCCCTACGGCAAAATATTACCATTTAGTAATATCCGGCCGGAAAGGTTTAAGATTCAATGATATAATATACCTGGAACAACAGCTACTGTTTTTAATGCTCTTAGTACTCGAAATGTTCGAAGGACAGAGACATTTCCCAAATTGACAAAGAATGTTATATATCTAATTAATAAATTAATAGATCATTTTTCTTTTCTTCTCTAATTTGTCTACATACGCTAGTGTAATAACAATAAAATCTAACCAATTCCATGGATCACGTAGAAATGTAAATTTTTCCAGAATAAATCCACGTGCAACACATTTTGTTAATGCTTCAAGTGTATAAATTACTGTAAAGATATATCTATTGATTCAAATAAACATAGATACATATACATTTTATAAAATATTAGAGAATATTTACTCATATGTTTCAGGTACATTTTTAAGTGTCATAAATATACAATTAGCCAAAATAGTAAGCATAACAAATGTACTAAAAAGTGAATGAGTTAATATACGAATTGCTAAATGACGAAAACAATTGTATGGAGAAAATATAAAACAAGCTGATGTCGAACTAAATCGGAAGATTGTTTTATTTCTGTTAACAACCACAAATACCTAAAAGATGAAGAAGAAGAAGATTCAAGATTTTTATATTAGTAAATTTTTTTGAATAGTATACATATTGAGTTCGATAATACCGATCGATTTCTTCTATTGGTTTACCAATAAGTTCAGCTGGAAATTTTGTTTGTAATGCTCTTGGTAATGTTTGTCCAACAGCTAATTCTTTATTAGGTTTTCGTTTTAAATTAGGTTGTTCATAATTTGATGATTTTCTCATCGAACTATATAATAAATCACTATCGTCTTGACGTATTGTTTGTCGTTGTAATCGATCGGAAGCAAGGCGTTCAGCTTCCTCTTGTCGATAACGTTCAATACGATGTAATGATTCGGGTGTAAACTCGCGAAAAACAATCGAGCTGTAGTCCATCCTTATCGTCGACACTTACCGTCTGTTCATACATAGTTTTTTAACAAGAATAAACAACAGCAACAACAACGATAAATCAAATAATTAACTCCACAAAATACATTATTAACTAAAATAGTTAAAAAGGAAAAATGATTAAGCACATAAAGAGTAATTTTTTTACAATTGAAATGATAAATCATACAATAACCATTAAGTAGGCCCTTCTCTGTGTAACAGATGTTCACGATTGAGGGGTATACGAACAAGAAGAAGAAGAAGTAGACGAATTAAAGCGAAGTATGCAGTTTTTTATTATTATTTAGTCTATTAACTTATAGAAAAGTTTCATTCAATATTTTTTTATGTATCTTCTTCACACATTGATCAATCAGGAGCTAATTCTATGTAAAGAGACGGTTGAATAGAATACGATAGTTGCGCGTCAACGACTTAAATAGATTGATTTAGGAAAGCATAGTGAACATCACGAAGCAATAAAACGACTTCTTCATCTATCTTTTATCTAATCTTAGACTCTTTTCTCTCTCTCTCTCTCCTTCTCATCATCTTTTTCGTTCCATCTTAGATCTTCTTCTTCTTTTTTTTTTTGAACAATTGTCACACTTATAACATAGCAAAGCACAAGCAAAAAAGAATAAGAAAAGAAGAAAAAAAATACAAAGACATCGGGGAATAGAATTTTTTGTTATGATTACTAAAGCATTTGCAATCCGATGCTAGAATAATATCAATCTTTTTTTTTATCAATCACTAATCGTCATTGAGCAGTCGGTTCTAAAGATGTATCGACTAACTATTGAACATGTCGTGTTAACTTAATATTGATGTTCGTTCCGTTTGTCCTGTTTAACTAAATATAAGGTCAACGTCAATGAGAGTTTTCTATGATACTATTATTTCATCATCTTATTTGTTTTTTTTTTCAGCTGAAAAAAAGAAGAAGAACAAGAGAGTGACGAAGAACTAGTGACGAGAGAGAGAGAGAGAGAGAGAGAGAGAGTAACAATCGAACAGTCACGCATATGGATCCGAATGATAGTGATGACGAACAAGAGAGCAGTATAACGTTCCTAAATCCGATTTCTTCGTTCATTAGCATATCTAATAAAATGTTTTGAATAATAGGCCTACCACAAGAAAAAGAGTAGCGATGCGTTTCTTCGTTCAAAATCAAGTTCATATCATTCACATCTTAGCTGTCAATCAATGCGAAAAAGATAACAAAATCTAATGGAAGATTTTTTTTGTATAAACAGACAGAAAAAAAGAAGAATCATTCTAAATTCATAGTTTTATATCAATATAATTGAAAATCTAGAATTCATGTTTTTATTTATTAATCAATTAATAAAATCAAAACAATTATATTATATATTTTGTTTTTTGTTCCAATCACATTTTAAGAGAAGATTTGTTATCTTTACAATATAAAAAGTATGAAACACGCAAACTATTTTGTAATCTCTAGAGATAAATTTATGTTCTGAAATTTGTACCATTGTTTGTCAATTGATTAATCTATAATCATATGTTAAAAGATCAGTTAAGAATATTTCTTATCTTTTACAACTTAATCTGAAATAATTTAACATCAATAAATGAATATAATACTCATTGTCTAGATTGATTATTAATCGTAGTCAAAAGTCATATAATTTACTTCAGTCTATTATACAAATAAAGACATTCGTTTTTTTGTATTTCTATTGTTCATAAATACTATTTATTGGTACTTTTTTTTCATTCAATATCAATAGTAACATAAAGTATTAAAGAGAAGAAAAGAAAATTATATATACTATGCACGTTAGCTTGCTATTGTTATTATTCGTTTCCACTTATATCAATAGGACTATTCGCAGAATTTTATGAGTATGTATAGCCGCTATGACTGACATATATATATGCATAGTGGTTTGCAGTTATATGTAATTATTCATCAATCTGTTCTCTTTCCGCACATTTGATTGACAAGAAGGTATAACCATATATGCTAAGTATACTATTATTGAACATAGAAAATTTGATTTCATTTTCTATTGTTTACAATTGAATTGAAATATTTAACATGTATAATTGTCATATTTATATTAGAAGCTTTATGTCATTTAACCTTGATGTTTCTTTCGATTAACATATCTAGATAAGAAAAGTACAATGTATATAGTGTGAATTGAATAAAGCTAATATATATATATATGTATGTGTAAATACAGAAGGAAATTTCATTTGATTACCTAATCATTTTATCGTATATTTATAAATCAACTTTTTCTTTCTGTATCTTTCCTGTCATTTGATTTACAAATAAATAGAAGCCATAAAGATGATAATGTTATAAAATGAATATGAAACAATCGTAGAAATGATGATAGTATCGTTGTTTTAATTGCTTGTAATCATTTCTTTATTGAGAGAATATGTACAATAGAAACAATTCATTCCTAATAATTTCATATACATCTATATTCTTTTATGGAATCTTATTCGTCGTCTAATTGATGGTTGTGTATTGAAAGTTGTTCATAATCATCATCAATGTTCATACAGGGAGGTAGTTATTGCGTCGCGTCGATCTATATAACGAATTCATTTTTTTTTTCTTCTTCTTTGTTATAGTGAACGAAAGTGCTAGAATATAAGTGAGATGACATATTGAGTGAATACAATTCTGAATACTGAGTGATGGGGAAGCCGAATAATGATGACAGGTATACTTGAAACTTTTTACAACTTAAAGACATTATTTGTCACCATTTCTTTTTTTTTTTTGATATTTTATTAGTCAATTTTTCGATCAAACATCTTCATCATCACCTATTCCACCTTTACCTCCACCACCAAGTGATTTTGATATGAACTGGCAGACAACATTAAGCCAATCTGAACCAAGTATTCAATCTCGTCAAAATCAATTATTAAATCGTTTAGCTACAACTGCTTATAATTCATATAAAGTATCAATTGGACATGAAAAAGTTAATATAACAGAAATTGCTCGTCAACGTGAATCTTCACCGGATCCAACAACACCAATGATAACAAATGAAAAACGTCGAATAATAGCAGCACGAAGAGGTGCTAATATTCTAAGTTTATGTTTTATGTGTTTTGTTTCAGCTTGTCTCATACTTATTGCTATTTCTACTATGCAATTAATATTACGCAGACATTTTATCAATAATAATGATATAATTCCTCAATTAGGTCATTCAAATAATATCACATTGGATTCTCATTATAAAATACTTATACCGATATCAACAATGGATACAGTTTCTAATCTTATTATTCCAGCATATGACCGTACATTACGTGAATTTGCTACAGTTATATGTTTATCAATTATTGTACTTAATTGTTTTTGTATATTAATATTTAGTATTGAAATTTATCTTGGTTGTAATATAATGCAACCTAAAAATGATTCTCATCGGTATGATTCTTTTTTTTCTATTATTAATGTTTAAAATCTAATTTCTCCTTTTGAAATTTTTCTTCAACAGTAGTTTTAATTGTTTATTCAGTTCTTCAACAGCACGTTTTATTGCTATTTGTAGTTTTTATGCATCAATACCAGCATTTATTCTTGGTAAGAATAAATCTATTTATTTAGATTATATACTGTTATGTTTTTTTAGTTATGTGTATATTTATATTATTGAATATGTCACTTATACCTGCTATTATATCATTAAGTGTCCTTGGTTTTGGTTTGATTTTTATTCTTCTAACACTTTTAACATATGTTTCATTATGGCAAAATACAACATTTGATGGCAAACTTGGTGGAATTAATGGATCTATATATCATACTGTTGATGCTACACATTTATGTGATGATGATATAGATTTAGCTAAAACTGATGAACTTTCAACACTTGTTTAAATAAGAATTTTATCAATAGACACTGTATATTACAAATATAGATGACCTAGAATTAACTATGTATGTATATTATCTATTATAATCTTTAATTTACATATCATGAACAAGAACATTCTTAAATAAGACATGATTGTAATATAATAATAGAAATCTAAATTAATTATTAATTTCAATGTCTAACAACATAATATAACGATACATTTTTTTTTTGTAAATGCAATTAAATATAAATTATCAATTTGAAGTAGTTATTTTTATATTTTATGATACTAATGCATCGTTCTCTTGAAACAATTGTTGGAAAAGAAAATCATATCTTTTAAAGAACTATATTGACCTTTTCTTTCTAATTCAAGAAGATAATGTTATCTATATTTCAAAAGTTAAATAAAAATTTGTCTAGAAATCTTTCTTTAATTTATATATATATTTATATAAATATATATATTGCTTATTCCATTAACTCTACATGTTTTGTTATATGTTTGTTTTATGAAATCGTGAGCAACAAACATGAAAAAAAAAATTAATTCAATAATACGCAAAACAGATAGAACATGAAAGAAGAAAGAAAAAAGAAAACAAAATACATCAAGCCAAACAACAATATGGATAATCGATACTGTTTCACGCCGTAATGAAACTCGACATACGAAACAACAGTAATTATACACAAACACACACACACAGATATATATATAGAGAGAGATAGAGAGATAAAGAGAAAATGAGTGAGATAGTTGTGAGATCATCGCTCAATTACTCTAAAAGCAAAAAGCACTGTTATCGTGTACAAAAAGCAAAATTAAAGAAAAATAATAATAATAAATTGTATATCAGGATTTGGATGGATGATGAAAGAGTTTAGAAAAAAATCTTTGTGTTAATGTTTTTGTTGGTGGTGATTGATTAACTAATGATTGAGATGAATGTGATAGAGAATTAATTTGTTGTTCATCAGTTAATGTTGATGATGATGATAAACCAGCAATTGAATGTGGTCGAAATGAACTCAATATTGGAGATGAATTCGCTGATGATGATGAAGATTTTCTATGTATATCAAGTCTATCATTATTTAAAGATGGATTTATATCATTAACAGTTTTATTTGGTGGGATAATCAATGTTGTTTGACGTTCATCATAGGATAATTGTCGAGTCGTTGCTTCTTTTTGTTTAATTTTTGTTTGATTTTCATGTGATGATGATGTTAATATAGTTGTATTTGATAGATGAGGTTTTTTCTTATGACCACTCGATCGAGAAAATATGGATGTTGTTCGTGATATTTTTTCTCCATCATGACTACGACGAACATGAGTAGGATATTGTATATTTTCATTATAGTAACCATGTGTAATTAAACCATATTCTTTAACTTGTTGCATTTTAAGATCAAGTTCACGCATAAATGTATTCGACATTGTAGTAGGATTTTTATGAATAGTACAATGATGATTACTTGTTTGAAGAGCTATAAATAGATTTAAATAAAAATATAACTAATTTAGAAGATATAAATATATCATTCTTTTTAAACTAAATACTATTGACATTGTTAGTTAAACAAACAAGTCATAGGACTTGAAGACATTTTTATGAATAATGATCATAATTACAATTATTATTGTTGACAAGATAAAATTACGCCTTGAGTTAATTATTTAAAAAGAATCCTCGATATGTAATCTTGTTCTTTGATGATTCTTATTCTATATATATATATATATGGAAGAAAGAACTTGTTTAAAATAAGCATCTGTAGTATTAAAGTTGATATTTAATTCATTACAGATTATATTTACTTTGGAAAGATATTTAAATATAGTGTAACTCAAATGTTTGAACATAATTTTCTTATTTATGTATGATCAGATTTTATGTCTCCATTCTAACTACTTATTCTTTTCACCTCCAAATTCGTGCTGTTGTTTTTTTTGTTTATATACTAAGTCAAAAAGTATGAAACAAGCCTTCTTTTTTTTTATCAGTCTACGAGATAAAAAAGAGGGTTAGTTTTGTATCGCTTTTTTCCCATTTCTATATAATAAAGTAAACAACTGATATATCCAAATATATTTGGGTTCTACTGGGATTGACACAGACAAACTAAAGGGTAAAAAAAACTTTATACGACATCTACTCTGTTATCTAATCAGTCTGTCAATATTTAGTGAAGCAAATAATATTGTGCCAGTCGGAAAGAAAAATAAAATTACAAAAAAAGTCCTTAACAGTAGCTTTGACCCAGATATATTTTATCAGTAAATAGTATAATAATATTTATAGGTATATATGATGTTGTTACTTACGTTTTAATAAATTAGTTTGATGACAATGACGTTTGATTTGTTTTTGTTTTAAGGTTAATTTTTTTTTTGTACTTGTATATAATCGATATTTGACAATCAATGTTTGAGTAGCCGTCATAATGACAGAACTAACAGTAAGGACAACAATAAACAAAAACTTGCGTTTGATAAACGGTTCAACATCGACTAATTTGAAATAATTTTGTTAGAATTTAGTTTTGCTTCTTTTTTGAATTTTAAGAAAATAATTAAAGAAAATTAAAAAATTTTGTTACATGCTCAAATACAAACATCGAGAATCTAGAATAGAAAGAAAAACGAATTTTTATTTTAAATATTCATTAAGACTATATAATAGAATTAATTTTTAAATATGTCTTAAAAGGAATAATAAATGATAGAAGAAATATGAAACTAAGTCTGTTTTTTTTCTTGGAAAAAAAATAAAAATTTCTAATTATAACAGAAATCTAGACAGCTGATAATTATATAATATTTTAATACAAATTAGTGGTATTTTTCTTTTAAGTTTTTTTCTAATGTTCATTGATAAAATAAAAAAAGGTCGGCCAATTTTAGTCTATAAGAATAAATACTGTCTACTTCGAAATAAATGAACATGTATAAAACAAATTCAAGTAACCAAAACGCATAAAAATTTTATGTTGCCATAACAGTTTTCGTTACTGTTGTGTATGGAATAATTAGATTTTTTTTAAATGTCATGTTGCTCGTATAAGAGCAAAAAGAAGACTATTTTCTCCTCACTTTTATGTCTGGAAAAAAAAAATAATCCGTTAGATCAACAGAATGAACATATAATTCATTAGTGTTTATTTGATCTATTAGCCTATAATAATTATGATTAAAAAAAGACTCTAGATCAGAGGAAACATTCTCTTAATTTACATTATTTAATTATATCTTGTTTGTAGATATTTTTAATTCGAACTTACATTTATATAGATCGAAATGGATTATTTTAGCAGCTATGATAATGAACCAGCTGAGTGACTACCAATAATGGCAAATATGACGAGTGACAAAGCAGGAGGAAATAGGCTGCGATGAGACGTAGGCAGACGCACTTTCTTATTTTTCTTCGTTCTATTTTTGTCTTTAGCCGTTTGTATGTCTCGTCGTCGTTTTCTTCCTGTTCTCTATGTCTGATTCTCTTGATTTTATTCTTTTACTCTCTTTTTCTTGCGCTTGCCGTCCGTCTATGATGATATAATATTTAATCATCAACATCTCTCTTTCTTTCAACGTTGTTGAGTATGTCTCGCCATGTCTATTTCCGTTATCGACACACACACACACACACACATACACCAGACAGAAACCATCATCTGAATCTATGACCAATTGTTTTAAATCAAAAAAGAAAAAAAAGAAAAGAAAATAATAAATGTAAAGAAGAAAAAAAAAGATTCCTGTCAACTTTACGCAATATATTTTCTTTCTTCAAAAATATATTAAAAACTTAACAGTTTCAACATTCACACAGTAAATATATATTCTATATAATCAAGCAGCTTATAAATAATTTTCGTAGCGTGTGCTATATTAGTAATGTTCTGTATTTTACATATTTGTCATTCATTATTATTCTATAATCGATTCTTACCTAACATTATTATAAATTTGCTTAAAAAAATATAAGGACAAAAAAAGTACGTCGTTTGTCTGAAGGTGTTTATTATCGGTAAACAAGAAAACACATATATTTTGCATACATAAACAGGGCGTGTCTTTGAAATTTCTTTAATAATAGTCAAAATCGAAACGCTTTTGTCAGACACTGTCTGTGATCCTTGATGATGAATAAATGAAATAACAGCAATAACATTCCTCGCTCGAATCAATCATATGTTTTGTGTTGAGAAGAGAAAAACATCTTCATACAAAAGTTATTTTGTTTCAAAACAAGAAGAAGAAAAAAAACCTAAGAGTAATGATTAACTCGTTTCTTGATCTTTGCGAGACAGAAAGAAAAAATGTCCTTGTCATCTATGTTCGTTGATCTCAAAAGCAAACCAATCATAGATATATAATACTATTTTGTTTATCTGCTTGAGAACATTAGTCAAAACAGCTGTTTTTTGTTCTATATCATATTAATTTCTAACACAATCAGCTAGAATTTCATAAAAACAACTAGTCTTAAAAATAATTTTTTTGTTAAATGTAGATTCACAAGAAATTCAAAAATATTTTTTTCATAAAATATAAGTCGTAAAAGAATACTTATGATAAATCAGAAATATCTTGACAGGCAATAGTAAAATAATAATACAGTGTACGTTGTTTTTATAGTATTTATTCTAGCGCATGTACTTTTTTAAAGTATTCTTGCAAAAGATATCATTGCTGCCATTTACTGGCAAACTAAAAATACATTTTACTTAATTATGTGACACTCGAGTTTCTTTTTTTCTTCTTCTTCTATCGTCTGCTTTGCTGCATGTCAGCATAGACTGTCACGCAAATTCGAGATATTATAGAAACAGAAGATGCATAGAGAATCTAATTTTACACCGAACCCAGACAATATGTCTGTCTATATTCTAGTTAATCCTTGAAGAAATTCTTTTCTTTTTTAAATCCAATTTCAAATTCTAATCTATTATAGATCAGTGAAATAAAAAAGTAATAACAATTGTTACAACAAAGGTCATAAAGTTAAATATACTTCTTTCATCATCATCGATTCAACGGTTTAGTATGCATGTATATCTTTAGTCAGACAGACTAAATAAAAAACATGTAACTAACCGTCTCTGTCGCTGCCATCGACATCGTCTAGACTGTGATGTAACAATGATGATGGAGTAGAGAAAAAAAAAGAAATGAAGTAGTTAATACTTCGATATATACATACATATTGTTGTTGTTATTATTATTATTTTTTGTTAAAATGAAGAATAAAAATAGTTAAATGAAGAAAATAAACCTAGGTGCATTAAAATGACATTTTATAATCATGCGCTCGCATAGATTTAATATAAGTATCCATTTTTATCATACAGAAAATGAACTTTTTCTTTTTTTTTTTATAAATAACCTTTTCTAATGAATATTAAAATATGTTTTTTAATGAAACAATTAGTTTTTTTTTATAATAACCGTTTACCTGTGAGACAACTTTTTCATGTGTAAATTATCGGAAGAATTTTTAAATTGACAGACAGAAAAAGAAGAAGAAGAATCACACCTATGAACTTTTTCTAGGTATCACTGTTTTTAAAATAGTAACAACTAATATTTTACAGGTCAACAAATATTCTAATTATATCAAATGATCTAAAAGTATGTCTATACATATACTTACCAAAAAGTTTAGTAATAATATTTGTGAAAAATTGACCATTAAATTCATCTAAAATAAATAATCCGTGTTTTATGATTTAATACTAAAAAAATATGAAGTTTATCCTAACTATTCAAGATATTTGTATACTGAATATATTGATGTATGCTTATAATTCGCTGTTACAAGTTATTCAGTTTCGCGACAGACACCCTCTAATATATAAATTCATAAGACACATTTTCACTCATCATCGTCCTCATTATCTATTTCTTTTAAGCTCTGCCGATTACTTAACATACAGATATTTTCTTTTTCATTCACTCTTATTAAAATAAATATTTACGCAGATCATAGTTAAGTTTTTGAATCTTTATTACAGACGACGGTATAGAAGAAGAAGAAGAAAAAGAAAAAGAAGTAAGTAAAAGAGAAAATCATGGCACCGTATGTTTATATCTGACAAAAAAAAAATAACCGGTAAACCTGTTCCTGAGTATCAACTATCTGACATCGAAGAAAAAAACGCGTGAGAGAAAAATATATAGATGATAAAGAAAAAAATGACATCACGCTGTATACACAGATAATCAAACGAAAAAGTTCACGTTATATAAGTTTTGATAATACACCGGTAAGAGACAAGCACCATCAATAGACACACACACGTATCCAGAAAAAAAAGAAGAAGTAGAAGAAGATGAAAGCAAAGCACAAGCATACACACACACAAGCTACTGAAAGAGCACGAGATCGACTTAGAAGTTTTTATCTCTTTGGAAACATTCGTTAATAGAAGAGACCTGAGCAAAAAAAAAATACTAGCAGAAAGAATTGTAGGAAGGCCGGAGAAAAAAAGATATACTATCGAATTAATATTCGCTTGTCATAGAGACATCATTTGTTGATGTTGTTGTTTGATATTGTCCTGGAATGGGTGGTGGACCCATAGAATACATATATTGAGGTTGAAGATAAGCATGCTAGAAGAAAATCTTTTTCGTTTTTTAAATCCTATTCATTTATATTAAATAAAATACTTACTCCATTCATTAATTGTCCACCTGTTTGATGCGTATAAAATGTTGGATAGAAAGAAGGTGGCAATTGCTAAATAAATAATTTATAAAAAAAATCCTATGATTTAGTCAAATTCAAATACCGGAGGTGGAGCAGCTTGAGGTAGTAAATAAGTACCATGCATCGGAAGAAATGGCATCTAAATATAATACAATTAAGAAATAAAGAAAAGATAAAAATAATGTACATTTGCTTGAAATGGATAATATATTGGTGGATAGACTTGTTGTGGAACTGACATAGGCTGTTGTTGTTGGTGATGTTGATTATATGGTGTTGATGGCTGTTGAGACATTCCATTTACTGCCGATCGAGAAGGTGTAGGTGGTGGTGTCATTGTCGAACCATCACCTGGATAATAAGATGTTGGACCTATATAAAATAACATGTCTTTAAATCATGTTTAGTTATAAAACAATATTGCTAATACATTTGTACTCTAAACTGATGTTAACATTTTTCTTTTGTTCATTTAATCTGTTAATACTCGAGTTTACTTCAAGGAAACAAATTTTGATGTTTCTTCGCTCTCTCTCATTATCTTTGATAGGTGCACAAAAATTCTTATTACTAATAAAATATAAACACTCTCATTAATCAATAACTTTTCGAAAGAATTTAGTCATTTTTAGGGAATATCTATAATATAATATTTTGTTTATACACCGCACAAGATTACAAAAATGATTAACATAAAAAAATCATACTTGTTGATGGAGGTAGACTAGCTTTTTTATAAGCAGGTGCTAAAATAACCGGACGATTTTGAAATGTAATTGGTACAATTGCATGTTGACGTAGAACATCTAATGCAGTATTATCATTAACAAATGAAATGAACGCAAAATGTCTAGAGAAAAAATAAATTGATTTTGTTTTTCTTAGAGAAAAAATGATTAAACATACGTATTTTCTTTTGCAATTATTTTCACATCATGTACAGGACCATATGTTTGAAAAAACTGTTCAATTTCAGCACCAGTCGTCTATAAATTCAAAAGAATATAAACAACGAATTTTTCATATTTATTTATTTATTTATTACTTCACGAGAAAAATTTTTCATAAATAAACGATTAACAATTAAATGACTTTGTCGTGGAATTTTTGAATCATTTAATTTATTTATAAAATTTAAATGTTCTTGACTCGGCATTTTATTGCCGGTCGTATGATTTATATCCATTTAATTCGATCTAAAATGCAAATAATAAAATAACGAATCTTATTATCATTGCTTTTCGTCGTCCGTCTTGATTATCAAATATATATTCTTTGGCTAAATGCCAGAATCATTTTTATTGTATTAATACCTTTGACCATTTAGAGATTTCAATTTTAACATAATGCATTACTGTTTTACATTGTTTCTATTGGTTGTCCAGTGATTATTCATGGATTTATTCGTTGATATATATTTTTTAGAATGAAAAAAATTCTTCATCTTCTTTTTCCTTAGAACATCGTTCTGTTTTTTTCTTCTTCTTCTTCTTCTTCTCTTATACAAATTAAATTAATAATATAAAAACAACCAAAATAAAAAGTGAAGATTAATATTTATGGATATTTATCTTTTTTTCTTGGAGATTCAATCATGATTTTTTTACAATGAAAATATCTGAGAATTTAATATATTCATTACTATCCTATTAATTATGGCAAATTTTTCATCGACATTAAATGAAGATAAAAATATGATTCGATCTGATGTAAGTCATTTCGATGTTATTGAAAAAAAATCTTTTTCTAGAATAAAAACAAAATCTAGTAAGGGGAATGTTAAACAGTACATTTATTATAAGACAAAAAAAAACTACGAAATTTTTAATTTAATAAAAATTTTTTTAACAGTTTTCATGAGTCATCATTGGTTTGGTGATTCATGATGAGAAGCAGAAAATAGCCTTTTTCTATTTGTTGATTATTTACTAATTTTAGCCATCAAGAATATATGAGATTGGTCAAACACCTCTTGCTCGATTACGTCCAGAAAAACTCGATGATGCGGCAATTAAAAACCAAATAACATTAGTAAATAAATATGTTATAAGTTTTATTATTTTGGGAATTTTTCATTTTTAGATTCAAGAAATATGCACAGATATTGATCCTGATGTAATTGCACTTGTCTTTCATGAATGTGATTATAATATGCAAAATACAATTGCAAAAATACGAGCAGGAGATTTTGAGGTAAATAATATAAGATTAAAATGGTTTTTTTTTCAAAATTTTATTTTCATTTTTGTAGGATGGTGGTTGGCAAAAAGCAAAATCAAATAATAAAAAGAAAAATCATAATATAGGTGATCAAATTTCCAATGGTAATATACAATGTGATAGTGAACGTTCTTTTTCTCAACGTACATCACCAACTTCATCACTTCGTGGTGGTAGTGTTGGAGTAAATAATCGACAAGAATCTTATCAACATTCATCACGTACGAATCCTGGACGACGTGGTAAATAGTTTTGTTTGTATGTATTAAATCATATCTACATATTTGTTTTTTTTTTATAAAGGTAATGATCCCGGTCGAAATCATTTCACTTCAAGAAATCCACGTTATCCATCTCGTAATTATTCAAATAATAATAATAAACCATTATCAACACAACAAAACCCGAGTGAACCTATTTCATTATCGAAAGAAAAAGATGAAATAAAACCAATAATATCATCAGCAACTGATGAATATGAATTTAATAGTGGTAATACACAAACATTGACATTTGAGAATAGTATTAAAACATCATCATCATCATCAAATATAAAACGTTCAATTCCACAAGAACCCGTATCAATGCACCCAACAGTACAATTCTCAACAGAACCAATTGATATTCAATTTGGCGATGTTCAATGGAATGATTCTGTACCGATAACAGTTACTCCGTCCAATAGTTCTGTTTTGGCAAAGTCATTAGACAATCAACAATCATCACCGGTTGCAACTAGTAATGAATACCAACAACAATTAGAGTAAGAAAGAAAAATCAAAAATTCTTTTGATGATATAAAAATCAGAAAAAGTTGATTATCATAGAACTAAATTGTAGGAAATAGAATGAATACTAAATCGAGGAGTTTTATACAAAAATTAATGACTACTCGATTATGATAATCTTATTATCAAAAGTTTTTTTTTGAAAAGTAATTAGATTATACTAATCATCGATCCATATTTTGTATACATAAAATGATGAACATTCTCTCAAACAAGACTATTTCAGATGATCAATTCTGATGAACACATCATATTTGTTTAGAAATAAGAAAAACTATTAGAATCGAACTTGAAACGTGGCTTTCATAGATATGTAATACTATTTGTATATTTTTAGTGTGCAAAATAATTTATCATCAAGTCATATCAATCAGAAAGCAACGAATGAAACTGATAGAGAATTACTTGAAACTACCAATCGACTTTCAACTTCTTCAATATCATCGTCAGTACCAATAGCAAATAATACTTTAGTAAGAAAAAAATAAAAATCTTTCGATTCATTCAATAATCGTTTTTATTCCTCTTCTAATCTATTCAAGGCAAATAATTCGTCCGTCGTACCTCAAGAAGGAACTTCTCATTTATCTGATCATTTATCTGATTCATTACAACAACAACAACGACAACAAGCACCTTTACAAATAACTTCATCATCTTCATCCCTTACAGATGCAACACGTTTACCACCAACGTCAACACCAAATGCTTCAGAATATGCTTCTCCAACATCTCAAAATAATAATCCATTTATAACAAATATTCTTCAACCATCTTTATCTACTACAAGTAATGGTCTTGATGGAAACTCTTCAGCTTTTACATCATATAATATATCTAATACTTTCCAGTAAGAAATTTATTTGAATATTATATTTTTAGTATATATTATTTCTAATAGACCAATAACAAGAGATGTTTCTCAAACAGCACCAACTTGGAATCACCAAGCATCTAATTATAAACCAACATCGAAATCAACCATGATACAACCAGGAGCATACCCTCAACCAACATCATATCAATTACCACCTCAACAACAATTCATTGTTGGAACTTATCCATATCATACACCTGCAGTAAGAATATCTAGATTAATTGTTCACTGTATATAAGTAGAATAAAAAAAGTACTACTGAATTTTTTAAGTCAAAAGTATTCGGTTATCAAACTTGTTAAGATATTCGATGTTGCGCCTGTATTAATTTCATCAGATAATTAAAATTTCTTTCTTTTAGCTTTATCCAGTGATAACAACATCAGTCGATCCTTGGTCAACTACTGGATTTGAATCTTACTCAACATATCCAACACCTAGTATGATTCTATTTGGTTTACAAGAAAATATTTTCTTTTTTTTCCACAATTAGATTATATACCAACATATCCGGCACAACAACAACAATATCATTCTACTGCTACTACAACACAACCTAATAAACATGGTATTAATAATTTCTACAATAAAATATGATCAAATAATATTTTTGTCTATTTAGATCAATTTTCCTATGATAAAGATTTTTTTGCTAATTATGGACAACCTCGTTTATCAAATAATGAATTATCTAATTCGTCTCAAACAAAAGATGCTCCTATAGCAAGTAAATTATCTGCAACTGCAGCTACATACTCTCAGGGAGCTCCATTAACAGCAGCAAGTCCAGCAACATTTTATATTAATCCATTTTTATATACAGTACCAACTTATTATGCTTCACATCAAGATCGATCAATGTCTTATCCAACAATTGATAATCGTGTAAGTATCTTTATATAAGAAAAAAAAGCTCTACATATTAATAGAATAAAGAAAAAAAATTTGTTCTTATCTCTATAAAGGATAATCGAAATGGTGCTTCATATGGCGGTAATAACAATCGAAATCATTATCATCAACAACAACAGCAACAACAACAACAACAACGTACATATAATAATTCCACTTGGCATTCACAACAGTAATGTTAATCATAACTGTTGAATTTCAATCCTATTTTTTACCTAAACACATTCATTGACTTCTTTTTGTTCTTTACCTCCGAACTTCTATTTCTTTCATTTTTTTTCTTCTCTCCATATAGAAAACAAACCAGTGTATAACATCGTATTATTATTTAAGAGAACATGTGTCGGTGTAAATTATTTTCTTTTAGATGTAAGAACATCTTTTAAGAACAAAAAAACAATAGTCTATTTGTTGGTTTTTGACGTTGATTTCTACTTTCTTTTTTTTGTGATAAAAGACATTCTCCTATTGAAATTCTCGTCGAAAACAAACATATATATTTATATATATATATATATGTATCGTTCATTTTTATTTTATCATTTTTGTTGCTCGTTAAATTTTAAATGAACAGAAAAATGATGATTGATAATAAACGATAGATAGAAGAACGTTTAAATCATTAATCTATATTTTTAAATTTTACATATAGAAATAAAAGTTCATATTTCATAAGAATTTCTAAATAATAAATTTCTTTTATGTTGCACAGGTAATTGAAGTAAATTTGATTTTTAATTGATGAAAAACAAATTATTTAGTAAAAATTATACTCTATTGACCTGTTTTCTTCTCATAATGATGTGTTGGGTGGGTCGAAAAATATATAGTTAAACAGAATAAAAGATGCTTTTTCTTTTGGTAAAACATAGAACTATGCTAAGTTTCGAAATAGTAAAGCAATTTGGACAATACTAAAAAAGTCTTAAAAATGACCATTCTTTCATACGTCACTAGACCTTGTTTTCAGTGTGTACCTGATAACTGCGAGAGAGATTGTCAAAATAATCTCATATTTTGAATTTAGTATTAAATATACAAGGCCTTCATTTTAAGATGATAAAATCTAAGGTGAAAACAAATTCTGCAGTCATGTTGGCAGCTAATGCCTGTTTTTTTTGGGCGGACTTTCTCTGAATGTTTTAAACCAGAATTTCTGATAACGTTGAAAACTGATACTTTATCATTTGATTTGAAAAGTATTTCACGAAACAAGTAAACAAAATTACACATTTATTTTTGAACTATCTTTATCCTATAGTAGCTTTATTTATAGCATTATTTTTTAATGTTTCGTATATGGTTTTATACTGTTCATCCAATTTATGAATTTTTGAAAGATCATTCGCGAATTGTTTGCGAAGTGTTCTGATATATTTTAGACTACTCGTTAAAATGTCGTGATTAAGGTCTTCCATCAGGTCCATAAAATTTAATATTTTCCATTTGTATACCCAGAACGATCATTCCGACCATCGGAAACGGCCTGAAGCGATTATAAAACTGTGTATTACTGCATTGAATTTCTTCTTTTGTTTCGAAAATGTTTTCAAAATGTAGTAAAAATTTTACAAAGTTCAGCTGCCTTTCAAACATTTATCTTGCTGTAGTCTTATGATTGGTTAAAGCACAAGCAGAACCTAATTTTTATAATGAGTAACAAGATCAGATATTAAATCGAAACAAAGATCATCATAATTAGTATCTTGAATAAGAAATACTGTACCACGTATTTACCTTTTATTTTGTTATTTATCAAGATAATCTTATATCATAGAGAATGGTTCAAATATTGAAATAACATCACTATATATATTGTCTAATTGTTGCACTTCCGTATAAGTGCGTTCTGATATCAGACAAATTAATCCAGGTCGAACAATACGGCCCGGAACCGGCTGGCTCCCAGGTTTTTCGTTGATTTCATGGAAGCAGTATTTTGAACCGGGAAATCTCGAATTTTTCACTCCTTTTCCTGCCACATCCGACCGGAAATAAGTGGGAAGTTCGGGGGGAAAAATCAAGTGATTTTCTGTCTGCAATCCGGATATTAAGAACGCAGAAGCAATCAATGGGACCTCATCTCATGTCCCATGGATTTTGGATCCGAGATTTTCGCACCGGTTCCAACTCACGTTTCTCATACCTTTCTCAATTACCATCCTGATAATCCATCCGAACTGCAGAATATGTATAATATCCTGCCAAATCTAGGCTGTTTCGAAAGCTCTCATTGAAGACTATCAATGTTCCTGATAAGAACACTCTTTTCAGAGATATCAGTATTATTCACTTTTAAGTAGTCATTTCCTGTTGAAAAAAAATCCTTTTTACATAGTTAAATGCAGATATATTTCTTGCATTCAATGATGTAAAAGAAAGTAACACTCGTTTAAAGACTAGCTCTGTTTTTCTGATAGAAATCGCGTTACAGAACAGCTACCGAGCTATTGATTTGTATAATTAAACAAAATAGAAGTCAGATTTAAACTCTATGACCCCAATAACTCTTCGATCAACCTTTATAAAAAAAATTCCTCTTATATCTTTACCTAATTTCTGAACCAAGCAGTGAAGTGCGGATATACAAGCAAGCAAACAATATTTTCTTGCAAGACTCTTCTCTATACGAAGGAGAATTAATCTATATTTTTAAATTTTACATGTAGAAATAAAAATTCATATTTGGTAGAAACTTCTAAATAATAAATTTCTTTTTATGTTGTAAAAGTAATTGAAGTAAATTTGATTTTTAATTCGGAGAAACAAGCTATTTATTGAATTTTGGAATTTTTGAAATACTAGGTAATGTTATCTATATTGTAATACTGTAACTGAAAATATATAAAAATCAAAAACAAATATGCTAAGACAGAAATGTATTACATATGTTATATGCAAATCATTATTCATGATGATCGTCAAATGCAGATTTTAAAATCTATTGAGAATATTCTTTAATATATGCGAATAGTTTTAGCAAAACAAAAAAACATCTTCCGACTAGGTCAAATATATACAATAAAACAGATTGTAATGATCATATTTGACTAGACTTATTCTCAATTCAATCGTTATTGACGATAACATTAAAACAAAATAAAAACTAATCATACCGTTTTTCTTATACATCTACGTCAATGCAAATATTTAGTATTATTATATACCACGTTGTATAAAATCATGTCTGACCTGTCATTTTGAATCATGTTCATTGTCAATCAAATATGTATGTATAGTACTTAAAAAAATACCAATTCTTATTTTTTTTTCTTGATAGTTACATTTCACTGTAACATGATTTATTCGTAAGTATCTTATATATAATAAACTTTTATGATTTATTAATTGTCTATTTTATTTGAATTATGATTGTAATTAACTTCTAATATTGTAAATCAGTTAGATGTAAAATACTGATTTTATTTAGAAAATTTCGATAAATACATCAGATGACACAAAAGTTTTTCTTGTCCATGTACCTATATTTAGACACACGATAGATATCTGTTTTTTTTTGAAATTGTAATAAAACGCAAAAGATAAACATGTCTATTGAAAAACTACTTTCTATCATGAGAAATTCGAGATTTTTTGAAGTGACTCATATGAATAGAGCTCGTCGCAATATATTTATTTTTTAGTATAACATTGGAAATAAAGCAATATTGCGATTAAAATTACATAATAAACAGATGAGTATCATTGGCAAGGTTACATGTAAAACACGTGCAACTTTTATCTCTGTTTCCCATAAAGATAACATCTTAAATTGCATATTCCTAGTAAACTGATTGAAAAATACAGTATTTCTCTTATATCAACAATCAAATCAAATACAGTCAGCACATGTATAGATAATTTTTATTTAAAAAAAAGCATACTAAATGGAATGTTGCTTGTAGCAATATTAAGTTACACTATATACGAAAAGAAACTATCAAAATAAAATTACAATAGTTGGAGAAAATTTGTTTTTTTACATATATGTACCATTACATATGTAAATATTTTCAACAGACATGTTTACCTGTTATCATTGATCACAATTTCGAAATAATTAGCAAGACTCATGTTTGTAATTCCAATAAAAAATTAGACGGTAGATATTTTGAATAAATAATCAATCTTATATCATAATGTCATAAAAATAATTTCTGTCGTTATCGATTTAAAGCAAATAATAAATCATTTAGAGTTATATATGAAAGTAAACGCTTTTTTTTAATCATTTTTGATTTTTTTTCTTAATAAAATTAAGTTAATAATATACATAAATACACTTTTTAATAAAGTATAAAAAATAAACTAAAATTCATCTACCAGTGATGTTGTAGAATTATGTAACCATTGCATATATTTTGGCCAGTAAGTTTGAGAAATGAAAAATATATGAACTAAACCAAGACTTTGAAATATAAAGAGAAGACGACCAAGAGGTGTTTTAAAATAGAAATATTTTCCATAATCAATAAAATTAGTCCATGTTGGATGACGAAGAAGACGAAGTCCTTTATTTTTATTACGAGTTTGTTTTATCGTACGGCGTTTTCGTTTAGTAGAAATCTTAATTTAAAGAGAAAATAAAAATTCTTATCGAAAAAACAAGACGACATACAATACTTGACGATAGTGATGCATTCGCCATGTCGAGCTAGTCATATGTTTGTACTTCTTATCGATTGACGCGTCTTCAACATGAAATCATTCAAGAGAAACATACTCACGTATTTTTTTCCCTTGTTTTTTTCTCTCTAAATAGTCTACTTAGAAATTTTCATGGCTATAAATGCGAATCGAATGATACATTATTTGTATTGAATTTAATATAACTATTATTACATATCAATATAATTAAATTTTAAATGAATCATATTTTTAAAAAAAAAAACATTACGATTTCTCAATATTTTTTGTATATAAAACAATTCATAACAAACGCACGTGAAATACCTCGAAATAACGTGTATACGAATATTGACTTGATTTATTTATAAAATATATAGATTTTCATTTACATATGTATAAATATGCAAAATAGTTTAATAAAACTTCATTGTTTGACATATCAAAAGCATATTTTTTATTATTATGTCTCGTGACTATACGATAAAAACAATTCTGTTTTACGGTACTTATCAAATATAATTTGATATCTTTAATATTTGTTCGCAATCTAAGCATATAATAAATTATACTAGATATGTATTAAATTGGATTGATTTCATATAAATTGAATAGTTTAAAAAGAATATTGTTATTTGAAACCAAAACCTTGTTTATAAGATTTTAATTTATTGCACAATAGCGTCCTCTTTTATAGTATAAAGGTTAATTATTGCATCTCGAATAGCAACAGATATTGTCATGGTTTTTCTTCCTTTTGATTATTTTCTTTTTTTGTTTTAATAGTATTCTTTCTTTTTGAAAAACATTCGATGTTAAGTGAGCAAGCCTCATAAGTTATAGTGTGACACTGTAACATTTTTATTTATTTGTTTTTATTTATTTGTATTTTGTTTTTCAGATTGATTTTTAAAAAAAAAATAACGAGTTATGTCTAGTAGTGAGACCGTTCGAGTTATTGTACGATGTCGACCGATGAATCAACGTGAAAATGATTTAAAATGTCAAGTAAAATATTTTCGTTTATCTATAAAAAAAAAGATTCATATTATAATTATTTTTATTTTATTTAACAGTCGATTGTTTTAATGAATACAGCAATAAATCAAGTTATGTTAGAAAATGTTGAACAAACTAATGAACCACCAAAACAATTTACTTTTGATGCTGTTTATGCTGAAGATTCAATAACTGAAAATCTCTATGCTGAATCAGTTTTTCCACTTGTTGAAAGTGTAAGTTAAATTTAATAATTTTGAAAGATAATACTCATTTTTCTTATAGGTACTCGAAGGATATAATGCGACTGTATTTGCATATGGACAAACAGGGTATACAAAATCTTTTATTTTTTTGCTATCTAAATCATTTTTTTTCAGTTGTGGTAAATCTTTTACAATGCAAGGAATAAATACACCAGGATCATTACAACGTGGTGTTATACCTCGATCATTTGAGGTAAAACATAATTTCATGAGATATCTATAGCAAAGATTAGATTAATCAATCATTTAATATTATTTTAGCATATATTCGAAGCATCATCAGTTGCAAGTGGCACTAAATATCTTATTCGTGCATCTTATCTTGAAATATATAACGAAAATATTCGTGATTTACTTGGAAAAGATGTTAAAGCAACACTTGAACTTAAAGTAAAAATAATATTTAAATTTATTTAATCTTGTTATAATTTATTCTTTCAAAGGAATTTGTTGATAAAGGTGTGCATGTACAAAATTTAACATGGCATCAATGTTCATCTGTACTTGATTGTGAACGTCTTATGGATAAAGGTAATCGTAATCGTGCCACAGGTGCGACACTTATGAATAAAGATTCGTCTCGATCACATTCAATATTTACTATTGTTACTGAAATGTGTACTAAAAGTGAATTAGATGGAAAAGAACATATACGTGCTGGTAAACTTAATTTAGTTGATTTAGCTGGTAGTGAACGACAATCAAAAACACGTAAATAAAAATAATTCATATATATATACGATATAAATATTCTTTTGTTTTTTAATAATTAATAGATGCTGAAGGCGAACGATTACGTGAAGCAACTCGAATTAATTTATCACTTAGTGCATTAGGAAATGTTATATCAGCATTAGTTGATGGACGTTCTAAACATATTCCATATCGAGATTCAAAATTAACACGAATGTTACAAGATTCACTTGGTGGAAATACAAAAACATTAATGGTAAGAATTATTACATTCTCCCAACTAAGGTCGAAAGTAAAAATATCGAAGTATAAGAATATCGAAGGATAAAAATATCGAACGAAAACAAGTCGAAATATGAAAATGATAAGATTTTGGGTGTTTGAAACAACTTAATGGGGAAAATAAAGAAAGACGTTTGAGGGTAGGTGTGAGTGTGGGTGTAAATATAGACATTCATCTATATTTAGCTACATCCACACCCTCACCCACACCCTTACCCTTCGATATTTTCGAATTTCGACTATTTTCAATTCGACATTTGTCTAATTTTATTTCGACATTTTTTCTTTTCGACCAAAGTTGGGATTATCAATTATTATATCGTATGAAATTATTATTTTTCTTTTTTAAGGTTGCTGCTGTAAGTCCAGCTCATGATAATTATGATGAAACACTTTCAACATTACGATGTAAATTTATTATTTCTAAATATATATTTATGTTTTTTATTGAATTAATTTTTTTAAGATGCTAATCGAGCGAAAAATATTAAAAATAAACCTCGTATTAATGAAGATCCACGTGATGCTCAAATGAAATTATTACAAGAAGAAATAAATCGTCTTAAACAAGAACTTCTTAGTTCTGGGAATCCTCGTGGAAATCAAGCATTACTATCAAATAGTAATGGATCTCCAGTCGATGTAGACGATGAACTTGAAAGAGAACGAGAAAGATTACGTGCTGAATTTGAACGTGAAGTATCTGAAGTACGTCGACAATGTAATGAAGAACGTTTAACGAAAGAAGAACTTCAACGAAAATATAATGACTTAAAAGTACAATATGATCATGATCTCGAATCATTAAACTACAATCCTAGTAAATAAAAAGAAAAAAGATTTTTGTTAAAATAGAAAAATTAATCTACTGAATTATTAGATCCACAATCATCATCAACAACAACAACAACATCAACTGTAAATGAACGTAGTAAGACAAAGAAGAAAGGTGGAAGTATTCTTAAACAAAGACGTGACGATGGTACAGTAATAAATAATGCAGATATTGATGGTGATGATACGTCAGTACCATCGAATCAAATGAATGAAAATGAAAAACTTGAACGTTTACATGAATTAGAAAATAAACTTGTTGGTGGTGAAGAAGTAAATAATGAAGAACGAAAAAAGAAACGTAAAAAGAAATTAAATGAAATGCGTGAAAAACAAGAAGAACGAAAAAAATTCGGTAAAATAATAAATGATGGTGATGATGATACAATGATGAGAGTTTTTGATAATGCTCAAGAAGAGGTTAGTTATCTATTCTCTTTTTTTCTTATAGAAATTTCAATAAGTTTAAAAAAAATACATTTACGAGAGAAGAGATCTTGAGTCATGATGATTTATTTAAATCTAATGTATATATTTATAACCTAAGGGAAGAAGATACGGTAACGACAGTGATTTATTTGGACGGAGGGCAGTGATGGCATTGCCCGCCCGGAGACCGGTTTTGCCCTTCCGAAAATTGCAATTTTGTGCTTATACTTATACTATGTATTTTCCCACCATAAATTAGGTTTTCGCCCTCCCGAAAATTGCTATTGCACTCTCGAAAGAAAAAACACTCGGTAACGCAGTAATATAGTCATGTGCTTTCTTTTTATTCTTAACATCTTCAATAGTGATCTTACATGATAATAGAATACATCGAAATTTACTTATCCATTATAATAATAAATTAATGTTTAAATATATTTATTTTAGCTTCATTTTACGGCTAAAAAGTTAGAAGAACACCAAATAGAAAATAAACGTTTACAAAATGATAATGATGATTTACAGCATGAATTTCAAATTGAACGTGAAGGTTATTTAAGTACAATTCGTGAACAAGAAAAACGATTACTTCTCTTTCGTGCTATGCTTGATAAGATGAGTCATGCTATGCAACGTAATTCTAATTATAGTAACCTTGATAAAGTCATTGAACAAGCTCGTTATGATGAAGAAAAAGGCCAATATATTTTACCTGATCTTCTAAGAGAAGAAATACAACTTCCTCAAATGGGAAATGGATCAACTACATCAAATGGACGTTCACCACAGACTACTGATTCTGTAGCACCAACGAAATCAATTGTAACAAATTCACCTACTGACTATGAATCTGATTTTACTGTACCAACAGGAATGACTAATAATTATCAAAATTCATATTCAACTATGAATCCTGATGAACTTGATAGACGTTATGGACGTATTCCTGATTCATCAAATTTTATAGGAGAAAAAACACGTACTAAACGTCAAGATCAATTATTAAGTGAAAATTCTGCCTTACAACGAGCTAAACGTCCTTTACAAATGAATAATAACGAAAATGATTATATGAATCGTCGTCTTAATCCATATCAAGCACCAGCTGCTCGACTCAGTCAAAAATATGGTTTTTCATCGGATAAACAGTAATACCAAAAAAAACAAAATGCTCAAACAAACAACATAATTCGTGCATAAATTTCATTCTTTTACCGGTGAAAGACGGTATTTTCTTTTTTTTTCTTTTATTCTTACTAGTCGTTTCAAAATCTCATATTTATCTATGCCTAAACAGCACCAACGACATGAAAACGAGACTTATATTCTATATACATACATATATCTGGTGATTTACATCGAGTTTTTCTTTATTAATATTATTTTTCAAAAAACTTCAAATGTTTTCTTTTTTTTTCTTCATTGAAAATTCTAATAAATATGTGATCTTTTGTATAGTACAAGACAATTTGAATATAGTCTGATTGAATTTAATATATTCGCATACGAGAGTTTTATCTGTAGATTAAGAAGCTGCGAGTCGATCCAGGCTCAAAAAACGTGGACTCGCAGCTCTCTACTGTAGATGTTATAGCTAAGACAATATTGTTTTTCATTCTTAACTAGAATCTATCAGATATGAAATCTTTAAACGATTACTATCTAGAATACGTTATCAATTCTTGGTATTTTTATTATATAATCGTTAAAGAAATAGATTCTTATTCATTATTTTTCATTGATACTCTATATGTGTAATCACACCTTGTCAATTATTTAATGTTGCTCATTTCAATCGTTGTCTGTTATATTAAAGTGTTAATGTACAGGTATGTTCAATGAGAAGAGAACGAAAGAAATATAAGTAACATACGATTAAATTTTATTCGTTCGAATCAATTGAAAATGAAGAGAAAGAACAGAAGATGGTTGATAGCAATCATTACTTTTTCTTTTTATTAACCGACTTGATTGGTGTGCATGTATATATATATATATATATATGAGTCCTGCTGAGAGTGATAAAATGAAAGATTGCATCAGTCGATTGATGATTGTATTCCAAAGGAAAAGAAGAAAAAATTTTTTTTTTATTATTATTGAATAAGATATAAGAAATTTAATACACATATTTAAACTGATGTTTCTATATCTGTCGAACCTTCGGATTTTGAATATGAACTAAAAGTATCTTCTTTTCGATCTAAATGATATTTTTGTCGTTTAATTGATTGTGGTTGTTCAGGTGCTAAAAGACTATCGACATCGAAGCAACGTTTTTGTTGATTTTGTTTTATTGGATTTTGATTTATATGAATTGATTGTGGTATAAAACGAGATATGGCAACACTTTGTATATTATCCAAATAACGTTGTAAAAGATTAGTTGGAACATTTGTACTGTTTATTGATGATGAAAGTGGTAATTCATTTACATTAGGATGAAGTTCTTCTGTTGAACATTTCGTAGAAGAACTATAAAACAAAACGGGAATATATATTTTTGTTATTTTTAGAGAGAGAAAGAAGGTATTTTTTTTCTTCAATTAAACTTACTGTTCAAAATAATGTTCTGTTGGATTAATTGGTATAATTTCGTCTTCATCGTCATCATCTTCATCTTCTGGTACTGCTAAACCCATACTTTTTCTAACTCGTCGTTGTGCTCGACGTCTTCGAAAATCTCCACTCATAAAATCTGCTAGATTAGCTGGATGAATACTCCAATAATGACCTTTACCATTTGCTGATCGACCAGCTTTGACAAAACAATCATTTAATGAAAGATTATGTCGAATAGAATTTCTCCAACCATGACCTCTTGCACGAAAATATGGATAATGATCTAATATCCATTGATATATATCTGAAAGAACAAGTTGTTGATCTGGTGAACTTAATATTGCCATTGCAATAAGTCCAATATAAGAATAAGATGGTTTAGGTTCTTGACAAAATCGAAGATCATATCGTTGTTGAAAAGCATATGAAGGATATGGTTCCGATGATATTGATCCACCGAAACGTAAACGTACTACATAATCATAAAGTTGTTGTTGAGTAGCTAATAACATTGGATAATTTGTAATATTTATTGACTCTTTCTGCATGAGGAAATTCTTTTTATGCATATATGTCAGACAACATGATTGGTAAAAAAACGGTCTGCTCTGTTTCTCTCGTTTTTTTCTTCTCTTTTCTTTCTCTTCTTCGTCACCGTCGCTTTTCTCTTTATAAAGAATATGAAAAATATTTGTATGTCATTTACTTCATAACAAACAGCGCGTATCGACTGTGTTTCATACCGAACAAATTATTCTAATATTCAAAAGAAAAAGAAATATAATTTTGATTGGTTAAGAGAAACTTACTATAAATAAAATCCTTATTGGATGAAATATAGAAAAAAGAAACAAACACCAATAATATAGTCAATTACTTGCAAAATGATACACTATTTTTAGAAAGAGAGAAAAAAAATGATAGACGAAGTATTCTATCGATTAATTATTCTTTTGAAATTATTCTTAAAGGTTAATTTTACTTTTCATAAAATATATATTATTCATCTTCTTCCTTTTCAATTATCAATAATGATCTTCTAATACGGATGAATGATTTTTACGTCATTGAATTTTTTTTTCTTTTACCATTTCAAATCATTTCTTTTTTTTTCGTATCTTTTGATTCATCAAACGTCTAATCAAATATGTCATTTTGTAAGTGTATGTCTTGCTTATTTCTCTTCGAAGAGAAAGAAAAATCTATTGTGTGAAATACTCTTATCGAATATTGACTGTTAATTGATTGAGAAAGCATGATTGTTATAATATCCTATGACAATTGTATATTTTGAATTCGAAATATACAAAAACTAAAGATGTCATCAGTTTTTTTCTTCTTCTACAAATCAATAATATTAAAATACGATAAAGACTAATATGTTCATCCTCTTTTTTAGCCAAATCATATTAACATTTCATTGAAAATCTAAAGAATGTTGAATAAATCTAATTTCATGAAAAAAAAGAAGCAGAATATAATGAACAATGCTTGATGATCGCTATATATGAGAATGTTAAGATGATCAAATTAAATATAAAAGCTACCGAAACGTCAAGATGGCCACTTTAGAATGCAGAATATTAGTACTCAAAAACAGAGCTTTGATCTAAGATGTAATAATTCAAAAACTATGATATTATAAAGTAGCTAGATAAAACTATTCATATAGTTCCTCTAATTGTAAGATGGTCAATTACGAAATTGACGATAATAGTAAAAGTACGCTGCTAATAAATTCTTTCCCCGTTCTATATTATCACTTCCGACAAAATTCTTGTCTATATTAATTGAACTAAGGATTAATTTTTGTAATTTTCAAACAAGGCTTTATTTTTTTTTCGAATGTCACAATAAGAATGATTTCATCTTACTGTCAAAACTCCAAAAATGAACACTCAATGTCATTTATACAAGAACGCTTATGTATCTGTGTATTTCGCACATTTTTCAACTGAATACAGGTGTGACCAATTTTCAACCTCTTTTTTTTTAGTTCATTGACCGCTACTACATCTGTCTCAAAATTTTGACGTATGTCATTCTTCATTCACAAGTTTAACTCGAGTACATTTCATCTTGTACAAATGACCAGAATTCTTTGTCTCTCTGTTTAATCCAGACAACAACAAAAAGAAAAGTCTGATGAATTGCTCTTGAAATTCAAGAAAGAAGAAAAAAAACGATTGTTGATTAATTTTGATTTACATAGTGAATCTCTCAATAAATGATAAAAATATTTTTTTTCTATTATCATATAAAACGATTAGACATGCTGTTATTATTCATACGTAAGCAGGTGTAAATGGTGTCATCAACGGATATGATTTCTTGCTGTGTTTCTTCCGATAATGACGACTACTATGCAATGAAATCTATGTCAATTTCATTAACGGTAAAGATGTATTCCTGGAGCGAAGTAGACATCAAGCTGGGTTATATACGTATATAAGAACTTATACATCTAATATTATATTTGACTTTACAAAAGAATTAATATATAAATTATAACGTAGGAAATTATAAATAAAATATGTAGATAATTTAACTACATTAATGAATATTTTATAAAAGTAAATTATTTATATATGGTATAAAAATGGAAAGAAGTATTTTCGCATGACTACGATATAAAAGATAGTTTTGTTTTAATTTAGTAGAATGTATAAAGAAAAATAAATTCTATACGAGATATCAAACAGGATAGTATTTGTATAATCATTAGAATGAGATTGAATGTTATCTTAATTGATATATATTTTATAGTTCATCAAGTTTTAAAAAACAGAAGATGATTGCATTAGTTCTTAATGTCAAAATAAAGAAAAGAGAATATATGTGAAGTATTTCAATCTTTTCTTTTCATTGATGTATCAACTCTCATTCTATTTTTAATGAAATGTAGAACAAATTTACATTCAAAATAAAAATAAAAACCTTAAAGGTTTTTAGATTATATTTATAGGGAATATGTTCTGCGATCAGTAAAATAATTGAAATATCACTAAATATATTAATTGGTTAGTTTTCAAAAAAAACAGTGAACAATTCAAAAGTGGTCAGTAGATTTTGTGGAAGTAGCAGTGAAAAAATATGATTTTTGTCAGTAAAAAAAAGAAAATTGGTATATCTTTGCACAAGTTTATATTTTTTTAGTTTTCATTTCATTTTATTTACTGATCGTTTAAATTTTATTATGGGCCTCTCAAATTAATTACTGATCATTTCATTTATTCTACTGACCACTTAAATGACACCCATATTTAAATAAGAAATAAGAGCATTCAGCAAAGTGATAAACAAAATGAAATTTCTGTTGGTATGTCTATTTAATAGATCACGAAGAGATACATTGCAAATATCTCGATATTTAGATCAAATTATTGCAAATATAATCAATGAAAAATCATATTTATGTTAACTCTTTTCTTCGTAATTATTTATTGATTATTTGATTGTTATGTTGAATAATCTTTTCTATTTTTGTATGTAGATAAAAGAATATGACATCACCAATAAATATTGACATACATATCAAGAAGAAAACATTTCATTCGAGTATATGATGTCACGCAAGTCAATGATAATGTCTAAAAAACTTATTTTAGGGTCTTTATAATGTACCTGTCAAGTTTGTTTATCATCTTTTCTTAGTTAGAAATGTTCTTGTAGAACTTACTACATCAATGAATGCATCAGGGATATGTTGCCTTAGGGATGCGGGGGCGTACTCCCAACTTTTGAAAAACTATATATAGATCTTTTCAGTTCTAAAAAAATCTTTTTGCATCCCTCCCCTTACTTTTCCTGCAATACATACTATTGATACCAATTAAGTTTCATTTTTGGTATTTATAAGATTAATTTTGACGCAGGGTTGAATAAAATATATGATATTTTCATTATCTAAGTGATTCTTTACAGATAAACATAATAAAATGCATTTGCTGTTTATCTTTATAGAATTAAAACATTCAACTTTGAATCAAATCTAAAAAACGATCGCAGAAAGGAACATCTGATGAATTTACTACAAAAGATAGCGAATTATAGGAGTTGTAGGAAAACATTCAAAAGGAAAACGTAGAAAAAAAACAGAAAAGGAAAACATCGAAAACAATATTTTGCTTTTCTATGTTTTCCTTTTCTGTTTTTTTCTACGTTTTCCTTTTTTATGTTTTCCATCAAGACCGAACTATATATGCTCAGGATACTCAATCTTAGATGACATGCATTTAGTACTGAAAGAAGTTAATACTCGACTTATTTATTATAAACTATTATAGTTTTTTTTACAAGTTCTTAATCAGTTGATTCTATATTAAACATTATCTTTCACTATAGATGTTAATAATACTTCAAATGTTATATATATTTACACAAACTACTAGAATCATTTTCTTATATATATATATGAAGCAAATAATTATGCTAAGGAAATGACGTATTTGAATATAAAAAGTAAGATCTCGTTAGTGTTACTCAAGGCAACCACAAATATTAAACTCAGTATGTTCTTACTTGATTAAATAAAACATAGACATTCTTCTTTTATTTCACGAATAACAATTTATTAATATAGTTCATAATTAATGAAATAAAATTTAAAAAAATATCAGAAATATACGAATTCATTATCAATATTTATAATATATCAAAAAAAGAAATGTACGAATTTGGTCTTTTTGTTTTTTTTCGATTTAGATTTTCACACATCTTTATTGTTTCAAATCCATATTTCATTTTAATTTCTATAATTTCATGTGGCAATAAAAATTCATAAATTTTATTGCACAATATAAATAATTAAATCAAAACACAAATTTCACTGTAAATTACAAACTGATGTACGTGATTGACTTCCTAATGGTGATGTTGGTTGTATAGGTGTTGTATTTTGAGATTCTTGTCGTACAATTGGTGCTTTAATAATACGTGCACCATCTTGATCATTTTTTGGTAGAACAACATGCATTAAATGAGCTGTTACTTGACGAAATACATTTTCAACAGATTCACCAGTTTTAGCCGAAACAAAATATGATAACATATCTCTATCTTTAGCAAATTGATGATGTTTTTCTGGTTTAACAGCACGTAAATGTTCAAGATCACCTAAAAAATTAATAAGATGAAAATCCCATTGGATAAAATACAATTTTATATTATGATAAATATTTTATTGACTAATTTCTAATATTCTCGATTAATATTAAATTATATTGTCACGGAAGATCTCTTGTACTTGACTTTTTCGTGACTATGCGGTGCTCAAGAGACTAACATTATAAATATTTTCTTACTTTTATTTCCAACAACTGCAAATAATGGTTTTCTACCAGCACAATATTTCATTACTGAATGATACCAATCTTCAAGATTCTCGAAACTTTGTAAATTTGTTATATCATATACAAGTAAAACAATCTAGAAATAGAAATTTTGTTTTTTTTAAATTAAAATTTGATTATTATTTTTGCTTTACATCTGCTCCGTATATATATTTGTCTAACATAGCACCACCCAATGTTTGTCCACCAATATCATTGATAGCTAATGTCACATTATATGTACCTTGAATAAAAAGAATTTTGAAATAGTTTATTTTTATATAAAAAAAATTTACGTGTTAAATTAATTCGTTTCAAATAATAATCAATTCCTAATGTTTGATCATAAGCCGGAGTGAATTTATCATTGGAAAATCTTTGAGACATCGATGTCTAAATTCATAGAATTAATAGAAGAAAAAATTCGAATTAAGAAAATATTTATTTACTTTTCCTGAACTACCATCACCAACAATTACAATTTTAACTTGTTTCTCGAATGTTTCACCTTCGGAATCAGACATCTGAGATTATAAATGGATTCACAAATCTTATTATTCAGATACTTTAATTGAGCTTATAAAAAAAGTTATGAGAAAGAGAGAGACATAACTCAGCTATTACCTTGACATCAACCTCAATTATTCAAGGCGACATCTTTCATGATTTACCGAACATTTAAAATCAGATATCGCTATTGACAAGTATTGACATATTTCTATTTAAGAACTTTACGTATTCATGTATCATCTACAGATTTATAATGTTCATAATAGCTACAAATAAGTGTAAATGATCTTTATCTGTCTGTGGTTTATAATATATCAACATAATACTTGATATTGCATCTTTGAAGTTTACGTCCAACTTGATATGTTTTCTATTATTATTTTTGCTCTATTTTTGATAATTATATTATTAAAACAAACTAGTTTTCATAAATATGTGTTTGACAGATTTAAAAATAGAATCGGATTTATTTTAAGATTAAAACTATAAAGTTTTATCTTAATATTATAATAAAATTCTGACTTTTATTCGTACCTTGATGATATATTTAGATTAAAATGAATACAAATCTCCTGAGACACATATTTTATCACGTCTAGTACACTATAAAATAATTCTTCTTGATAAATATCTTCATTTAAGCAGCTCATCAGTAAATAACGCATGCTTGTCCTAAACATGTTCTTACGGTACAAATGATAAAAAGAACATATATTTTATCATCATAAAATTTGTTAATGTAAAATTAATACACATGTTAATATACGTGATTTGATAATTAAACACTTAAATTAATCTCTATAATGTTTGACTTATAGATATTTAATAGATCATTTAAAAATTCATATATAATCTTTTTTATTTATTCATTCTTATCATGTAGTTGAATAATTTCAAAATATATGTAAATATACATATACTTCATTTAATGATAATAAAAATACTCTTCTTTTTCGTTTTATATTTTATACGATCAAAAACAACAACGACAAATCAATTATGATTATTCTTTAGTCTTTTTTTTCAAAAATCATCTTATTTTTCTTTGTGTCATATTGGAATGCCTTTTTATATTTCCTGTATGCCATTAGCTATTTTATGGAAAAAAAAAGAAGACGTAGAAGAATTGTAATAGCAAAAGATAGCACGAATAGAAAGCAAATCAATGAGCGATGTCGTGTGACAAGACGCTACATATACAAATTTATCTATAATTATGTGTGTGTTAGAAAACAGCGTGTGCACTTGCAAAAAAAAACTAGAAAGATTATCCACTTTATTATCTTATTGCCCATCTGTCTTTGATGTCCTGCTGTTTGACTTTATCAAAAAAGCGAGAAAAATAATCACGCACAAAAAAGTGGTAAGTATAATTTATATTCATATACATATTTTTTGCTTCTTCTTGTTCTTCTTTTTTTAGTTTTTCTAAAAAAGCATAAACAAAAAATAGCTATGTCATTTAATTGTTAATGGAAAAGAAATGACGAAACTTGACGTTAATGTGAATTATTTATCCCATCATTCGTATCGACAACCGTGAATTTATTGATATAATATAGAGTAAAATACAAATTGACTTCTTGCATAATCAATTCGAATTGACAAAAGAGAAAATAATGAAAACCTTGAAATAAGGCCAACTATTATACTTATTATTATTTTCGCATTCGAACTTCCAGTTGAGAGCACAGCAGACATGTAGATATAAATATAGATAGAAAGCGAGAGAAATTTAGTTCCATATACAAACGAGATTATAGAAAAGGATCGCTCCTTTATTTTTTTGTACTTATAATACACATATAAAATCCTTCAACGAACGAGATTTCATGTGATGCTATTAGACGATCATGATTATTCACAAAGTAATTGTTTACACTTTATTAATTGTTCGAACAAAGAAAAAGAATTTTCTCAATAGATTTTCAATTACTAAGAAGTTGTCGAATTCTCAACAAAATCGAAACAATCTGTTCAATATTCCTCTAGAGATTATGAATAGAAGTTAAAAGTATTAAATAGACTCAAAAAGATGTCGAAGTGAGAATAGATATTTTCTTTGTTATAGAAAATCTAATTTTGCCAATGTATCTAATTGTCATTATGCTCGACTAAGTTAAAAACAAAAGGAAAACTATTCTCATAATTTATTGATTAACCTTTTAAATTCAATTTAATTCAATTCTTTTCTTTGAAATTTGATCTATTGTTGTAACTCAAATTTCCATATTATAATTTTGATCTTTGTTATTAATAAGACGAGTGTACATCTCAATGAACTTCCAATTATATTCAGGAACTGTAAGTACGGACATTAGATAACTAAAGTGCGTACGTCCGGTTTTATAATCTACTCTTAGAATATATTATCGTCTTATTTTTCCTCTTCAAAAAACTTTTTCACTCTACTTTTCTTTTTAGATTGTTTATTTTTATTTATAATATTTCATTAGATTATTTAGATTACATATAAACATTACAAAAAATATATTACTATAATGCATTAATTTCTCCTATTTCTCAACATATATGTAATATTAGAAGTAACAACACAACTACGAGTAAGTTCTATTGATACAATGCTTCTTTTTCTATATTCTACTTCTAAGAAATAATTAGTTTTTAAATAAAAATTAAATAATAGAATATAGTCATTTCATTGTGTTATTAAAAAGGAAAATTTTTTTGTATGAATACATTCAATTGCTTTTACATTATATTTAGTAGTTAGAATAAATAATACCTTTTAATAAATATCGAAGTATATAATATAAAAGAAAAAAATTTCGGTTAAAATAATCTTAAAAAAAATTTCCGCTGTTTTCTAACCATTTATTGAGTAAAAATAGGTCATTATGTGACAAGTTGAAATTTTTACTCAAATGTCATAACATTTTTATTTTATCATGAAAATCTTGACAAAAAGAAAAAGAAATTCTTTCTTTTTTTTTATAGCTGAGTGTTACTTAATGCTTGAGAATATTTCCAAAAATATTCTTTATGTTATTTTTAATCTAATGACAAGCTACAGAAGTAATGTAATGATATTGTATTTGTCTAGTCAAATAATTCTCTTTTGCTTTTATTCGATCTAACTGATTAAGTAAAATATAAGAAAAGAATAAGATCAAGAAACTGCTAATTTTCGTCATTGGTGCATAGATAAATACGAATGAACAAGTTGTAACTTCTATTGACATAGTGTTAACGACAACAAGTACTCTGACGCCATACATCTATATTTTTATGTTAAAGAATAGAAAAAAATAGAGAGAAAAACTGTGAACACATAGAACAAAACCAATGTAATCAACGATGTTATTATCATACACATCCACTTAGTCCATTCGATTAGCTATTTATTTTTTACATCTTTTTCCAATCGATTATTTGTCTGGAATTTATCTTTTCTATCGTATCTCTTTTTTTTTCGCATAAAATATATAATTTTGAGAAATAAAAAAACAAAACAAAAAGCAAAAATGTCGATTATTTTATATTATCCAATGTAAGTAATTTAGTTTTATTGAATTGAATGAGAGAAAAAAAATGAAGAACTATGTGCTAAAACAGACATAGACAAATCTCAGCTGATAGTGCGTGATAGAACGAATGATATAAAATATTAAATGACATGTTCCTAAAACTAAGTATTTTCTTTATTCATTCATTCATTCATTCATTCATTCATGGAATGACACTTAACAAACAAATATTTTCTATGTAGGCAATTAGAAGTTTTCTTTAAGTACAAATCAAAACATAGGTTTTTCTTTTTTATTCGATTCAAATGATTATCTTCAATTTCTTGTCATGTAATTCCATTAGATTGTGAATAAACGAATGTACATATTTAAATAGAAAAGACTAACATCAATTAAAATGTCAAGTAATGTTTTCCTATTTCATCTTTTTCGCAAATATCCGTTTTTGATTAAGTAAACTTTTGTCTTCTTATTGAAGAATAACGTACCTAGAAGAATATATCAAGACTTTATTATTTTCTTTTTCCTATTGGATTTATTTATATAGAGAAAAAAATGTGTAAAAAGATCGAATTGATGAGTTAAACAATTCAAATTCATTCCCCAAATGTATTCCATTGAGAAAAAAAAAAACTTAATAAGAAAAAAAGTTCCAAAAGGGATTATTATTTATTTAAATGACATTTATCAATATATACGAGTGTTTTGTTTCTGTTAAGCTCCCTCTCATCGTTAGTTCTATTGATCAATCGAAAGAATCGATGATGTGAGACTGAAGAACAGATGGAAAAAACAAAAGAGAGAAAAATGTCAAGGACTCGATAGATCATGCCTACTGAATATAACTCCGAAGTATTAAAGTAAAATACGGAAATTAATAATCTCTATCATGAAATCAGATTAAAAACAATCGACAATTAGATTGATAAGTAGACAAAAAAGAGATTTATCATTACTTTTATTCATAAAAGTAAATAACTCTTTTTTTTTACGGAATTATAATTCACTATTATTAAAACTAATCTATCATAAATAAACACATAACTAGTTTTTTTGAGAGACAATCAAACGAAAAAAAAATATGTAAGTTGCATAAACACTAAGAGGAATTACCTCTTTTTCTTTCTTTTATATATATATATATATATATATATGAAACAAAACTATTTCTGGAGTGTAGGCAAAGATGAAGAAAGATCATTACACGTTATTAATATTGAATACAAAGAATAGTTTGATGTACCTAGGATAGATGAAAAAAAAAGGCTAGATTTAAAGATGTAGTATGCATGAAGTATGTCGGAAATGAGAGATAGTTGTTTTCTGAATTGTTTTATTGTAGTGCTTAATAGCATACTAAACAGCATTGACGAGTAGTTTCTTACAAGTCGATAACAAATGTCGACGTTTTACATCATTCAGTTATAAGAAAGAAAAGAAAAAAAAAAAGTTCTTCGTCTTCTTTTCTATTCAGTGCATTTACCAGTGACAATATCTATTCATCGTGGTGAAGTTGAAAGTTTATTTTTACCAAATTTTGATTTATCCTATGATAATTCTATTAATGATATACTATTACCATTAAACTTAAGTAATATTGATTGGTATTTAATTTCGTCAAGTGATTCAAAAATGTCACCTTTATTACCGTCACCAACTAATATTTTTACTTCAACTAATTCAACAGCAGTAACATCTTCAACAACACCTAGTCCAATGCCATTAGTTCAAGCATTACCTGTTGCCCTTGTTCTTTCAAGTATTGTTGTTTTATGTATATGCGGAAATATACTTGTTATTTTATCTGTCTTTACATTTCGACCATTACGAACTGTACAAAATTTCTTTATTGTTTCACTTGCTTTTTCTGATATGTTTATTGCTATTATGGTTATGCCATTTCATATTGTTAGACATATACTTAATCGATGGGTATTTGGAGAAATACTTTGTCAAATTTTTGTTACTTCTGATGTACTTTTATGTACATCATCAATATTAAATCTTAGTGCTATTGCGGTAAATATATTTATATTATTCTTAAAAAAAAAAGAAAGAATTTTTTTTAGCTTGATCGTTATTGGGCTATAAGTGATCCGATACAATATGCTCGTAAACGTACAATACGACGTGTCCTTTTTATGATTATGCTTGTATGGGTATTATCAGCAACTATATCAATTCCACCAATAATAATAACAATGCTTGGTTCCAGCCGACTACAAACTTTTGATGGTTTACAATGTGACTTATCAAGAAATACAGCGTATGTTATTTATTCAGCATGTGGATCATTTTATATTCCAGCATTAATAATAACAATTGTTTATATACATGTCTTTGTTGAAACAAAAAAACGTTTTCGTGAACGAGCTAATGGTTAGAATGTTTTTTGAAAAGAAATATTAATCTATCTCGATAAAATTTTTAAATTTTAGCTGCAGCAAAATTAGTAAATGCTACTCGTGTCATTGATAATGAACAACCATCATTAATTAATGTTGCATTAAAAAATAATAGTATTGCGTATAAACAACGTCATCGACATAATCATCGTAAAAATCAAACACATAAACCATCACCTCTTCATACAATGGGTGCATCATTTAAATCATTAGCATCAAACGGTAGTGGACCAGAAAATTTTAGTACCGATGATGCTGATGAAACAATAATTACAAAAGTATTACCATCATCAAATAATAATAATCTAGTTAACTGGCAAACAAAAAGTATAAATACGATGCAAGTAATGAAGGGTAATGACAACACAATACTTCCGATGAGTAAGTATTATGATATTATATATGTATTGTAGGAAAATCATTTGAGTGGAATAATAGAAAAAAATTGATTGAAATATATATTATAAATAGAGATCGTCCATATTTACAGTAATCTAACAGTGACTATTTATAAATTTCATAATTCTTTTTTGACATATAATCAATAATTTAAAATATATTTAATGTAACTTTTAGTAATTTATGAAAATCTAATGCTTTTTAAGGGTTAGTTAGTTCTCTGTAATAATAAATAACTTTTTCTGTGATTATATAAAAATGCCAAGTTGTAATCGATATGAATAAATTAAAGGTTAGCCCATTTATTTTTGCATAGGTCATTCCGGTCTATTGAATCTAATTATTGTAAACTATTATTAGGATTTAAATTGTCCTTTTAGATAAAGATGATTTAACAATTCCATCTATTAATGAAAATGATGTTGATAATAGTTCTATAAATCAACAACAAAATGCTGCTGTACAAACAAGTGAATTATTAGATAAAACACAACGTTTATCAAAAGATGCCGGTCGTCGTAGTCTTTTTAAAGGTAAAAGTTTATCAGCATTAATGAATGAACGACAAAAAATATCGTTAACACGTGAACGTCGATTATCTCGAACACTTGGAATAATTATAAGTGTATTTCTTCTATGCTGGTTACCATTTTTTGTTGTTTATCTTATTTCAGCTTTTGATAAAGATATATATGGAAAGATGCAAGAACCATTCTCATCACTTATTCTTTGGCTTGGTTATATGAATAGTGCATGTAATCCATTAATTTATACTGTTTTTAATGTTGAATTTCGTACAGCATTCAAACGTTTATTATGTCCGCATTCAACAAATAATACTTTAAGTCGAACAAATACAAATAAACAAAGTCGACGTTAAGAATTTTTACGTTATCTATTTTTTCTTTCTGTGTTTTTTTGAAATGAAATGGTGTTTTTTTTTAAAATATGTTTTAATTTTTGTGAATAATCGTATTTTAGAGAAATGAATTGATATATAAATTCAATTATCGAAAATATCTGTATTTTAAATAATATTATTTAAAAAAAAAACATTATTATGTTTATTTATTGATCCAAGATTTTAACAGTAAGATTACATTCTAGATAATTAGTTTGTAATATGTTTTGTTCTTTTAATCTACTTACTCTACTGAGAAATGAAGAAACATATCATTTTGAGAACATTAGCACTGATATTTTCTTAGTCAAATAAACAATAGCGATGAAGAGGAAATCTCATATAAAAAAACAAATTGTGTCATTATGAAGGACATTTCAGCAACGTCAAGACTAATTGAATTCAACACTTTTTACTTATATTTTTCTAGCTAATAATTAGATTTTGTATAGTAATAATGGAGACTAAATGTTTTAACTCAAATAAATAAATCATTCCGGAGAAGTACTAATATTCAGCGATATTTGAAATACTTTTCAATAAATTTTCATTTTCTACAGGAAAATAAGAGATTCTTTTTAATGCGATGCGAAACAAAGTATTTATGTAGCTCTTCGCGAGTTTTCTTCCTTTCTTGACGTACGCATTCAAAGTTGTTATTTTTTGTGGCAATAATCTCTGGAATGGAAAATACTCGTTTAAACCCGAGATTAATATATCAGAATCGAACTGATATCATTCTTTTAGCGAAAGTGTCGCGAAAACATAGTTTTGATTATGAACTCTGTTTTCCCACACCCTTCGAGATAAATGAAACCAAAAGAAGAGCATCATTCTATAGAATTACCTACGGTTGATACTGATCATTGACTGTTGTACATGATATATGTGAGGATTTAGGCATACTTATGAATGAAAATAAAACCTGATCGTATAATCCTCCAATTTTATTTACTTTCGTTTGTCCTTGCGAACCTTCATCGTTTTCGTTTTCCTACTGAAAATCAATTAAAAAATGTTAAAATCTTTTTAGATAAACAGAACTGCGTTTATTAGTTTTTGTCCTTATTATACAATCAATACTTATACTTTATAGTTATACGTTTCACATACTCGATCTAGCTATATTCGAGAAAAATGAATTATAGATACTATTGTTTAGATCATTTTATTCATTGTGTTGAAATCACATTTATTTTCTATGAAATACAGTTGTTTTTTAAGCATCTTTAAAAAAATACTGCTATTTTATCAATAATTCCAAAGTATTTTTTAATGAAAATTAAACTAAAACACTTTTTTTTATAAACATTCAAATATTTTCTATAAATTACTCAACAATGAATGATCATAATTTGTACACATATGAGATTTTCTTATAACGTAAAATTTATCCACAAATCATAGTGTATAATATTGTACTCTCCTTGAGGGTAGTCTGTAATAAGCAGAAACACACTATAATATTTATTCTTTCATGGTTTTTCTTCGAAGATTTTTCAAAGCATTGTATAAATGTATCAATTATAACTTGTTTTGACAATACGATCATTTCAATTAACTCAGAAATCATAATCTATTCTTCATCTAACTAATATTGACAATAAACTATGATTATCTCGGCCAAAAAACTATCGATGCATTTAGTCGTAATTCATATCCTCTCAAAAAACATTCCAATCTCCTTTATACTATTTCAATTACATTCACAATATTTTTTAATCAGTTTTATTACATAACACATATATTAAGTATAAAAACTCGCAGTACTGGTTTTTCCAATTCTTCATGATATTAGAACTCAATGTAACATCCAATAAAATGCAATTTCATACAATCGCTTTGTCCCTGTGCTATCGACGATACCTACTTGCCAATCTATTTATTTTCATTTTCGTCTCAACAATTCTTCACATGATCATTCCATGTACAGCAAACGAATTATCTGCTTTTCTTTTATCACTATGCTACAAAGTTACCTCAACAGCACCATACAATTTCATTTGATACTTCCAAAAAACCATTTTCAATACATGTTATTCTACATTAAACTAAGTAAAAAAAATAATAGTACTAAATGTGATAGTACTATTGAACGGCTACAAAACCACTTCGATAACAGAATTTTCATAGTTACAAAATAGTTCATACTGTACTTTTTTATCTCTAGATAAATTCTTGATGATTCAGCTATTCAACTGCAAAGTCTTGAGAAATTCTGCAAAACTAAAACAATCATATTTGGTTCTACAGTATTGAACACAGAATCATTCTGAGTTCAACACTAATTCATACTGCACATTTTACGGTTCACCGTTAATGAAGAAACCATTTCTGGTTCAATATCATCGGGCACGACTATTTGTTTTTGTAATACTAGAAAGAATGTCTCAGAGTTTTACTATTATCACAGGAAACCTTTGATCGTTCTTCGTAATCCCAAATCATATTTC